AAAAATTTAATTTGCCTGCACATTATAGCAATAGGATTTAGTTTCTTTATCTCAGATGTTGCTGCAGTTGTTACATAACATGAAACAAAATTAGAGTGGAGTCAGGATGAGAGAATTTTGAGTGAGGTCGAGCACCGTCTTATTTGTACATACATATATCGAACATGCGTCTTCTAAAGCGAGTCTAGGTAATCTCGGCACCGAAATTTGTGGATACTGGAATCGTCTTCTTTAATCCATCTGCCATGCCCTTTAGCACGGACATCTCAACACTTCATAAAGGCAGAGGCTTACTTGACACCGCTCGAGGATGTAGCGAGATGAGCACGTGCCTTCGCGAAGCGCTAATCCCTTCCCGGAATGAACGCCAAGGCTTTCCTGAAATCTTCCGATGCACTCAAATCTCACGACCTCTCTACTGCGAGGAGTACGTCACCACATAGTGCCCTACCGCGATGACGGATAACCCAAAGAAGCGGAAGCAGCCATCGAACAATGTCTTCGGACCCAAGCGCCCCCGGTTCACTGGCCGAGCAGCGCACAACATCTCCGCGAGTCCAACCTCCAGTGCCTACCCGAATGGTGAAGTCAATGTCTCGCGTTTCATACGCGCCCACGAGAATGAGATAAAGGCGTTGGAGAGTGCGATGAAGTGCGCGAAGAAGGGGCTGATGAGGAGAGCATTTCAGGATGTACCGAGGGATATGAGGAGGAGGACGGCTGCGCACAACCCACACCGGGTGCCGAAGCGGATTAGAGCGAGGACAAAGAGGGAGGCGATGGAGGATAATGTTACGGTAGTGAAGAGTAAGAGTGGTAGTGGGATCGGGAAGGGGGCTAAGCAATGGCTAAGGAAGGAAATTATACAGAAGAAGAAAAAGGCAAGGGAAAGAAGGGCGAAGGATGATGTTGAGGTCACGGTTACTTCGGATCATGGAACGGAACAGGGCCTCCAGATGAATGATATATCCCTATCAGACCCCAAAAAGGAATCGGCAGCGCCGAATGTAAAGCGGAAGAAGCAGGTAGCCCTCGCAGCACCCAATAAACCCCCTGCCAAATTTCGCAAACGCCAGGTGCACAAGACTTGGCTTCCTACTCACCTGTTCCACACGAAACGCGCTCATCTTACTTCACCTAATGAACCGCTCTGGCGGTTCGCTATTCCATTGTCGCCCGCAATGAAATCATACCGCCTCACGCATCGGGCTGCCACTTTAAGAGGAGCCGTAGCTTGGGACATGAGCTACATTTCTACAATTGGCCTGCATGGTACGGAACGCAGCATTGAAGGTCTCCTCAAAGCTCTGCACTTTGCAAAAGGGGATTCGGATGAGGTTTGGGAGGAGAGAGGAAAAGCCAAAAAATGGAGAGCTGGTCTCAGAGCGTGGGAAGGGTGGATTCATGAAAGAGAGGGGAACATACCACGGAAGATCGCCCACGTTACTGTGATGTGGAGTGCTCGAGAAAGCGTGAGTAAGGAGAAGAGAAAAGCGTTTGTCCGAGTCCATCCCAGTGCATTCCTCCAGCTCTGGAATGAGGTTGTCAGGGCCTCAAAGGTACAGAAGCCAACAGTAGCTGTGGAGGACCTTCGTTTCGAGATTGGCTCTCTTGAAGTAATAGGGCCTGCAGCAACTGAGGCACTTTGTTCTGTTTTGCATCCTTACCCAACGCGCGGCGATTTCTCGGAAGACGCTCCCCAGTCGATATGGCCAACTCTTGCCTCGATAACCGATCCTAGAGTCATGCCCGCGAACGCTCTACTCAACTTCTCTATCGTTGACCCTCGACTTCGCTATCCACCGAGGACGGCTAAGATGCGACCAGATGATGCCCTTCAATCGCAGCTCATGGAGACGCTTGCATACTGGCCCATTGACAAGTCTAACACGGATTCCCTAATCTTCAGCCGTGACGCTAGACTTGCTGCAGGACGATCTCTTCCATCCCAAAAATCCATCAATCGCCGGAAGTCGACTGCTCCTCCTGGCGAGTATCCAGACCCGCGTTCTTCAGATCCTCAGATACCAATGCTGGCATATGTCTCGACCTCTACCAATGCCTGGACAGTTCTATTACCTTGGAAATGCGTAGCTCCGGTTTGGCGAAGCCTCATGTTCTATCCGGTATCTACTGGAGGGAACTTAAGATTCGGTGGACTACTGGAGCGGCGCCAGGTCAACTTTGAGCGATCGGTACCATACTTTCCTTTTGATTGCCCAGGCACAGATGCTGGATGGGGCTGGGAACTTCAAGAACGTGTTGAGCGAGAAAACCAATGGAGGAGAAAGCCAAAGGGAAAGAGAATCGAATGGACGACTATCAACTTGGGGAAGGGTAAGAAGGGCGAGGTGGGGAGTCCGTGGGCTTGCCAGTGGGAGATGCTGCTTCCCAAGCTAAATCAAGGCGGAGAGACTAGTGGAGATACGACAGCCGTTACAACAGCTACATCTCCATTTCTGCAACTCTCTTCGGAAGCGGCCACTACCTTGATATTAGGCCACTCTCCCGTTGACAATTACCTTGCATCACCCTACGTATTCGCGGCCAAAATTACCATGATACAGCGTGGTGTGCCGACCAATTGTGCCCGAGTATATCGCCTTCCATCCAACGATCCAGAGCTTCGGAAGAAATGGCTCTCGCTGATATCCACTTCAAAGCATTCGTCGCCCCCAGCACAGGACTCGGAGAAACGGCAAAACATGAATTCCAAAGACGTGCCCAGACATATCCGCAACAGAGCACTCGCTGCAAGTCTCTTAGAACCAAAGCAGCCGCATGGTGGACCTCCCAAAGCAGGAGATGATCAATACCCTGTTGTACCTGATGAACCAGACTTGATCGGGTTTGTCACGAGTGGAAACTACAATCTAGCAGAAGGGAAACCGACTGCAATTGCGAACCTTGTCCTCCAGAGGGTCTTCGGGTTGAAAGACACAGCGCATGCAAGAAGGGCCTTCAAGAAGGAGGATCACGTGTGCATTGTCCGGGAAGCTGGAGCTAGTTTGGGGAGACTGGGGACCTGGGAGGTTGCGTGAAGTGAATGGCATAAAGTGGGATAGATTTGTAGGTGCAAAGGTCAATGCAAACAAATTTAACGGTTTCAAGTGAACTTGAAGAAGTATTTTGTGAAAAGTGATAGTGAAAATAGCAGTCCTGGACACAAGCGAGGCTTCGGTGGCGGCACGCTAATTGCGTCGGCCTCCTAACTTTATCTCCGAACACCCGGCTAACCGCTTTTATCAACTTCGTCTCACATCCTCAGACCCTTGGTCCAGCCGTGCACTCTACACATATTTCTGGACCACCGACGACGGCCACTCAGCAGCATGTCTGAGGACAAAGCAGCCGGCGAGCAGCCCGATGGTGCGCGGGCCGCCGTCACGCTGTCGCCAGATGCCCTGGCAGGCCTGGTACGCCCTCGCGCAGCTCCACGAGCTTGCGAAAAGCAATTGCTAACTTGACCTGTAACGTCCAGACCAAAGATATCGTCGAAGACACTCTCTACAATATAATACATAGCACCGTCCTATCATGTCACCGCTCCGAAAAACTCGTCCGTATGCAATCAGCGGCCACCCAAGCCGAAAACGTCGCCCTCTCAACCCTCGAACCCCAGCCCCAGGCCAAGGGCTCCAGCAGCCAGCCCGCCCAACCGACCGCCGAAACTGCCGCCGCAAAGTACGAGAATGGCCGCGTTCACCTCAAAGGCAACCCTCTGAAGACGACACCGGAAATTACATGTCCGCACTGTAAGCTGCCGCGGTTGATGCACCCGATCATGGGGAAGGGCATGCAGAACCCAGATCTGACCAAAGAATACTGCATGCTGTATCCGTGGGTGCAGCGGCAGGGCCATGATGTCTACGGCAACCCGTTCCCGACGGACATGGCCAAGAGCAAGAAGGAGCGTGAGCTTATCAAACAGCAGCAGAAGAACGCGGAGAAGGAGAGTGTGGGCACGCCTGGCTCGCAGGACACCGACATGGCAGGAGGAGAAGGCTCAACCCAGGGCAAGGAAATAAAGCTTAATACTGGCGGGAAACCGGCGTCATACATCCCGTGGCACACGTGTCCGAACTGCAAGCGGAGTCTACTCATCACACGGTTCGCACAACATCTGGAGAAGTGCTTGGGCATTAGTGGTAGACAGAGCTCTCGTAATGCTATGGCGAAGTTGGCGGGACAAAACGGCAACGGCTCTGGAACCGGTATGGGCAACACCCCACTGGGGAGTCGAATGGGAACCCCGGCTCCGGGATCCCAGAGCGACCCTATTATCAAATCCAAAGGTAAAGGTGTTAGCCCCGTGAAGAGGCTGGGGGATGACGATGATGAAGGCGAAAACGAGACGCCAGAAAAGAGGAAGAAAAAGAAGAGTTCCTACGTCAAGAAAGCCGACAGGTTGGCTAAAGAGGGAGGAGGCACGCTCAAGGTCAAAATAAAGGCTAACAGTCAAAATAAGGAGCACGCGAGCAAAGACTCGGACAGGAAAGCAAGCGAGAGCACAGAGAGGTCTGAGGGGAAGCGAGATCGCGATGACGGCGATGCGGACGGGGCTCCAATGAAGAAGAAGATCAAGCTATCTCTCGGCAAGGGCGAGAGTACATCTGTTCAAAACGGAAGTCAAGAATCGAGGAGTGACGCAAAATGAGTGAGCTTTTCACTCTACTCGGCTGCATCTTGAGGGTGCAGGTTGATGGGCGTGCGTGTGTGCGAATTTAGCATCATCAGGCGTCAGGATATAACATTTTCCAGGCGGGCGTTTTAGGGACATCTATATGGTTGGGTTCTCGTCGACAGCAAACCGCATCGACTTTGGGTGGCGTTAAAGATACGTGATGACGGGCATCTGATGGCATTGTATACCATCCACATTTCATTCTTTCTCCGAGAGCTTTTCATGGAAATTTGCACGGAGAGCAGCAGAAAAGTAGGACCATTTTTTGTATCAAGATACTGATTAGTAAAGTAGTACTAGTACGATGAAAGTGTCTCATGACCGTCTTCCTCTTTTGTCGTTTCTATTTGCCGTATTCGGCAGCCCAATTGGAAGCGCACACATGGCTAACAATTCGTGTGTGAGATGGTGGTACTGCGTCACAGTTTATTTTTCTTGCATTCTAAGGCCTTTATTGGGGAGCTCCATTTCTCTGAGTATTCCCTCAAAAGGGGAAATCCAGCTGTGGCTGAGGCATCACGTGCTCCCCCCGATGGCTGCCTTGCCGCGCCCCATATATTCCTTCTGGCATTGCACACATCCTTACTTCTCTCTTCTCACTCAGCATGGCGTCCAAGAGAAAAGTGAGACAAGAAATATCTGGACTCAAAGACAAGAGACCCATTCTCCCACTCCGAAGATCAGCTCGGAAACAACAAAATGCAACAACACAGCTGGGATCCTCCGCTCAGCCAATCCTGATACCATCTTCGCCTCCGCCTCCACCTCATCCTGTGTCTATAGTAGCTCCAGGGCGTGAAATTAACCAAGGAACCTCTTCATCGATCGCCGTGTTACCAGACGATCTTCCATCCCAGCTCCCCGGTCTTAGTAAAGAGGGTATCAAGCTTCTGAAGTATAAGCAACAACGTTTGAAAAGCCCGACTTCACAAGCTCACCAACTCCATGAGTTTTGTGATCCGAGCAAGGATAGGTATGAAGGGTTGAAAAGGGCTGTGGATGCAACGTTGGTGTTTGCGCAGGAGGAGGCTGTGAGTGCCCTCTAATGAGCAGCATATCCTCTCTATCTGCCCTTTAATTTGTCTTTTTCTCTCGACGACATAAAATACACAGAAGGTCAACGCTGATGGGAGGGGAGATATAGGGTACAGCCGTGTGCATTTCCGCACAGGGACTAATCCTAACATGTTCGCACTGCATTGCCGAAACACCCTTCGAACTCAACCTCGATAAAGCATGGTGGCTACTGTTCGCCTCAGGTCAGGTCGTGCAAGCGAAATGTTTGAAATGGGATCAGAAGCGGGATTTAGCGCTCTTGCAAATCGTCGCTGCACAGGGTACTATTCAAAAACGGGCAGATGAAAACCTCAACCCCACATATTCTTTCCCCTTCCCGTACACCACCCTCTCGCCCTCGCCTCCCCCCCTAAGGACACCCCTACTCTGCACCGGCCACCCCGGCTCCGAAGACCTGGAGGCCCACCAGCCAGGCAAAGCAACTGGCTACGACGTCCTGCATATCAGCGAAGGGAAGTTTCGCGGGTACGCAAAAGGTCAAGACAGGCAGGATAATGCAGAAATCGGCGCGCTGATGCATGATTGTTGGACTTATTGGGGGCATTCGGGGGCGGGGCTTGTGCTTAGAGAGGGGAAAGGGGGGGAAGGGAGAGGGAAGGCGGGGGAGTTGGTGGGGTTGCATTCGAGTTGGGATGAAGAAACGGGGATTCGGAGGGGGATTGGGTTGGAGGCGCTTTGGGAGTTTGTTGAGGAAGTGAATATATAGTGCAGATATATGAATGGGATTGTTAGACGTATCTTGGCGTTCTTCACGTATAAGAAGAAAGAGATGATGGGCCATCAATATGCGAAATAGATGGAAGAAGTACTACATCACCCAAACCAAAACACCATTTCAATACCTGGACGCCGAAACGCCGACCCTTAAGTCGTGGTTCTTGTCTGCGCCAGGCAGACACTCCTTCTCCCTCATGCTGCGGTCCCAATCGTGGATAAAAAATGCAGAGTCCTTCCAGAGGCCTCCACACTTCAATCCATCAAGGTTTTGAGTTCCTAGCCCTATACAGCACATAACTCGGTCTCCAGCATGACAAAACCGGATGCCTGTTGCTACCCTCATACACTTCCAAAATAGGGATATAGCTATGGTAAGGCCGTGTGCCGATCAGCGGCTTATACGCCTTGACTTGCTCTTTCCTCTCAGCCTCCATTTTTGCGTCAGTTTCAGCAGCATCCTCATCCCCATCACCCAAATCCAAACCCCTCATCTGCACCCCGATCTCGCCATCACCAAAACCTCGTTCACTCCCACTTCCCAAATCCGGCAACCCCATAACTTGCTTCCACAACCCATCATACGCCCTCCGGGCGTCCGCATCGGCTAGCACATCAAATGCAGCCTGCAGCGCTCGATACTTAGTCGCAGAACTCTGGAAATAGGTTGCACGGAGTGCGCGGTATGCAGATTTAATTTCTTCGGGCGTAGCCCGGATGTCCAGGCTTAGGACGGCGTAGTGGTCGATGAAGCCTGGGAGGGGAGTTGTGGCTGGGGGTTCTGGGGGGTTGGCGTTGGAGTCGGGGTTGGATGGGGAGGAGTGGGAAAGGGGGGGATTTAAAGAGATGGAGGTGGATGGGGGGTTTGAGTGGGAGTTGAGAAAGCTGGATGCTGCGGAGAGGTATACGCCTGATGGCATGCCGACTATGCTAGTTCTCCCACCCCCAGTCCCACTTCCTGTGTTGTGCTGCATATTCCAATTTTTCGCTGGGCGTTGGATGCAGGCGGTATTCTCAGCCGGTCAAATATTGCGAACAGAGTTGGGGGATGAATGTGAATGTGAATACGAATGCGAATGGTCGGATGAAGATGAGGAAGATGATTTACGTGTACGCTCGCTCTGGTTCCTGCACATTACAAACGAGGAAAAAGATCTTCGTGGTAATCGAAGTGGAAAGAAGGTTATTTGAGACAGATCGGTTTACATTGTTGAGGGTTGATGATCGGGGTTGGGGGTTTGGGTCAGTGTCTTGAGCAGTGCCGAGGATGGCGAGTGCGGGTAGAATGAAGAAACTGGGTGAGAGGATGAAGCGAGGAAGGGGTTCATTGTGAAGGGCTTTTGTCTTTCCAGAATCGACGATGCCTTGAGGCTCAAATAGATGGCGTGGAGACTCCAAGGTTGACAGCAACGGACCGGATCCCGGAGCATCACCGATCAATCTCCAATCCCCGATCCCCGAACTCGGCTTTTTCACAGATCCCAGGTCCCAGACTTCAACGCACTCTCATTCGCTACTGCGTACTACAAAGGCTAACTATAATGCTAGCTGAATAAACCTTAGGCGTATTGGATGCTGGACTTCTCCTCCTCTAGATCCTATCTTCATTTCCCTGTCTGTTGAAATCTCTCACTTTTCCCTTGCCTCTCCACTTGTCCCGCAAATTCCCCCTCAAATTCCCTCGTCCCCTCCCTTTACTGTCACCATCTTGAGCCCTGCCACGACCAGCCCCTCTCCCCCATCCCTCGCCATCCTGGCCCATATTCCGACCCCCTCCTCTACCCGGCCTACGAACCCCTTGATCTCTCGCACTCCCAACTTTAAAATCAATCTTCACCAGCGGCTTATCAACCCATTCCAACCCCCTCAGGCCCAAATTCTCTTTCTCCCATAGACTTAATTTCCACGCTTGATACACACCCAACAACTTCTGCTGATCCACTTCCGTTCCACCTCCACCCGATCCCTCTCCAGCACCACGGCCCTTCGTGATTCTAACACCCCTGAGCTCAGGTACCCACGCGCGAATATATTCTCCTTGGGGGTCATAGTCTAAAGACTGCTTGACTGGATTGAACACCCTGCCTTCTCTAGGATCATTACCGACACCAGCGACATATTGCCAGTTACCCCAATTATTCCCAATGTCGTAGTCGATGAGAAGAAATTCGTACCATTCGGCTCCAACGCGCCAGTCAATTCCCAAATGCGAGGTCAGAAACGATGCAACGTTTTGTCGGGCGCGATTTGACGTGTAGCCTGTAAGGAAGAGTTCACGGTTCGCGGCGTCGATAAGACCCATACCGGTTCGGCCCGATTGGAAGCGTGTGAACATCTCAAGGGTTTCTGCTGGGTCATCGTCGACACCGCTGCTTCGGTCGAGATATTTCCAGCGTTTCCTCTGGGCCTCGCGGTACGGAATCTTATTTGTATTGTCTCGGCACGGCTTACTTTGTGACTCGGCGGAGGCTGTCTTGGGATATTGGGAGACTAGAGTTAAGTTTGAGACGTCTTCTGAAGCGTCTTCGGGAACTGGATCTTCGTCTTGGGTAGAGTTTGTATCGGTAGTGGTCGTCTTCTCTTCCGACGAGGTATGAGATAATAGCGCAACTTTCGCCATGATAGTTGATATATCGCGGATACCGTCAATGTGGAACATTCTTGCCCCAAATTTCTTCACACATAACCTCATATAATCCCTCCAGAGAAGTTCGAACCTCATATTGTAGGTGCCTGGGTTCTCACCCTTGCCGTAGCCCTCCGTATCCTTTCCACTGCCTCGTCCCTCTTCAAAGTCGACCATTGCCCAGTGTACCTGCCGCGCAGTCAACATGCCCTGGGCGAGATATGCGGAGAGTTTGGTGCTGAAGTCTAGGCCCAGCAGGCCGTTTCTTGTCTGTTTATAGTTGGTAATGGCACCGCTAGTGACAAGATGCAAAAGTCTCTTCTGAGCGGCAGATTCGCCTCCTTGGAAAGGGTAGGCAGACTTGGCGTTGGGCGGCCATTGAGGGGGGTCGGGAAGGCCAAAACCTGGATCCTTTTCCAAGGGAGAGAGAAGCGACCTTTTAAGCTTCAAAAGACTTGTCGGTATCTCAAAAGGCTGGAACTGAGGAGGTATCTCTAGCGGAAGCGGAGGTAATTCAATTGGTGTCGGAATCGTGCGCCGTGGACGAGAACCCAAAGGCTCGAGCTTTTTGCGATAGTTTGTGTAGACGTTCGGAAGATCATCCATATCATCGAATGGGATATCGCGACTTAGGAATTATTAGCTGGATTGTCGTTTGTAAGATTTACCATGCAATTAAAAGTAAGACATACTCATCGATAAACCACTTCTCATCATCCCACACCTTGAATTCCACTCCACTCTGGTCAGCGAGACTCCTAATTTCGACCTCATCTCTCTTTTCTTCAGTACCCTCCTCGTTCGTCATCCAAATACCCGCAACTTCGGCTCTTCTCCCTCCATCAGTGTGCTCATCTTCGGCATACCATTCTAGCATATGCTGGATGACTTCACCAACCATCCCAACTCTTAACTCTAGACCAGATCTACATCCCAATCCTTCCAGTCTCTCTTTTAGATCCCATACTCCCTCGGCGACAAATTTGGCTCGATGAGGCCCTGTGCGCCATATACCGGCCACGTCACTTCGTGCTTCGGGGTAAGGAGATCGATCCTCTGAAGAGCACAAGAACCCAGAAACTTCAATTTGATTCGCAGGGAATATGTATACAGGGAGAAGATGTGTAGGGCTTAGGGTATCACTTTTTGATATAATCGAGTCTTCTCGGTGGGGTCTTTTTGTAAATCCTGACTTTTTGGCCACCAACAATGAAGCATGGTAGAACAATGGATTGTCGGTAAGTCGAATGTCGCGTCTCAAGATGTAGATAAGTATGCGCGGCCTGGATATGCACGATGGCTGTGACGGCAGCGAACCAGACATAGTGTGATAATTTTCCTTTGGCGAGTGAATAGCGATGGTTACCTCATCCGGAGTTCCCCTGTAGTGATCTTTATCTACCAGCCTCTGCTGAGCAGCTCGTTCAGTTGCTTCAGGGTTGACGAGGTTCGGGCTCGCGAGACTAAAATAGTCCACAGAGGCCTTGTGAATGCCACGATGTGTTCGGCATAAACAGTTTAGACAAAAAGAACAATCGCTTAAGGGCCATGTGGTGCGACGAATCATCAAAAATAATAGAAGTCGAATGTATGGTGTGCACGAAAGGTACGGTAGTTGTAGCTGTCAAGAATTCTAAGAAGGTACGAAACGTCAAGACATGGCGTCGACCATTTTGCAATGTCTCATCGAGATGAAGGATTTAAGGGCATGAGAGAGGATCCACCGAAAGAAATATCATCTGTCAAATCAAGTGCTGCGGACATTGCTCAAGTTGGCTAGCAGGAAGGTACATATGGCTCCCAAAACGCAGATGAGCTACGTGCAACTTACGCTGGGACATGACGTGGGCAATGGCGCCGATACGGGGACGCCATTATCGGCAACAGGGCGCCATCGCCAGATGAGAGTGAGCGTTTTAACGGTGATTTGAGAAACGTGTTTGGACGATGGGAGTGCTGCCGAGGCGTTGTCATAGAAGTCACTCAGATCGCGCCGTCCACTTGTTACGCTTGTATCGTTGTAGTTAGCCTAGATCTCGTTGGAGCGCCCAAAGATCTTGGAAATGGCGCCCCGCGAAACCTTTCCTGCACGATACAAGGAACGCTGATCAGAAACCTGCCAGTGACACGAAGGTTGAGTCTTGCTTTTTCTACAGTCAGGACAAGGTACGGGGATCGGTGGCGCCATCGTTCAGGTACAACAGAGATTAGGTTTACCTGGATTGGTTAACTCAAGCGATTGAACATCTATTTCCCGCTTCTCACCGACTCTCCTTCCGATAGTAAGCTTGTCCAGCCGCATCCCATCTGCTCCCTCTCTTCTAATTGCGCGACTCGTGATCTCAAATATCTAACAAACTGTTCGATGAACCCCGTCACGCATTGGGCAACGGGCCTTGTGTTTGTTTTTGGCCTCCAGGCCATGATTGCCGTGTTGTTTCTCGACACTTGGAGTCGTTGGCTGCCAAGCTGCCAAATCAAACGTGTCTGACTTCATAAGTGTCTCGGTAACGTTGCAAATATCCGTGACCAGGCGATCCATCATATCTAGTGATAGGCTTTCGCGGACAACCACCCTCAGAATTTCGGTTTTCTCCTCGTTCGGGGGCAATGGATAATCTGTAAGCGTTAGCTGTGGTAACAACATTAGAGCTATGACGAGATTACTCGGAATGATGTACTGTTTGGCCCTCAGCAAATTGCTGACTGCAGCTTGCTTTACATGAGGATAGTCCTTTTTGAAGTCATCCGAGACGGTGAAAGCAACGACGGGAAGTCCGGCATTATAGTCTGCACTGTTTTGGCCTTCTTCGAACTGCCTCTTGCCCTTTTCGTATTTGTGATCGCCCTGTTTTCGGTGGATATCGCTAATCTTAACCAATAGATCAATAAACAAGCATGCAGCGCTGACTAGAAAAGAAACCTACACAGCGAAACCATCCGGTACCCTCAAGCGCACGGCTGAGGAGCCGAGCGTTTGCGAGAGTGTTTTCCATAATATTCTGGTAGCCAGTAAAACCAAGGTGGATGAGATTGTAGTATTGCGCGATGATCTGCGCCCCAGGCCGTGAAAAGTTCAGAGTATAAGATTCCTCGGTGCCACCAAGGTAGTGCAGCTCGAAAAGCAGATGTTTGGGTAGATAGCTTTCATCTCGCCAAATGATCCAACCCACACCAGCATACACCAATCCGAACTTGTGACCGGAGGTGTTGATTGATTTGACCCGTGGCAGTTCAAAGTTCCACTTGAAGCCAGCTTTGGCGTGCGTGAATGGTGCAATAAAACCTCCAGAGGCTGCCTAAAATATCAAGTACTTATTAGCCTCGGTGTGCGCCAAAAATTGAAGGATACAGCAGCCATGGATTTGTGCTTACATCGACATGGATCGGGATCGAAGCTCCTGTCTTCTTCTCATAGTCATCGAGAATGTTCGAAATCTCCTCAACAGGCTCGTAATGCCCAGTGTACGTAGACCCCAGTATGACAAAGATACCAATGGTATTCTCATCAATGTTCTTCTTTACCAATTCCGGATCAAGGCGATAGGAGCTATTCTCAGAAACCGGGAGGATTCTCGCTTCGACCTCAAAGTACCGCGCAAATTTCTCAAGGGCAACTTGAGCATTGGCACCCATGATAATGTTCGGCTTCAATGTGTCCTTTCCTTCGGCTTGCCGCTTTTCCTGCCAGCGCCGCTTCATAGCCAATCCGCCAAGATGTATGGCTTCACTTGAGCCCGTGGTCGCAGATCCGATGGCCTTCTCCCCTTCTTGAACTGCCCAGAGGTGTGCGAGGATTGAAACACACCGAGCGTGCATATCCATCATGGCTGGGTACTCATCAGCGTCCGACATGTTCTTCGAGAGATTTTCAACCATTAGTTGCTCCGCTTCTCGCTCCATGTAGGTGCCAACGAAAGAGGCGAGGTTCAGGTTTGGTCGCTACAGGAGGTTAATGCTATCCAGTGGCTTCCGGTGCTTGCATTAGACTCACTCCATCCAAGTCTAACTCGTCCTTCAGAAGTTGGTGAACAACATCGGCAGGAGCACCGTCATGGGGAATGCGGAACTTGGAAAGTTCAGTTGCACTAGCGTATCGACTAGAGTACGGAGTAGTGTGAGACAGCACTCGGGAGCTAGAATGCTGTCCGGCCTTATGTGAGGGATGGTCATGTGAAGTTTTGATAAGTTCTTCAGGGTCAACGTGTCGAGCGAGGCCTGCCATGACGTCAATTGGATGGTACTGTTCAGTTATTGAAGAGCGTTCAGAAAGAACCGAAGGGCAGCCTTTTCAAGCAAGCAATACAGGGACCAAAGAGTAGATGTTCAGAAGGAGTGACGCAGCAATGATACGGTCAGCAAGTAAGTGGAGCCGAGCTGATTCCAATCCATCTCCACGGTTCCTAATGGCATGATAGACAGGCCAAATGCTTGAGAAAGCTTGTTTGGGGCTCTAATCTACCCAATTTTAACGGTTCAACCCTTGCCTGTGGCTAATAGCAAGATGGTTGATGCCGTGGAGCCGAAATAGGCGTTACATGATGGGGAATTCAATGGAGGTTAGCTTTGTAGAAATTATTGTCGAAGCGGCGATGCAGTTAAGCTGCATGATCCACCATCAATTTCCACCATCAATTGGGTCTGGAGCATCTGAGCATGAGTCCGAATACCTGTATCTTAGACGTTAGACGATGTTGGAATCGATGACGAAACCTAGGTGGGGTAATGTTTACTGCGCTTCGGAAGGCACGTGACTAAGCCAATCCATCGCCCAATGATCTAAAATACAGAGCCTGGACAGACTCGGCTTTCCTTTGACCTCGATGGACCGCTTTGAACAAAAGAGGATATTTGTTGCGAACTCTTTACTGAGGCCATCGGCATTCTAAAAGACCGATTAGAGCTCGTGCTTCGAGCCTTCTTGGGCTAGCGCCCTTCGTCATGTCACTGTCATGGAGCTGACACGAGTTGATGACGACGCCTGGTAACCTAATGCAGCTTCCCGCACCTCACCTCATGGGAGACGGAGTTCGCGCCATAAGTTCCATCTCCTTTCCTTACAATTCTATGCATCTTGGTGTTTCTATTCAATCGGAAAAAAAGTCAACCCTTCGCATTCCTTCGTATTTCGTCCGAGTCTCAGCATTGAGAAGAGGGGATTCCCCGGTTGATCTGCTACTTGCCCCTCCATAACACTGCCTCACAGAGGTGGTGTCATCGATTGAATCGCTTCTTTAGCTCTACCATCTCGAATCCCTAACATTATTTTCTGTACTCCTAAATCTTTTCTTCAATCCTAATATCTATTCAAGATGAAGTTCACTCAGTTCATCCCTTTCCTCTCCCTAGCTTCGGCGTTCGTCATTACAGACGAAGAAGTCTTTCAAGAGATCGAGAAATCCGGAAGACATTTCCTAGACACTACACAGAACGTCTTGGACGATGCTCTAAATAAAGCAACAGAAGCAGCGAAGACTGTCGGCGAAAATGTCTATCAGAAGATTCATCATGCTGGCTGCGACGTCGAGTCCTGGCTTGAAGGATCCCCATATGTTGACGACAGCTTCGAGGAGCTTGACGATGAACCCCACCATCCGCCTCACCACGGTCCACCTCATCACAAGAAACCACACCACGGCAAACCGCACCATCCACCTCATCACCAGAAGCCCAACATGTCAGTCTACGAGCTCATCAGCAAGAGCAAGTATACAACTAAATTAGCGAAACTGATTGATGAGTATGACGACCTAGTTGAGGCTCTCAACGGCACGAAGGCAAATTACACAGTCTTTGCACCAATCGATTCCGCGTTTGAGAAGATCCCAGAACACGGCAAGAAGCCATCCAAGGAATTCCTCAAGAACCTACTTCTCTACCATGTCTCCGACAGTTTTTATCCCGCCGGCCGTGTTCTTCATAGCTATACTATTCCTACCCTCTACATCCCAGAAGACCTTGGTCACGCCCAGCGTCTCACCGTCCGCGTATCCCTCAGGGGACCAACTATAAACTTCTACAGCAAGGTTGTAGCAGTCAACATCTTTGGCACTAATGGCGTCATCCACGGTGTCGATTCCATTCTCGTCCCACCACCCCGCGTTGTTGACATCATCGATCTTCTCCCTGGCGAATTCAGCACCCTTGAGCTTGCGCTCAGCAAGACCGGCCTACTTGACAAGATGAACAGCACTAAGTACCCCCATGAAGGCGGAACATTCTTCGCACCATCAAACTTTGCATTCAAGAAGCTCGGTCCCAAGATTAATGCTTTCTTGTTCAGCAAATTCGGACAGAAGTACTTGAAAGCGTTGCTAGAGTACCATGTTGTTGTCAACCAGACGCTGTACTCCGATGCTTTCTACGATGCATCGTCGACGAATTCTATCTTGACCGATCGTCCACCGTACTTCCATTTCGATCTACCCACCGTTTTGGGCAAACCATTGGCTGTCGATGTTGCGAGATATGGTCCGTTTATCTCAATCAAGATCAATGGTTTCTCCAGAGTTACGATCCATGATGGTGTTGCGAAGGATGGTGTCATTCAGGTCGTCAGTGATGTTCTCATTCCACCTAGGAACAGCGCGACGGATGAAGGTCTTTGGATGGGAGAGGAAATGAGCATTGAGGAGTTTAAGGAGAGGCTTGAGTCTTTCCTTGACGAGGGGAATCAGGAGTTGTAAAGCAGAAAGTAACACTCCTGTCGTGCTGTGGGTGGGATCTATTTGGACTGGAGAATGAGGCCTCGCTCAATACCGTTTGAGAGAACGAGTTTGGGTATCCTAAGGGACGACGACATAGCAGACTGCAGGACATTGACTTAAACCATTATTCTATTGACCTGAAGTCTATCTCGACTCATCATATACACTTCTCTAGTCTGCACCATCTCAGAATTTCACCCAATTGAAATATGTGAACATCAACTTCTGTCCCGCCCTGATCGGGTACCAAATGACGCGTAATCATCTCAAGGTGTCAATACCTAACCTCATCCTCACCTCTACCCACACATTCTCCCATGGACTCCTAAGTAAGAATCCCCTCTGACTTTCCAACTCACTTACAACCTCGCCCCCTCCATCCTCTTCGCTAACACCCTCAACTCTTTCCTCAAAATCTTCCCTGCCGGACTCTTAGGAATCACGTCCACAAACACTACCCCACCTCTCAACTGCTTATGCCCTGCCACCTTCCTCTTCACCCATTCCTTCACCCAGTTCTCACTAATCTCCTCATTCTTCCTCACCACATATGCCCTCGGAACCTCATTCGTGCGATCATCCGCCTCTACACCAATAACCGCCGCATCCAAAACGCCGGGATGTGATAGAAGTAGCGCTTCAAGTTCCGCTGGCGCTACCTGCAACCCTTTGTATTTAATCAATTCCTTCTTCCGGTCCACAATATAAAACAACCCATTGCGGAACTCCGCGATATCCCCCGTACAAAACCAGTCCCCTACAAACGCCTCTTTATCTGCTGCTTCATTCTTATAATAGCCCTTACAAACCACCGGCCCTTTTACCAGCACTTCCCCCGGCATCCCCGGTTCAACGTCGTTGCCGTTATCGTCGACAATTCGCGCCAGCATGTTAGGAATGAGAGGGGAGACAGAACCCGTGTCGTCTGTCATCTCGAACGGCATTACCGTCGCACTACCCGTAGTCTCGGATAGTCCCCACGTCTGACTGATAAAACATCCCGGCCCTAATTTCCTACTCGCTGCATACTGCAACTCCTTCCCCAACGGCGCAGCACCACTAACCGCCACCTGCAAACTCCTTAGCTGCTCTCCTACATCATCACTCTTTGCAATAAGCAAATAAATCGGCGGCACGGTAAAAAAGAACGTAACACTATACTTCTTACAGTAGGCCAGGAACTCCGGGAAAGAAAACCGCGGCATCCAGTACACGGATCCGCCCATGTAGAACGGGTTAATGAGGTAGCCTTGGATACCCGCAATGTGGGCGGTGGGGAGGTGGGCGAGCGTGCGGTATTGGAAGGACGGGTTGCTGTTGCAAATCCAAGATTGGAACATGGAGCCGGGAATTACGGTTTCGGCGACGAGGTTGCGATGGGAGAGTTTGACGCCTGGGGTGTGGGTGTTAGCATGCTACTTTCTTCATATAGGTCGTGAAGTGTTTAGACTGGGGTCAAGGGTATGTGCAGTAAGAGCGGAGCCGGGACAGGAAAAGGGAAAAAGGAGAACTGCAACACCTACCCTTAGGCAACCCCGTAGTCCCACTACTATATATCAGCACCACTAAACTCTCCTCCAGCGCCTTCTTATCGGTAACCCTCTCCCACTGCAGCCTACACTCCTCATCCACCAACTCCTTCCCCAGTCCCCCATCCAACCCCACAACCCTCAAACTCCACTCCCTCCCCTCCCCTATAACCACCACCCTCCCACCCCCATTAACCCCCCACCCCGCTTCCTCAGCCGCCTTAACAGCAACATCCCTCGTCCCCTCCACACAACACAAAACTCGGCTCTCTGCGCCCTGGATCTGTTTACTTAATTCCCCCGTTGTGCTAGCTGCACTGGCAGCCGAGAACACACCGCCGGCACCAATAATGCCGTAGCAAAGTACTGGAAGAAGATAGTGCCCAGTTGAGATTACAGACACGATATCCTGGCCCGCGCAGTGAGCACCGATACTGAAGTGGCGGCGGAGGGCGAAGGAGGTGGCTTCTGTGAGGTGGCGGGCGCGAGAGACGGTGAGTTTAAGGGTGGGGTCCGCGGCAGAGATGTGGATTGCTGTGGCGGGTTTTGCGAGGGAGTAGGGGGTATCTGGGGATGGTTAGTTTGGGGGGTTGGATGCGGGAAGGGATCTAGAGCGGTGTCGCGTGATCACGTGAGGCGTGTTGTATGTTGGGAGAATGTGCAGGGAAGAGGTGGGTCGAAGGGATGCAAGACTAACCAAAGAGCAAGGTCAAAATATCGATATCAGGAACAGGGTATGTCTTCGCAGCCCTGTATATTATGCCATCTGATGTATTTTCCACAATGGTCGTCATCTTAACGAGTTAGGAATGTGGGAAGCACAAGAGACAGCCAAAAAGGAGACGGATGAAACTGGAGAAACTGCTATCGAGAGCCCATCATTCAATTATCGTAAAGCTACAGGCTCTATTTTCAATGCATAGGGAAGAGTCTAGCACCGAGGAGCCAGGTTTTCTACCTATACCCCACTTTGTTAACTTCGAGTGTTGAGTTCCTCGGCTCGGACACATGACCTGGACAATTAACCCGCTGTCAATCAGGTCGAGTCAGCCAGATCGCAAAATACTAGCCGGCCAAGGACACCTTTTTGAGCATCAATGCATTTAGGAATGAATAATAAGGCGCGCCTTATAATGCGACTTCGAAATAGGGAGGGAAACTTGTGTCTTAATAATCTTCTATTGAATTGGAGCAAGGGCTTAGGAAGTTCTGACACCTAATTAACATTGCGTGTTCTACATTACTCTTCCAATGTATTCTTGGTTTCTGTTCCAGAGGCGTCTTCCAAATTCGCCCTCTTGTCTACTTGGTGGGCGGTGGTGTCCGTGAGCCCCCTCTTCCTCTTCATCCGATTCTCCTTTCCCTCCTTAGCTAGAAGTTCTAAATATTCATCCGTTCGTTTCTGGTGTTCCACCCAGGACATGACCTTCCAACTGTCGGGCATCTTTACCTCTCTCCACACGTAATCGTGCCTTACGTTCCTGCTCACCACTACGAATGCGCATCGCTTGTACATAGGACGTATGTTCTGGATTGGGAGCCACTTCTGGCCAAGCAGTACTTGTGTCTTCAACCACCACGCTAACTTGGCAAGACACTTGATCAATATCAGATCATGTGGTTCAATATAGATCGTCCGTTCATCCCAGAAATCTATGCCGTCTTTGAGGATGACTTTTGGGATGAACTTGGCCGGAAAGGTAGAGGGCTTGCGTCGAACAAGGGATCCATCCTTGGCTGTTTCGAGGTATTCGGAAGGGTTCTCTTGTAGCGCACGCCGAATGAGATCCTGGGTGGGTCTGGGTCTCAACCTGTCGACATAAGGGTGTTCAACAAAGTCAGAGATATGAATGTCTGTTGGTTGTGTTAGTCATTTGAGATATAATGGATTGAGCCTCTATCTTCACATTTGTCCTCTTTCCCTGTCTCATCGTCTGACCAGTAACGACTTTCCAGCCACTTGGACCCCTTGACGCTTTGGATGGCATAATCGGTGAAGAGGAGCTCGATACCGCAGACCAGTTGGGCAAGGTATTCATCGGTAACTGGTGCGACCGTAAACTTCGGCCCACGAACCTTCGTACTGTCCGAGGCTTTCTGATTCTCATCGCTTGTCGGTTTCGTCTCGAGGAGGCTGTTTTTGTTGGCCTGAAGTTGTTCGTTCCCTAGTAGTGATGATGCTACTGCCGGTCCCTGGTCTGCCGTTGCCGGCTCTGAGAATAACTTTCGAGGTGCATTTCGGGGTTCATGCGCTCCCTTAAGTCGGAGGACCCTCGGCACAAACTGGAAGGCCATGATGGACGCGTCAAGTGGGAGGAATGCGTCGCCAATCAATGGTAACGTGGGACAAACGAGGACAGGAGCGAGGCATTTGGGAGCTGGAGATGCAGGAAGAATGCAACACTACAAAAGAAGGAAATAACTGAAAGAGGAGGGTAACAAGTGAAGGTGTCGAAATCTGCTCTCGAGCTCTCATGCCATTGATAATGGATTGGTAGAGCTTCAGCACAGACCATAATTAGCGCCTTGGCATTCGATTGAACTTTCGATCTCGATCAACACCGCGACCAGCAACACCACAACTCCTCACGCTAAGACTCTTTGCCCTAAACACTTACCCCACCAGTCGTTATGGTGAAGGAGAAGAACTTCAATCCGGTCCAAGCCGCTAAAAAGGCTGAGAAGCAAAAGCAGATCAAGAAGCAGAAGGCCAATGTCCAGGCGCAACGCAATGAGAAGCTCGCCCGCCGCAATCCCACCCGCATTCAACGCGACATTGACCACCTTAAAGAGCTCCAGGAGGGTGGGGATTTTCGGCCACATGATCGAGAAAGGTTGGCCGGGCTAGAGAAAGAGCTCGCAGCCGTCAGCAAGGCGAGAGCGGCTCTTGGCGATAAAGCCCCGCAATTCGCGCAGGAGCGGAGAGACGAAGGAGTTGATCGTGGAGGAAGGGGTGGTCAGCGGGGTCGAGGAGGAGGAGTGTTAGGCAAGCGGAGGCGCGACGACGGCTGGAGAGACCGTGATGGAGATGAGAGCAGCGACACAGATTCCGACGTAGCGGACATTCCCATGCCGAAAGATACGCCACCGCCAATTCCTCCACGCAATCGCGGCCGAACCTTCTCTCAGTTAGGTCCCGAGAACGCCACTCCGCCAGAGCCAAAGAAGCCGACAATAGTCTACGAATCTGCCCCACAAGTACGCGATCTAATGAAGGAGGCAGCCCAGTTTGTCCCGGCGGCTGTGGCAGCGAAGATGAAGTTGGCAAAAGGCCAAGTACAAGGGAAGCTGATGGAGCCGGACGAATTCGACAAGCTGGAGCAAGAGGGCTATTTGGGTGGTCAGAAACCCGTTAGCTCCATAGACAAGGAGCTTGAGGAGTTCATTCGGGGAGGACAGGAGACCACAAACACAGCAGTGAAGAGGGTTGTCGATGCACCCGTGCAAGAAGTCGGCCATGGCTTGGTGGCTGCTGAAGCAAAGGGCGGAATGGAGAATCCTGCGAAACAAGGTCATGTTGCAGAGAGAAGCTTGCGGCATGTTGAGATCGAAGAGGTGGAGGATGAAGATCTATGAAGCATTCAAATCAATGGCATGCTAGACTTGTCCCCCGCAAGAGCGGCTCTACAAAATTCACCCTAATCTCACCAAATACAAGGCACCGGGATTGGCCAAGCTGGTAAATTGGAGACCTGCGGCACTGTGTCTTATAGCACTAATTCACATAATCAAATAATCACATGAAGGTAAGCTGGATTTCACTTAAATGATGACATCTCACAGATCACAAGAGACAATTTCAGTTCAGAATGTCGTTCATTCGTGAAGCTAAGGGGTATAGTGATACAGGTGTCGCCGCCTAATCGAATCTTTCAAGAGTCCATACCAAGCATGACGAGGTCGAAGTCAAATCGAAGTATCGAAACAGTTTTACCACCCGTGATCGAGTACAATCGTCTATTTCTTGGTAGCACCAGAGAAAGTATCGGAGACGGACTGGGCGGCGTTGCCGAGAGTCTCCTGGGCCTGTCCAAGCATGCCCTTGCCCTGGGCGGAGGCATCATCCCCGCCAGAGCGGGTGGCGTCGCCGACCTTCTGGGTGGCAGATTTGTTCCCCTCTTTGGAACAGTCAATGTCTAAAATTTGAGAAGGATGGCTATGAGTCGAGCTTACCAGGTTGGACGGCGCCAGCAGCGCGGTCGTAGACACCAGTAGCGCTCTCCTTGGCTTGGTCGAGAGTGGATTTCTGCGAGTCTGGAGTGACCTTCTCCTTAGCTTGGTCACCGAGGCCCTTGCGTCTGAAAGAGTTAGCGGATAGTCGACAGCAATGATTGAAGGAAGGGCTCACCCGAGGTCTGACATATTGATTGTTGGTTGGTTGAAGGTTGTTGGAGTGGAAATTGGTGTTGTTCTTGCAGAAGGAGTTGAAGTTGGAGTGTGATGGAGGAGAGATCGAGTCAAGCGGCCGAAGAGGTGTTTATGTACTCCCCTCAAAGCAGCCCGAGCTCTTTTGCCAACAGTGCGATGCACACCTACGACAGAGCGACGTCATGGTTTAGGAGAGAAATGGCAGAAACGGCGGGCGACGCCGGAAGTAGCATGGAAACGGCCCTTCACATGTCTTGTGGCGAGCGGTGACAGATCTTTCCAAGCCACGGGTATCCACAATTGGTCGATCTCACCTTCCGATGGGCGATTTTTGAGATTCCGCATGTCTTCATGGTGGTTTACATGCGCATGACCCCTCACCACCCCGCTGACGTCACGCCTAACCGAAACGGGCTAGCTTCACGTGACTTACTCTTCTATTTCTTCAGCTTCTTGACTTCACACTCGCTAGTTGAGAATAGGCATCACAGGGTTTATAGCGCGGTGTTTGTTTAGGGCAAGTATGTTTCATTTGCCCATGTCCACGAAATCCCCTTCACCCTCCTCTTCAGCCTCAGTTTCTATTGAGTCGTTCGATTTCATCTTCGCCCCTAGCAGTGGGGTTTGTTTACTCTACTAGGATTCTTCCCTTCAAAAATAACCCACTTTTCACTATTGTCACGCATCGTTGATACAAACTCCAAGAATAGCGCGCACACCTCAATCGCACACTCTTATCTCGAGAGACGATAGATATGAGTTCTGAATCATGGGAAGGATTTTAGGAGGCACTGCCATTCTTCTATCTTGGCTCCGAGGCTGTACTGACGCTAGAATAGACTCTAGGCGACCAACCTTGGTTGCTTGCCTTAACCCCAAAGTTCATCAGTGTACCGAAGGTTCCTGGCTGTGACGTCGAATATGAACCCAGTCGTTGAAGATGATCTTTTTGTTGTCAGAGTCAACCGGGCGCAGCCGGGTAGTCATGCGACAAGGCTTGGATGGAAGAACTACTTTTACGTGTTTGCTGATGGCCTTTTTACAGGCTCTCAGGCTCCACTCCCTTGCAAGGCTTGGGACGGGGATCATTCTCAGCATTTTGCCACGACAACAACCTAGGCCTAATTTAGCCTAAACCGGGATCCAACTCGGTACAGGACCAATGATTTTCCGAGAAAGAGCTGTGGATGACTGGCCAAGCAGGCATTCTCCTGCCACTCCCAATTACCTTTGAAGACAACATCCCTCTTGTGTTTCAGAACTACGAACATCACGAAAGGACCCTCCCTCTGCTTCTTCACCGCTTGCGATTCGAACCACGTCGATCTTCCGCTCATCTCGTTTGTGATTTCTCTCACTGCAATATTCCCCGGTGAAAATACTGTCATGTTCACAAAGGCTCCCTACTATAACTCTCTTGCTGGCGAGAGATCACCGCGCGCCTAATCCCGCTGTGCCTCACGAGCCTCTACCGAGAGCCCAGCATGCTGTCACTGCCACGGACCATGGTCAGTTCAGCAAGGATTCGGATCGTCACGGGCGTTCGGGCGTTCGGGGCCTATAGTGGAGACGGGCGACATGTAGGACTCCTAACAGGTTTGTTTTTGTAAAGTGCTGGTGCAAATTTTTAAGGCGCTCGCACACAGCCAGCCATACTCTCCAAGAAACACGTCAATATACCGGGTCTCTATCCTAACCCCGGCTGTGCTTTGGCTGTCATGAGCGGCGTAGCTGAAGAAGATATAATGCAGTCTTTCTCGCTCTTAAGATGTCTACACCGTACTATCATCGCAAATTTCAACGCATTTCCATGGTTACCCTATTGATATCATACAACTATACCCTGCACGTTTTTTGTACTTAGCACCATAGTGCTTAACAATGTTCGTCATGAAGTACTACAAGTCTCTCTTCCTTTTGCCACTCCTCCAAGTCAGCCCTGTAATCGCCGACTACAACGCCAATGCTGAAGCCGCCATCAAAACGCTCAATAACAAGTGGTATGACACAAACACAGGCCTATGGTAAGTCACCCTCTAAACACGTGACTTCTGTTCTAATGACACTCAGGAACAAACTTTGGTGGCAGTCAGGAAACATGGTTACGACGATAGCAAATTTTGGCATCCATGATAACAACTTCAAACAAACTGCAAAGGACATCGTTGCCAACACTTACGCCAAAAGCGCCAACGCCCAGGGCCACCCCGGATGGAAGAATGACTACTACGACGATGAGGGCTGGTGGGCTCTTGGTTGGATCGCTAGCTACGACCTAACAAACGACGTCAAGTACCTCAACACCGCCAAGGACATCTTCGAAGACATGACAGGAGGCCACACCACACCCTGCGGTGGTGGCATCTGGTGGGACAAGAAGAAGACCTCCATTGCAGCCATCTCCAACGAACTGTTTCTCTCTGTAGCCGCCCACCTCGCCAACCGTGTCTCAGGTAATGACAAGCAAAACTACGTCAACTGGGCGAAATCCGAGTGGGAGTGGTTCTACCACTCCGGCATTATCAATAGCGAAAACGTGATTAACGATGGCATCGACAAAGGCACATGCAAGAATGATGGCAAAAAGGTCTACACCTACAACCAAGGCGTGATCCTCGGAGGGCTCGCCGAACTCGCCAAAGCAACCGGAGACGGTGGCTACATCGACAATGCGAAGAAGATTGCCAATGGCGCGATTAACAAGTTAACGAAGAACGGGATTTTGACTGAGGACTCAAGTTCTCTGGATGAGCAGGGCGCGCAGTTCAAAGGCGTGTTTGTGAGAGGGCTGATAAGGCTCCACCAGCAGAGTCCGACACAAAGCTTTAGTACCTTTCTTAAGACGAACGCGGATTCCCTTTGGTCGAAAGATAAGACTGGTGATGGCGTTCTTGGTCCCCTTTGGCAAGGTCCGGCCGCGAATGCGAATGCTGCAAGCCATGCTGCGGGTATTGATTGTCTTGTCGCTGCCGCTCAGGCGTAGACCGACAGCACTTATTTACTCTCGCTTGCACGTCTCGAAACGAAGGGGAAATTATGAAGGTTTAAGTGGTGGGGTGTTCAATGTTTTCCTTTATAGTGTTTATTTGTTTATACCCTGGGATTTTTGTTGGCACTGACCGGGCGAACGACGCCAGGGGTCTTACGGCTATAGAGGCACTTTTATCCCGACTCGATTCTTCATCTCGACGCTGTTAGGGATCGCGATAAGCTGTCGCGGATTTATCAACATGAGGATTTGGACCTTGAGCTTTTTATTTTCCTTATTCCAACGCTCGTTCTTCATTTGTTCGAGATCGATCTACCCGAGCTCTGTGGATTGAGGATTGCACGTTGCTGATGGTATATATGGGATGGGATGTGATGGGCGACATGGGATGAGCGAAGAAGACCAGGATTCACGATCGATACGAACAGAACGACATATCTCTGGGAGGATTGACACCGGCCGTACATACATTGCGATTGATACTTACCCGGCAGTTGGTCATATCCCCCCTTTATTTTCTGCTTGCACTCACTCGCAATCTTTGTATACCGATAGTTTGCTAGTATAAAGTTACTTCTAAGGTTCATCATGTTGGACTTGGAATGTGATACATCGCCTACAACGCATCCATGACACATTCCAATACTGTTTCTCCCACATCACAATTTGACAGGTCGTGTAACCGTAAAACTCTCCTTCGCTGGAATTGCACTCGAATCTGCATCCTTGACTCTAGCTTACTGTGTATTTCTAGACTCCATGATTGGCTATTGCTGTTACCGCATGCATATCCTGCACTCCATGGATTTCCTTACTTCATATATGTCCTCCCTCCACAGATCGGAGGTCGGATGACAGCCACCCCGCATCTTCCTACCATCCTTTCTCGATTAACTGCCGTCGCCGATCAGGCAGGTAAAATCTCCCCCGGGCGTGTAAGCAACGTGGTTCGAATTAAAATGCACGCATGCCTCACGCGTTGAGGGAGATTGACATCATTTTAGTCACGATGCATTTAAAGCGCAGGGGATGGTGTGCGCGTGCCTGTGCCTGGGAGTTTTTCGGGTGGCGCCGATAGCTGCGGGCTCGAAAGAGATGTGCACGCATCCCTGTTCGTCGAGGACGATCGATGGAGGGGTGGGATCAAGAGATAGGTGGACATGTGACTTTTAGTTTTGGGCGATGAGGGTTAGGGTAAGGGGTGGACGATGCGACAAGAGTGAGGGGAAAGAGATAAGAAAGTACTTGGGGAGATGTATGGGTACTTCAGCGTCGTCCAGACCCTGGGAACTGGAAGAATGAGCTACGCCACGTGACCATTCCTTTCTCTCACTCCCCGGACCATCACCATCAACGTGAAGCCTTCCTTTCCTTCCTTTAGCTACCATCGTACCCTCCTAGAAAATCACTCTCATTAGCCCATTCAGTCTTACAGCATCACTAAACCCTCCCTCTATACCATACTTAAGCGTTCATTTCCTCAATCTTTCACTTATAACGAAGGGTTGAAGTCTCGAGTGGCCGCTTCTCTAGCACTAGTTGGCCTGTATGCAAAGCAAATTTGATACTGTCCTGTCAGTAATTGAGTGAGTGCCCACAATCATGTATATGTAGGGTTGGATTGTATTTTTTTTATGTTATTCTTTTGGCCGGTATATGAGAGAGGTGCTGACGTAATGCCGGAGGGTTTAGTTGGGAGGAAGATGAAGCTATCCTATGAAACTAAGTATAATCACGTGCATGTATTTTCGTTAGCTTATTTTTAGGTCCAGAGAGAGATTACAGTGCTTGACAGTGGTGAGATTTTCCGGGCAAGGCGGGAACGTATGCGCTTGCACCTAAGGATTGTTAGACTACAAATCCCTCTCTCGCCATCGATGATGCAGCACAACTGCAGCAGTCTCTCCATAAACATAAGATAAGCCAACGCCATGAAGCCAAATGGTCTTACCGCTCACCCAAAACCAATATTCCCAAACAGTCAGTTAAACATAGTAGGAAGTACAATATCCCCCGAACCCACGCTCCATAAGCGCAATCGCAATCACGAATCTTATTCGCTTCAAAACACGTAGCGACGACACGTATTAAAATCACAAATAACATGCCATTTACGACACTTCCGCAAATTCCTTGTGCGAGCACTGACTGCCAATAATCTTTACGTATGTTCATCATTATTAAGCCTAGTAAGTATAAGCTATCCCTACGCGAAGGATGAGTTGGTGATGCTCTCTATCTGACGCAGAACCAGGGTACAACGGCATGAATATAAAAAGGAATGTCATCAGTATCCCTATTCATGCAACTTTTGGTGGAGAGGAGAGACAGCGAGACGTAGTACGCTTGGAACATACCGAATAAAGATATAAAATCCCACTCGGGAAATGTTATTGTGTGGGGCCGAGGACTTGGGACTAAGCCGTTCCGCATCTGTGTGGAAGCTTAATTATTAGTCGCACATGTTGGTGTGTTTGGGGTTTGTTATTGGTTATCGGGTGACTAAGTTCGAGGTCGAAGTTATAAGAGGGGATGCTGCGTTGGTCCATCATAGGTGAGGGGGGTTCGCGAAACTGACATGCTTGAGGGGATGCATGAAGTGATCCGCTAGTTTTGAGACTTATCGACGTTTGGATTTTTGGGGTAGTTGGACGTATGAGGAGTCGCAGCTTGCCGAATACTGCTCTATCATCATTGTGCCGAATTTGCCAACATGCGGAGATGTGTGAACTAGCTTTCGGATTCTGGTAGTGCGGCAGAACGTACAAAACCAAAGAGGTCTTGAGCGTAGAAGAAGACATAATAGGAATGTATAAGTAGTATTCTATGTATATGTAAGCGTTGCCCGTGGAATGTGTGTTTGCCGACTAAGATCATCATCTTCTACAAACATTGCAAATAGTAACCGTTTGAGAAGGTGCAAGTCGAATTGGAGGCGCACGCCGCGCATTCATAATATGAAGACCCACCACATTGGCCATAAGTAGCGACGACTTTATAGCCTCCAGTGCCAGCTGTAGCACTCGGCTATGTTCAAGTTCTCAACGTCGTTGGTGATACGAGAGAACCATCACCAGTGACCCCGCCTGACCCCGAACCCTTCATCGTTAACACCGCTATACTCCACTGCGGAAGGGAGAAATTAAAACCAGAGCTCGTTGTAGTGATGGTCTGGGTGTTCGTAGTGACAGGATTAGAGCCTCCAGGCGTGACAGAAGAGTATGCATTTGGCGCCGTCATAATCGTAAGCTGCGCAGTTGCACCAGAGGTTTGTCCAGGAAAAGTGAGTTGAAATGGAATTGAGGAGGAGGTATTGTATACAGCTGATTTGAAGATGTATGTGTTGCTATTGTTGTTGACCCCTGCAACCCAATACGCTGGTCCGTAGCTCGCAGAATTGGTAAGGGGAAGAACAGTTGTCATGCGGTTTATGCTGAAAAGCTTGATTTGCTGGTATGACGTGCTCAGGGCTGTTTGGGATGTGTCGGCTGAGAACGAAATCAAGTCGGGATGCCACTGATGGCTGTTAATGTTCTGGAGCAGCGGAGCGTAGCAAAATCCTATAACCTTGTCGGCATTCTTCTCTCCTCCGAGTTCGAAGATGGCCTCAGAGACGGCGCCAATCCACCAGGGATAGCTTTGAAACGGCTTCCCCCAATCTGTATTTGCACCAGTTTTCAAATTCGCTTGGACGGCAGCGTATTCTCCAACCAATATCTTGTGCGAAGTTGACACAGAGTCGAATGTGTTGAACTCAGCTGCAAATGCGTCGGGCGTGTTGTATTCATGATCATCCTGTATAGTCTTCCCAGGCTGAGGTGAAAGAGCTCGAGTGGAGGCAATGATCTCCATGTTCGGGTACTTCGCTATGATTGCGTTGTAGAACATAGAGTAGCGGTACGAATTGTACGATGATTGTCCCTTGTTCAGGTTGTCCTCATTTCCAATCTCGACATATTTGATTGGGAAGGGATCGTCGTAACCAAGGTCTACGCGCAGTTTGCCGTAGATAGTGGACGAGTCGCCCATCAAGAATTCGAGTTCGTTCATGGCATCATTTACGAGTGCTTGCAGAGCTGACTGAGAAACAATCGTCCCATCCAGATATAAACCCGCAGGAAACGCAAGAACGGGCTCCATGTTAAGATCTTGGCACCAGTGCATGTACTCGACCTTCCCTTGTCAGCAAAGTGCATATATAGAACCCAGAAAGCATGCTTACAAGCCCAAGGCCGTCAGTATTGTAATATCCCCATGTACCGGAGCGGCCTGGTCGCTGCGTAAGATCACCAATGGTTTGACTCCATTTCCAATGATTTGGTGACTTGTTGCCTTCGACGTTATTGCCTCCTGGAAGGCGAAGGAAGCTAGGATTCATGGCTTTCAAAGCTTCCATCAATTCAATTCGCATGCCGTTAGGACGATTATTGTAGGTCGGCGGGAATAAGCTTATTAGATTAAAGTTCAATGTTTGGGATGAGTTTATTGGAGTGAATGTTAGAACGAATGTATTCTTGACATCAAGTGCTTTAGTAGAGGGTGTAAGCGTGAAGGTATGTTTGGTCCATGTTCGGGTTTTGGAATTCGAGGAAATGCTAGCGGATGCGAGGACTGCCCCAGATGATGATTTGAGTTGGGCAGTAAAGGAGCCAGAGTAGTCGCCCATAACATAGAAACTTCCAGTGTATGCTTGCAGCTTAACTTCGATGCCCCACCAGCCAGGATTTGAGAGCCCGACAGTAGCATTTGCAGCTCCGTTGATAGCTACCGATTTCGATAAGGCACTAGATATCGCTGGAGACGTAGTTCCTAGGGTCAAGCTCGCTCCTCCCACTGCCGTCCATGGAAATATAGATGATGTGCCCTGGAATGCACGGTTCTGAATCAACTCAGCATAGCTGTGAGATGACATGAGTGGCTAATCTCGCATTTCAAGGGGAGTTACTTGCATGCCGCCATCTCCAGAGTGGTTTATGTCTTCGAACATGAGGCCATATTGGAGTGGGTGTACAGCTTTACCACCAGATCCGGACACTGCGACAGTTATTGCGTTGACAGCAACAGATACGACGAAAGGAATCAGATAATAATAGGACAACATCTTAGCAGTCGCTCTACAGTAGCCCTTGAAGGGGACATCTTGAGCATTCCATAACGGGTCATATATGCTTGGTACGTGGAATCTGACTAAACTCTATGTATTACCAAGTAACTGCAACTGAAATTGCTGGAAACTGAATTCTTCCGTATAGATTCACGATGCGGAAACAGGGTATCGAGAAGCAGGGGATGCATCCTGCCTTTCCTTTTCGCCATGAATAGCGAATGCCACTGCGCGGTCGCGCATGACTCGAGGGCCTTGTGTAGGCTTCACTCGAATTGGGCTCCTTTCAAAATTCGACATAGGCATTGATAGATAGGATGGTTGAGGGCGATGTTCACATCATTGCCCGAGGACAAATTCTGACAGTTGGTCCGTGCACCTCGGTCTTCTATATTAAAGTGTCTTCCCCGCCGAGTTCTTCACGTTCACGGAAAAATCTCAAAACTAATGTGCCACCACCATCGCACCCTTGATAATCTCTTTCGAATTTCATTTCCGCATCCGGCTGTACCAAAGGAGGAATCACGATTCGTTCATCGTCGACTAGGCATTAAAAGCAGGCAATCCCCTTGTTATGCTACTATCGAATAGTAACTCTCCACTGACCGGGGACTTCATTTGCGACTAAGGCCATGGCATCACAAACTAGGCTGAGGCTGATGCCTTATGACACGATGAATCGACGCCTCTAATGACGGTTTTAGAACGACTTAACGCTTATTGGATTACAAGACTAGGAAGAAGTGGCAATTGCTATTCGCCATGCTCTAATGCGAAATTGATGCTTTATCTCCGGATTTCAATAACAACCTTTCCAACGTGCTTTTGAGCCCGCAAATACTCGTATGCCTCTTTTGCGTCCTCGAAACCGAACACCCTTTTATCAACGGTGGGGTGGAATTTCCACTGCTTCATCATTCCTACCATCTCCTCATACTGTGCTCTTGATCCGCCTAATATGCCCCGAACATTTGCCGCCCGCGGCAGGACCTCAATCAAAGACGGCCCAGGACCTCCCTCCCCCCCCGTCAAGAATCCCGTGACTGCTACGGTCCCATCGTATCTGATGGCTTTGAGGCTCTGGGCTAGAGTTCCGGAGCCCCCTACGTCGACCACTAAATCCACGCCCTCGCCATTGGGGGATAGTTTCCGTGCTGTTTCTCCCCATGTCGGATCTTCGCGATAGTTCAACACCTTGCTCACGCCGAGTTCTGTCAACCATTGAGCCTTTGCATCTGAGCTGGTTGTCCCAACCACGGTGGCACCGGAGAGCACGGCAAATCCGGCTGCGAACATTGCTGTCGCGCCTGTACCTTGAGTGAGTACCCAGTCGCCTGCCCTGATGCCGCGTGGCCCTGAGCCACCGGCGGCGGCGCCAACACCGGAGCCGAAGAGGATGTTCCACGCGGTTACACCTGCTGCACCGAGCGTACTGGCCTCAACAAAGGTGAGATAGTCTGGGAAGCGCGCAACCCAAGACGCCGGCAACACAACATGCCGTCGAAGGAGACCAGACAAGTCCCCATCACCCAGGGTGCGGTGAGTAGCCGTGGTTAGGTGGCCCGAGACGTGTAAAGGGGCCGGGAGGACGCAGACAGCGTCTCCGACAGAAAGTGAGGTGACAGAAGCACCGACAGCAAGAACAACGCCAGAGCCGTCACTTGTTGGAATGAGGGGAAATTTGACGGGCAGGGGATAGCCACCCTATAGTTGATAAGCTCTGGGTAGTGTTGTAGAGTGACGGAACCACTTACACTGGCTATAGCAAGGTCACGATAGTTGAGCGAGACAGCTTTGATCTCGAGAAGAACCTCGTCATTACCAATAGCCTCCACGGGCACAGACTTATTAAGACGGAGTGCGGGAGAACCAGGACTAGATACGGACTCGATGACCCACTCATCAGTTACGGTAGGTACGGCCATGGTGATGTGACTTGTGGATGAGGATGACTAAGGCTGAGGTGGTCGAAGTTTAAAGCAGACAACGGAATGTTCTACCTTTTTGCCTGGAGGGAAAGCTTACATATTCTGTCCTGCTCGGACCAAATACGGACATTGTTTTAATACTAGTTGACCAATCTATAAAGTTCAGAGCTTGATCAGTGGAACTCCGTTATACGAGTAGCAACTACATTTGTCATCAACATGGTATGCCAAGAAGCCGTACTATAGACAATTCCCAAGGTAGAAACGATCTGCAAACCTTTATTCAGGATCAGGCCCTAGTTTATGACGAAAGAGCGCAGATGAGAGTACCGTAACCATGGAGATTAAAGGTGGAAAAAAAGAAGACACATGGACCAGCTCAAAGATTAAGATAGATGTAAACTTGTTTGGTGAAGTGCTTCCCTAATGACATCGGAATCGGACTAACCCCATAGAACTTCCATCGCTCTGTCAGATATCTTGCCCTCTTCTGGAGTCAGGAATCCTATCCGTCCACCTCATCATCACATCGGCAGCATGCCCAGCAATAATCGGTTTTCTTAGCGAACTTGATCTCATCAGCAACATCGTTGCCCTCTCTAGAAACTTCACCTTACCCATCTTTGCTCGCATTCTGGCGGCTCAAACCAGCACGCTTCCTGGCACACACTCGTTCCCTTTGAAGCAACAGTTGGCGGGTCTCTCGCGTTGGTAACTGGTTTTGCTGCGGCAAGAAAAGCGACGAAGGGTAGAATAAAAATGAACGAGTGCATATTGATGGTGTTATAGTCGTTTGAGAGGAAATTTGAAGTAGGTTCTGATGGTGATGTTAAGTATTTATGTAGAAGGTCCCCCGAGTTTGATATAATTAACGATACGAAAATGTGTACGTGGCAGAAAATACCAAGTCACGATAAGAATGGGGAAAAGATTGCAGGAGTAACCTTTCAAGGTATCAAAGAGTAGAATCGTTCGTGGTATGGTGCGGAATTTTTTTGCATCGAACTTGTCCTTGCATTATATACTAGCCAGAACCTGGGAAATGGCGTGAACAGGGAAGCACGTGACTAGGGGAAATGCAGAACGGAAGTCAAATATCCCTAGATATTTATCTTCTTCCGATCTCAGATTGGTACTTGAATCCATCCTTGTTGGCTTCTGCACTTTAGGATAGTAGCTGAGGGATTGCCGCTTTCGTATATGAGGGCGTATTCGAGAGTCCACCTCGCTCACTTAAGAATGCGCGTAAAACTATCCACAAATATCCTCAAGCTGTTTTACAAGACATGGAGCTTTTACCATGGCTTTTATCCAGAATTCTCTTTTTTGGTTCACTGTACAGGTAGATGTTCCAGCCTAACGCCCCTTAGGAGCTGAGTGTATGTTTGTGGTCAAATCAAGCCGTGTGACTTTTCCGTGGCGGTTGTGAGCTTGTTATTACTGCTCGGTGGTCACGTCCTCAAGCCAATCTGCAAGCCTTGAAGGGCAACGAATATTGACGCGAGTAGTACCGCCTTCAGCTGTTGCAACTTTTAAGTGGCACCACCTAGGCTTTCCCCAACTGCTCTGAGGTCTAAGGCTTTGCTGAGTTTGCTTCACCGACTATTTCCTCGATCATTTCTTCCACGCCATGCGATTTGATCCTAGATGGCCTCGACTTCATTTCTCGGTTGTATTTGGAACCCGAGTGATACTTCTGGTTATTTTAATAGGGGTTCACTCGGGTCTGATAGCTCAAGAAGAAAGTGTATATTTGATAACTGAAACGAGTGGTATCGCTGTCGCAGATGTGTAGTGCCTCGACACTCTATGATTTCCAGAGAAACACAGCATCCGCAAACTCATCCGCGCACTCCCAGTATTATGATCTGCACATATTTCTCACTCGACATCTTTGCTCTCATCGTCGAATTGGTGTGCTTTCTGAAATGTCGCTTGAGCCGTCCTTGGGTTCTCGGGGTCCATATTTGTCTGACTTCATTGTGGTTAACGTCGCTGGGTGTGTTCTTTACGCTTTTCGGAATTAATGTCGCAAACATTCACTCGAAATCTCATTGACCTGAGTTGCCGTTACTCTCAGCTACAGGCGCGTTCTTAACGCTCTGTTTGTATGAAACCTCACCCGTATGTCCTAACTGCGTACTGATATGCTGGTTACACAAGCTTAACAAGCCTCTACTTAACCGTCCTCTCCCTCTTCATCTTTCTCTGCACCAGGCAGCAATCGCAGCCTTCTCACAACTCCGAAGCGGACCCCCGGAAGTACTCAGTCCTCAACTAGGCTACCCTCTACAGAAGATCCAAGCCGAAGTAAAGAGCGAACTGATCCAGTACCCCTTTACTCCGCAGGAGCTTTGGAACACACACCACATCTCTCCACCCCCTCGTTCTTTGCTATCTCGGCATCATGCTAGTGGCACAATTGAAGTGAATGGAGTGCTTTATCGGGCGGTTTCAAATAACGAGATAGGAGGAGCTCGAGCTGAGAATGTACAGGTGGTCGGAGGGACTATGGCAGATGTTCTGGAATTGGTAGCAGAGACGCAGAGACGGGAGCTGGTGGAGCTGGGGACAGACGCGTATACTCTCGGGAGGTCGGGAAGGGGTAAAACCGAAGTTCATCAAATATAACCTCAACATGGCCGCGAAGAAGACTAGCGAAGTAGGTTTCGGACGTGCTAAGTTAGCACTTTGGGATTTCAAGACGAATTGGAAACTTCAAGTTGACGGGGAACGATCTCGTGAAAACATGCCTATATCCTAGTTACAAAGTTACGACTAGTAGCTACTCCCTTAGCATCCAAGGCGACTCTGACTCGACATTAGAATGTTATCTTACTTTACGCTCAATCGGATCTCTAAATTGGAAGAATTGGAATGATAGACGCTAAAAGGAGATACGGAAAAGCGAAGCTTCAGGCGAGTATTCGTAGTCACTCCACGCATCCTGCTGGCCTAGCTGTGTTCTAAACAATCTCCGAAATACCTTGTAACCGCATACCGACCTCTAGAAGATAATAGTTAAGGGGAGAGGGACAGGGAGGCTGGAGGTCAGCATCTATCCTGGTATCTTGGCGCAGGTTGGGAGCGCGAAGTGGCTCCAGCCATCCCTTACAATAGCCTCCCCAACGTCGTCTGCATCAATCACACTTCCACTCAGGCCCTCATCCACGCACTTAGCTCTACGCTGATAAGGTCCGAGTCATCACGGCGCAAGTGCCGCGTACGAACGGGATTCCTACCTGTTCTCCACCATCGGGTCCTCCCGCGCCATGCGACAGTCTCTGGAGAAGGCATCAATCTAAGTCCTGGGATACCTCTTTTAGATACGCCCCAGACCGTTTCTGCATTACGTCCGGGGTACAGGCATAGTGACCGTGTCTGAGCGCGATCCTCAGGCGAGCCCTAAATTGATATTAAGCTCTTCATTGCAGCCCTTGTCATCTCGTTCTCTGCTTGCATTTCATCTCACACTCCCCTCGAAAGATGGTCTGACTTGAAATTGGACGACAAAAAGATGGTTGAGTTCATTGCAGTTATTGCTGCGTTAGTCGCAGCCCTCATACAACCCTCTTCAGCTGGCCCTCTACTGCCTAGATCTGGACAGCTGGGAACTCTAGAAAATGCGACATTTGATTATGTGGGTAAGTAAAACATGATTGCGTCGCAATTTGCTTGCCATTGCGGTACTAAAAAAGAGGTAGTGATCGGCGGCGGGACGGCAGGATTGACAATCGCTGCCCGTCTTGCAAAATTCGCATCGGTGGCTGTGATCGAGGCCGGCGGCTACTATGAAGTAGACTATGGAAATGCTAGTGTTGTTCCTTTGCTGTCGTTGACTGGTCTTGATGTTATTGACCCATCCACGAGTTTTCCACATCGGCCTGAGATAGATTGGGAGTTGGTGACAATTCCTCAAACCAATGCCGCGAATCGGGTGCTCCATTATGCACAAGGCAAAACTCTAGGCGGCTCCTCCGCAATCAATACCATGTCCTATATTCGTTCCACGAAGAGCGCATACCAGCGCTGGGCAGATCTAGTTGGGGACGGTAGCTACACGTTCTCCAACCTACTTCCGTATTTCAAGAAATCTGTTCATTTGACACCACCAAATCTTGCGAAGCGCAACGCAGCCAACGCAACACCCGAGTACGATCCAGATTCATTCGGTATTGGTAGTCCATTGGAAGTTTCCTGGAACAACTGGGTCGATCCAACGCTCACGTGGCTTGCGAAATGCCTACAAGCCGTCGGACTTACTATCAACCCAAAGGGATTTAGCAGCGGCGAATTGAATGGAGGTTCATGGCTGCCGTCCACGATTGATCCAACTCACGCTACAAGAGACTCATCTCAAACTAGCTTCTTGGACGAAGCTATGCCGGGTACGCAAATCAAGGTATACTCCCATAGCATGGCTACCAAGATCCTCTTCGATGGCAGCAAGGCGAAGGGTGTTAGCGTGTCTACCAACGGGACCTTGTATACCTTATCGGTTAACAAGGAAGTCATTGTGTCCGGAGGAGTATTCCACTCCCCACAGATTTTGATGGTCTCAGGTAATTGAAGTTATCTAATTTTGTGTCAGCGAACGCTTATATTGGCGCAGGTGTTGGCCCAAAGGCGGTTCTGCAAGCTCAAAATATCCCAGTTGTCGCAGATCTCCCAGGCGTGGGGCAAAATCTGCAAGATCCAATCTCTATTAATGTCGCCAACTTCGTTAATACCCCCAATGCTCAGTCCATCGTAGCGAACCTGGCTACCGAGCCCGAAGCCCTCCGCCAGTATCGTGAAGAGGCCGCTGGTCCATACAGCTCTGCGGCGGGATACATCTCCTACGAACGACTCCCGACGGAGCTTCGAGCGACTCTTTCTAATGCTACTCAAGCCGCGTTAGCTGCCTACCCTTCTGATTGGCCCGAGCTGCAATATATTGTCGGTACTTTCCTTTCGTCAAATGGGAGCTCAATGGGCGCAATTAGCGCAACCATCACCACCACCTTCTCCCGCGGAAGTGTAACGATAGCCAGCGCTAGCATTACAGACGCTCCTGTGATCAATCTTGGGTGGTTCAGCAATTCAGCTGATGGCGAAGTTCTCATTGCAGGAGTGAAGCGAGTGCGTCAAGCATGGTCATCGGAACCTGCGCAGTCAATCCGTTTAGGTCCTGAATTCATTCCAGGAGTTGACGTCGACACTGATGCCAAGATTTTAGATTTCTTGAAGAACAATGTGAATATGATTTGGCATGCGAGCTCAACTTGTGCGATGGGAAAGATAGGAGATAAGATGGCAGTGGTGGATTCGAAAGCAAAAGTATTCGGCGTACAAGGGCTACGAGTGGTGGATATTTCGATATTTCCTTTTTCTCCACCGGGTCATCCTCAAGCTTCGGTTTTCATGATAGCTGAGAAGATAGCAGATGACATCGAGAACGGAAGATGAGGTGCTTTTCCCTCGCGACGACTCACAATTGAGGGTTTCGAGGATCTGCGGCATACAATTCACCCGGATGACAAGCTTCCCTAATTGTTCCTTGACACAGAACAAGCCTCAAACTAAGCACAATCTCGATATTTTTGACGAAGAAGCAGCATGCCAAGCAGCACATGCCTGAACGTGTCCTAATTCTCTCCCCAGTCTCTCGCGAACGGCTTGATCTTGCAGCCTGGATCTCAGCCCTTCCTTGGCATTCCGCTTCGCTGGGAGCAACGACTGGCGACGCTAAGGAAATCTCTCAGCCCTCGCTCCACTCGATGAATTCCTCTGAACTTCTTCGCTTCGGTTTTCAGCCGGTCCTTATTTTCGTGTTATCCTGTCTGAGCATCGAACGTCCCTGGCGCCTAGCGAACGGCTCTACCATTTCATTGGATCTGATTACTTACTCTTAACGGGAAATGGCTGCGCTTCCCATTCAAGCCATTTGCTCTGCCACTCGTAGTGTTCGTCTATTTCCATCGTTTAGGAGTAGCTCATTATAAGGTTGCTGGGCAATGATATATTTCCGCCCATATGGCCTAGTAGTCCTCGCCCTCTTATCTGGCTCTTTTCTTTCCACTTTCCTTCCAACTATCTGGTGACCCCTCAGGATGTTGGTTTCGATACTTGCTGCCTCGGCGATTCTACTCGAAGCTGTTAATGCGAAGGGAGGTGGGAAGGGGGGCGGCGGCGGCGGTGGTGGTGGTGGAGGAGGAGGTGGTGGTGGAGGTGGAGGAAGCACCACGATTGCTTATACCACACAGGAGTATGTTAAATACTAATTTCACTGGCCTTGCTTACAGCAATCAGGTGCTACACCGGTACACTTGGACCGGTCTATAGTACGGAGAACCAAACAACGGGAAAGCATACAGAGGGCCCCGTGTTAGAAAACGGCTATAGATATTGGGTTTGGAATGATCAACACGAAGAATCAAGTAAGACGCATCCTTACGATTGCCTTACGATTCCAACATGAAGGCCTACTAACTGGCTGTAGCCGTGAACTACATCACCACTAAGACACCTAACATTAATTGGCAGATGGAGATCCTTGACGCCTACTACAACGGCTCCTTCTCAGTCACGCTTACCCCCCCATCCGGTAACAATACGTACAATTGCCCAACCCTGCACTCGCCTGACGTTCCCAATGCCTTTTTCCGCCTTGGTCCCCAGTCTCGAAACGGAGTATCGCGAGAAGGGTACGGTGACAAGAACAACTACTATTTTCACTTCGGACGTACAATTCCAAATGCCGATTGCCCTTACACACCAAATAAAGCTTTCGTAAACTTCGAATCCAGCAACGACGAACTTCAAAACGCGCAGGCTTGGACGTTGAAACAGAAGAAAAGCGGCGATCACTTCGAACTAGAAGGCTCGGTCACGAGCACCAAAGCCAACTACAACAACTACTGGAACTACGTTGTCAATGGCAGCGCATCGGGCTCTGATGCAGGGTATCCGTACCAATGCCCTAGCGCCTTCTCCATGCGAACACTCCTTGCTTCCACCGGTCTTAAAATGACAGCCACGGTATCAGCAACCGAAGCAAAAATGCAATTTGAGTTCAAAGACACGGAAAAAGGGTGGGCTATCAACGGCTCGTTTACCGGGAGTTGGTGGGACAAGGGGCCGAAGCTGCTCATGGATAAAGACACCATCCAAACAGATGGTCAAGCTAAACATGTCTCTCCTCGCAAGCCAAAATCCTTCATATCGAGATATATGAAGTATATCATCATCGCGGCAGTTGTTGTTGGCGTCCTAATCCTGCTCTACATCCTCTGGAAATGCAGAAACTACCTCTGTTGCTGCTGCAAACGCTCGTCCCCCAAACCATCCAAACCCAAAGGTACAGGCCAAGAAGCAGAATCCTTCACCCACCCGCACTATGCCACCGACGTCGAGAATCAATCAGCCGCACCTACCTACCACGACAGCGCGTACAAGCAGCCCGAGCCCCAGGTCACCCAGCTGTCGTACACGGTGTCTCCGGTCGTGGCACAGAGCTATGGGATCACCGATGGTGCGTATGTGACCGAAATTACGAATTCGCAGAATGAGTTGCATAAGGCACAGCAGGATTTGCAGACAGCGAGGCAGAGGGGGGATGGGGGCGCCGAAACGTATGCAAGCAGTATGGTGCATCATCATACAGCAGTTATTGAGCATTTTATGGCGAGGAGGCAGGCAGGAATGTAAGCTGGCAGTGAGAGCTGGGGGCTGAGAGATAGGGGGTAGGTTTGTGCTTTTCTTGAGGTTTTATCTGTCTGTCCTGTTATGATCATCGTTCGGGTTGTTGTTGCGGATACCCAGGGTGTGTGCGATATGCAAATCGTTCTTGTTCCTGCTCCTGCTCGAATCATGATCATCAACGTCTATATAATGTATGCATTTCCAAATTCCTAATAACGACTAAATTCATTTACGCTTCCCTCTAAACAACACTCTTCTTCCCTGTTCCCGATCTCACTCCCTCCTTGTATGCCCCCTCCATCTTTTATCCCAATCAGCAGTCTTCACACTCCCCCAACAAAACCAAATCCTCCATCCAACTCATGGGCCCCTTCAAACTACACCGAATCCCATCAAACGGCCGCCCAGACAAACACGTCAGATAACTATTTGGAACTTGCGGATCATTGCAACCGATCGGCTGAGCACCTGTGTATGTTTTCCTAGCCCCCAACATCCGTCAGACACATCCATCAAAAAACCTGACTTTCGGGGAAAGGAGCAAAGGGGAAAGGGGTAAGAGGAAAAGGGGGAACGGAAGGGGAGTTTTTACCCATTTGTACCCCTCTTCTCAACATGCAGAACAAAATTACATTCATTAAATGCCCCGTCCCTATCTTCTCTTTTGCTAAGACTGAATTCAACGGGCTCTTCGCTTTCATTCTTCCCACATGAAATCGTCGTTGTCGGGAGTTGACCTTCGGGCCAGTGCGCTGTGCATGTTGCTTTGCCTAACAAAGGTGAACGTTAGAAGAGATTCGGTTTAGATTAGGCTTGATCAGGGAGGTGGGAATTGTTAGTTGGAGTTGCGTTTGGCTAGTGGGGCGGAAGAGTCCTTTTTGATGAAGGGAGCAGGGAAGAGATGAGGAGTAATGGGAGTGAGACTGGCCGCTGACGATGCAGACGCACACAGCAGACGGAGGTATCAGGACAGTTGAAACTACGTACCTAGAGGGAAAACAACGGTGAACTCAATTGTGGAATCGAATCCATTATTCGGAGCCCACGGGATAGGGGTTTGGGTAGAAGTGCCCATAAAGTGGAGTTTCATTTCGGGGATTGGCCAGCCTTCGGGATGGGAGCGAGAGGTTAGAGGGGAGGCGAGGGCGAGGGTAAGTAGAAGGAGGAAGATGATTGTGGGCGTTAGCATTGTGGGTAGCGTTGGCGGGTTGAGTCAGGGTGGAATGGGGTGCGGTTTGTGGGATAGTCTGATGGGGGATAGGGTGTTGTTGATGAAATAAAGGAGGGAGGAAAGTAACTTAAGAACTGAGTATGGGCAAGATAGGGTTGAGTTTGAAGAAACAGGAAACGACTAAGTGTAGGAACTTATATCTAAATTCCAAGCTGGAAGGGAGGAACGTCCGACTTCTCATGCTACAACACGAGGCAAACCCTTCCGACCTAGCAGACGTACGGGTAAAAACCCTGTCAGATTCTCGAAGGCCCTTCTCGGAAAGCATTGTACTTCGCAACACGAATCCAGGGTCCTGGTGAAGAACGTGCGATATCCTTTCGACGAATGTGTGTTAACGCAACCAAATGCCCCTTTAAATTGCCACAAATGTAACACGAAGAGATATTTTACAAAGAACGTTAGTTTTTTTGGTCGGACCCGCGTAACATTGTGTGTGCGATGGAAGCAAATGTAAACAAATAGTAGCCCAACACTCGTTGTACTACCCACTTCTGACCCGTCCCCACGAGCTTCCACCTGTTAATATCCGAGACTGGGAATAACTCGTCGCACTAAGCAAATCAATGAAAGTGTGCAGTGATATGTAATATGCGTCCCTTCAGTGACTACAAGCCGAAGATAACCGATCGGGGAGGACCCCCGAAGACATGCTCAGCGTTACCAACGCACTTAGAATATCTCATATCTTCCATGACTTCATCAAGAACGCTATCACCAATATATAAGACCTGACCACAACACCAATTAACACCAATTACCCAACCCCAACCTCAATCCAATCCTAATCCTAACACTAATACCAATACTAATACTAATCTCACTCATTCTAATCACCTAACCATCTGCTCCCTCACTCTCAGTGCAATATTCGCTAAACTCGGAAAATGCAACGTATCATGCTGATCCGGCATATTCTCACCACTCGCAATGCAATGCACCCTCATCTTAGGATGAAACTTTAAATCATTGAGCAACTTGGGCGTAATGAGGAAATATTGGCTCGTACGCTCGCGACACGCGATATCGACCATACGTTCATGTACCATGCGTTCGTTTCGTGGGTCCATGCCTTGATTGATCTCATCGACGACGCGGAAGGGCGAACGTGCAAGATCTTGGAGCGCCATGAGGTAAAAGATTGTTGACACGGAACGTTCGCCACCCGATTGACGTTGGGAAGTGAGAATGGAGAGGGATTCATTTTCGCTGGAGTAGTATCAGCCAAAGTTAGAAAGTGTAAATGTGTTCCGTCCCGTTGTGCTGTGGTGGGTAACCTACCGGAAGCGGACTTGAATCTGAATAGACCAAGCCTCAAATTCTTCTTCGTCCTTGTTCACGCTGACCTGGCCCGCACAACCAATCTTCTGGAAATTGTGCGAAAACCCGTCGCTTATTTTTTCAACAAGTCGATCGAGCTCGGGCTCCCATTTAGAGCGGATAGTGGTAATCTTCTCCTTTGTCGAATTAATTTCCGCAGTTAGTGCGTCGATGTTCTCTTGGCAAGTCTCAATCTGCTGCTCTCGATCCTGGTAAGCCTTGACGGCATTGGGATTACCATCGGCCATCAGTAAGAGTCGTGCATTGACTGCCTCGACTTCGTTATCGAGAGCTTCAAGGTTGGCCTGCTCTGAGAATTCCAGGACAATTGCCCTTTCTTCGTTAGAAAGTGCGTTTACTTCTTCTTGTAGTTTGGGAGCTATTCGATTGTACTGATGCCTTAGACGTTTATGCTCGTCATGCAATTGTTGTACAGCTGCCTTTTTTTCCTCTAGTGCACGGGTGACGTCGGCATTTTCGGTTTTGAGGGAGTCAACTTCGGAAGCTCCTTCAATGGAGCGTATCTCGGCCTCAAACAGGCTCTCGTGAGCCTGTCGAAGAGACGCAACAGCTTTCTACGGAATGTGAGTGCGGTTAAGAGTCTCATGGAGGCACACTTACAGAGTAGTCAAGTGTCAAGGCTGCGACTTTGAGTGTGGCCTCTTCAGACTTTGCAACGATTTCTAAGAGACGGCTTCGTGTTTCTGCCATAAGCTTCTTGATCCCCTCCAATTCGTCCTCCTTCAAGGCTGAATTGTATTAGCATTCCTGGGTCGCATTGAAACACGAGATGAGTACCTTTTTTGTGGGGCAGCTGTTCCCATGCAACTCTTGCCTCCATCTTTGCTTTCTTTTCGGACTCAATTTCTTCCTACAGTCAAATTAGCCTTCGACCCGTAAACTGCAAGTGAAGGCATTACCTTTTCGAGTTTTGCCTGGTCAATTTCACCTGCAAGCTTCTGCTGCTCCTGTTTCAATATGTCGAATTGGCTCTTCAGCTCTTGCAGCTCAATTCTGATTTCTCTGATAGCATCATCGAGTCGACGTTTCTCTTCAGCGTCTACAGGCTGGTCGGTGAAGTTTTGTGACCTTCTCAAACCTGTGACTTTGATGGAAGACGCACCATACTCACGCCGTCTGGCGATGGCGTATCTCTGGGTACCAGCAATCCAAAAAGACACCTGACTGTTGGATGCTGCATTGAATTGCTCATCTGTTAGTGGATGGGGAGTGAAGGCAGTGCGTTGGAACCTGGCACTTTCGCAAAGCATGGCTAGGACGGGGTCGGGTCCTTGAACTAGGTTGATCATCCAATCTCGAAATCCAAGGCGTGTTAATTCTTCTTGGTTAAGCGAAGATCGATAGAAGGAAAGTGGCTGTGGTACCTGCCGAATGGAAACGTTGTGAAGACCTAAATCGCCGAATACTTTGTTGGAAAGAAGCCGATGGTCTGATGCGTTGGTACAAGTGATGGCAGTTAAATCTGCGGGAGCCATACAAGTCTCTACGGCATCCGCAAACGAAGGATCCGTGACGGAGCACGTCAAGATTGGAGGGCCACACACCTCACCTTTTAGTGATAAGCTTTCACGGTTCTGCTCGATCCAAGCCCATGCTTTTGCTGCGTCTTGTGATAGGTGCTTTAACTTGTTTGCTTGTTGACCACTGGCGGTGTCCAGGCTGGCTCGTTCCGCTACATTGTCTTGTAAGGTCGGCTTCAACTCTAGTGACCGCTGGGATAAGTTCTTCATTGCATCGACGATCTCCAGATTTCGGCGCTCAGTACTAGATATTTTGCTGCGTACCTCACGCAACCGCACATCATACTCAGCATCGTCAACTTCGGCAGGTTCATCGTTAATGGAACGCTCAAATTGAGCGATCGTGCCTTCGAGTCGCTTGACATCCAGCTTCCGTTTCTTTTCTCCGTCCTTCTCGGCTGCAAATTGGTTCGTGAACCCCGCCACGGCATCTTGCTGGGCTTTTATAGCATTTACAAGCTTATCGGCATTGGCTTTCGCCCTATCAACCTGGATCGTTCGACTCGCTTTGACTTGGTCAATTCGGGCTTGATATGCTTCAGCATCTGCCTGGGCTTCTCGCAACGGGGCGACCTCTGCATTCAATTGGTCTGAATCTTGCTTGGCAGCGTCTCTTTCCGCCTTGACTTCCCTAATTCGGTTCCTTAACAAGTTCAATTCGATGACAGGTCGGCATTTCCCCAGGGCATTCGCCTTCCTCGTGAGCTCTTGACGCTGTTCCCACCGTTCAACGTCCTCTCTCGTAGCGTTTTGTTTCGCCTGCAGTGTCTTGAGGTCTCGGGTCTTTTCGCCTTGCTCAAACTCCAGCCGCTTCTCATCCCTGCGCAACGCCTTGAGTGCCTCATGCCACTGGATCATATGCTCGGGTGCAGCTGCGAGCTGTGTTTCTCGAAGCAAAGCGACAGGGCTGAGTCCTGCAAACTCGACCACGCGGTCCTGTGGAAGAAACTGACAGAGGTTGTCCAGCATAATGGAAAATGCTTTGCACAGCTTGACGACTTCTTTCTGCGTCGACTGACGTCCGTTGAGGAAGAAGAGCGATTTGTTTCCCTCTTTCTTTATGAGCCGGCGGATAATGGGATTCGTGCGGTGATGCTTCGCGGCGGCTAGCTCGATCTCGATTTCAGCTTCGGTGTTGCCATGCTTCACAAACTCGCCAAGTTCTTTGGCTCTGCCGAGGTTCTAGTTTGGATTAGTTGCAGACATGAGATTGATCCTTCTGGGATGAAATACTTGTGGTGACCATCCAAGACCTAAGCAGATGGCGCAAACGAGCGTGCTCTTGCCGGTGCCATTGGGTCCAATAACCATGTTCAAGCTCGGCCCCGGATGGAACTCAACCTTTGTATATGTAACAAAGTTCTTGAGCTTCACCCGTACAAGCTGGCCCGGTTGGTAGGGGTCTTCAGCGTACTGGTCGTCGTCCGGCTCGCCGTTTGCTTCTCGTGACGAATTTTGGTAGCCATTTTCAGTATTAGGAACCTCAACTGACTGAAATCGCATTAGCTCAGTCTTAGTGGCTGTGTTGTGCGAGAGAGAGGGTGAGAGGAAGAGGAGAGGGGCATACCTCAGGTGACGCGTCGCGACCATAGCGGGTGCGCTTGCTGCTGGAAGATGATGCACGAGAAACTTGAGAGGAGTTCTCATCATCGCTGACATCTCGCACCCGCTTGGTACGTATGCCCGGCATGGCTGCGGTGGTGAAGCACGAGGCTGTGTGGGTGATAGTCGTGCTGCCGACGCGACGGGGTTTCTAGAGGCTGCTCAAAACTAATTAGGCCTGATTGGGCAGTGTCGCGCACGGAGGGCCGAGCGTCTCAGCGTCAGTCACGTGCCATATAACTTCATCACTTTGGCCTGACAAGGGTTCACTTCCGAGTCCACTGCCGAGTTCACTTCCGAGTTTACTTCCGAGTTCACTTCCATATTCATTTTAACAGATAAATCTCAAATGAAAGCCGTAGATTCTCATTCTTCGTTTACACATACACGCCATTTTACTAGTCTATCTACAGTTTTGATTCCGCTTATTTCTTCTCCTTCGGAGCAATCATGAGCTCTGGACGCACGTGCTTGTCGAAGTCGGCATCGCTGAGAGCCTTAAGCTCCATTGCGCTCTCTTTGAGAGTCAGGCCTTTCTTGTGCGCATTCTTGGCAACTTTACTCGCCATATCGTATCCAATAATTGGGTTCAAACAAGTCACCAGCATCAAACTATTTATTACGGTTAGTGTGGGTAATACTAGGTTTAGGTTGGCCAGCCTCACCTCTCATTTAGTAAAGCGGTGATGCGCTTTTCGTCAGCCTCGATTCCTTCCACAAGGTTCTTCTCGAAACTCCTCATTCCGTCGGCCAGGAGCCTCGAGCTGTGGAGCAAGTTCCTAATCATCACCGGTTTGAAGACATTCAACTCGAAATTGCCCTGAGAGCCAGCAAACGTTGTGGCAGCGTGGTTGCCAAAGACCTGTGTGCAGACCATAGTCAATGACTCACACTGGGTCGGATTGACCTTCCCAGGCATGATGGAAGATCCGGGTTCGTTCTCTGGCAGCTTAAGTTCTCCCAAGCCGCATCGTGGGCCGGACCCAAGGAAGCGGATGTCTTGGGCGATTTTGAACAAGGATGTGGCCAGCGTGTTCAATTGACCAGATGCCTCTACAATGGCATCGTGAGCAGCAAGTGCCTCAAACTTGTTTGGTGCGGTTACGAACTCGTGGCCGGTCATTTTGCTGACTTCGGCAGCAATGTCTTCCGCAAAGCCCTTAAACGTGTTGATACCAGTTCCAACCGCAGTTCCACCTTGAGCCAGCATCTTCAGCCTAGGGAGAGCAGAGTTCACTCGGTCAATGCCAAAATCCAATTGTTGGACGTAGCCAGAGAACTCCTGGCCCAACGTCAATGGAGTGGCATCTTGCAAATGGGTCCTGCCGATCTTGATGATCTTCTCAAATTGTCCGCTCTTCTTCTTCAGGGCATCTCGGAGGCTGATGAGGGCGGGTAGCAGCGACTCCTCGAGGTCAAGGACGGCGGCGATGTGCATGACGGTTGGGAAGGTATCGTTGGAAGATGCGGACATGTTGACATGGTCATTGGGGTGCACCGGCTTCTTCGAACCCATTGTTCCTCCGAGGATTTCAATGGCACGGTTAGAGATGACTTCGTTGGCATTCATGTTGGACTGGGTGCCGGATCCGGTCTGCCAGACCACGAGGGGAAAGTGGTCGACGAGCTTGAGGGATGCAACCTCCGCCGCAGCCTGCTGGATGGCCCCTCCGAGCTTCGGGTCTGTTAATATGGTTACTAACATGGGTGATTCAGAGGATCAGTATGCCATACCCAGCCCGAACTTCATATTCACGGTGGCCGCAGCGCCCTTGAGAATACCAAATGCCCGCACAATTGGCGGGGGCATGCGATCCTGCGGCTGGTTGATCTTGAAGTTCTCCAGCGACCGCTCCGTCTGGGCGCCCCAGTACTTGTCTGACGGCACCTGGATTTCGCCGAAGGCATCAGACTCTGTGCGAGTGGAGGCCATTCTGCTAGTGAATGCGAATGAACGACGGGTAAAGATGGGTTGGGGGTGCAATTGGGTGTAGGAGGCAGACGTTGGTCGGATTGCGGTGGAGAGAGCTCTACTCTGCCGGCAGGATGCATGGCTACACACCCGAGATGGGGTTGTAATCGAGGGGAATCTCGCATGTGCAAAAGAACCTCGTAAGATGGTGGCCTCGGCAGGGCGGAGCTTTGTTTGGGCGGATCGAAACATGGCGAGATGCGCAGGTGACGCGCCAGCGATGCACAATTGGAGAGAGCGCAATTGGATGCACAAGACGGCAAGAAGATGAGATGAAGACCATGACAGTTTGCAAACTTCACGGCTGTCGAGCATGAATAATTGCTGGAGGTTCGGGAGATTTCGGGGTGTCTTGGCGTGCACACTTCAAATTTTTTTGAAATACTTTCCCCTCCACCGGTCGTCTGCGGTCACACTCCCCCGTCGAATGCTGATCAAGCATCTTCTACACCAGGGAGAACTATCCAGGTGAACAAGGCAGGAACTAGCGGCACATGCAGTTCTCGCCTTCTTTTGCATCTCCCGCTGGTGCAATTCTTCTTCTTATTCTTATTCTTCTTCTTCTTCTTCCTCTTCTTCTCCTGCTTTCAATCCCCGTCTGTTTGGACCTGCAGGCTGCCATAGAGTTCCCACCACTCTCGGCGGCCCGATATGTCCACCGTCTGGCTTCTCACTACCACGCTTACTGCCCCCCGTGGCATCCAGCAGGCACCGCTGGAGAGGCTCTGAGGCGCTGGAGGAAGAGGCAGACTCTGCCTCATGCCTGGCTCCCGGCAAGCGAAGAGCCGAGTGATCCAGCTGTCGCTCGTGGTCCCTGCAAAGTACGTATCTGTGGCTTCCGCGGGCAGGCGTGTTGCGCGCTTTGCGAGAATGCTGGTGCTGGTCCTGTATCTACTTTTGTCTCGGCGGGTAGGAAGGCCACATAGACTGTCGTAGGCTCGCTAGCAGGCGTCGTGAGTGCACTTTTCGTTCCCAGGCCGCTCGGCACCGCTCCAGACTCTGCTCGTCAGTGTCTGCTCCATGCAAGTGAGCTCCGACCTGCCTGGCCAGACGATTCAGTAGGTTTTCGCGGCGAAGCGACTGTACTCTGCCGCTTCGTCTCATCACGTTCTCGCTCCCTCGCCCAGCCGCCGGAGCCAGCAGCTGACGCTTTATACACTGGCCGTGTTCCTCGCTCGCTCCTCTCCGCCCTGGTCCAGCCCCGTTTTATATGACGACCACGGAGCCCGTCGCTGTGTCGCACACCTGACTAACCAAGCCAACAAGCCCAGTGCCCCTCTCATCAACTCCACACCCGGAACCTCAATCCACCTTGCTTCTTCAACCTCACTCGGTCCTGCGTTCCGTTTCCCGCCCTTCACTGTCACCCCACGCCGGCTAGCACTTTCTACGGGCATTACTCGCCGTTGTGAATTCGTGACCGCTCACAGGACGCTGATTTCCTACCGCCCGCTGCCCACCCAGTAGATACCGTCTCTTTGTCAATGACGAACGTTGGAGCCTTGTCCTGCCCACCCGACGGATTCACTTCGTTTCTGTGTCAAGAGCACTCTGGCCGTCTTGCTCAATTACGTTGCCTCGGCCAACCTTGACCCGCCTTATCCAGTCTCGCACACACATTGCCGTCACACTACCGTCTTGGACTCTCAACCCGAGCCTGAAGAGTCCTGTCAAAATCCAAAGCCTCCGCCCAGGCGCACCCGAACCCCCATGGCGGATTCAAACTACGGCACTCCTCTTCATTACCATTACTCCATGCCGAATCCGCCGAATCCTCAACCCCAGGACCAGGAAACCTCAGCGCACCCCCTCTTTCCGCCCTTTGCCCACTACAACTCCTACGTAGCTTATGAAACCTCTGCCTTCCCACACTTCCCTCACCCAAACCACCACGGCGTGCAAATGTCGGACCCTATGCAAGGTCACGACATGCCATTTGGGTACCTCAACCAGAGCAGAGTCTCTCACTACCAGCAATTCGCCCAAGCAGCTCACCACACGGGTGGATATATGCTCCCATCAGCGGGCATGTTCCAGAATGGACCCGGCCAACCTCCAAACGCAAATGTTTTTCATGGCCAGCAGATGCAGGGTAGTCAACATCCAGATATGTCCGAAGCCCAACCTGATCTCGATATGCCACCCCTAATTCAGCCGGCGAACGGCGGCATGTTTTTCCCGAGCCTTGCCTATCCTTCCCATGTTCCACCGCCTTCAATGTCTAGCTTCAGTTCATTCTCCGGCCGACGGTCGGACCAGATGCAACCAGCTCCTTCAACCCCGCCCTCTGGCCGTTTCGATGGCAACAATGTGCCACCTACCCCTCAAGGTCGGGGCTCCATCAGGGGCGTTAATTCCGAGCTTCTTGACCCGCCGCGTCTACTTACGTCGCCAAACCGGAGACCATCCTACGAGCGGCAATCTCAGCATTCCCTTCAGGTACCTAGCCGACCAGACCGCCGCCCGCTGCCATTTGCCAGTGCAGACAGTCGTCGCTCTGACCGTAGTGTTTCCCCGCGGACATCCCACAGGCGATCGTTCGATAGGTATCATCCCCTTCACTCATCTTCAAAGCAACCAGCCAGCCCATCTGACGATGATGCTAATGCGTAACAGGTATGCTAATGATTTACATCACACCAGCAGCCCCTCTGAGGTTGACCAGGCTGCCTCCCGAGCTCGATTGGCTCAGAGGCGCCGGACACAAGCACCCGCAAGCCGAGATATTCGACGAAGCCATTTCGTCGATGGCAACACTCCCACGGCCGGCCAGATGCAGGAGCTCCGAGACAAGCTCAGGCACTTCCTGCCGAGCGAGCTTCCAGGAGACTCATCTCCCACTTGTGACATTTGCCAGAAGGATTACTCAAAGAAGCACGTGCAGCCGAGCGAAGAGGAGGAAGTTGCTATCCAGCTTCCCTGCAAGCACGTCTTTGGCGAGCATTGCATCAATACGTGGTTCGAAACGTGCAAGACGCATAAGAACAAGATCACATGCCCCATGTGCCGGGAGCTTTTGATTAAACCAATGCGATTCACGTCGCCGGCATTTGCAGCCACCTTGTCTCCAGAGGCATTGAACTTCCTCCGCAATACCATGGACCAGGGGGGATTCGGCCGGGAAGAGCACCGCCTCATAGAGCAGCTGGCGAGGGTGAGGGAGCTGGATGGGGATTTCGCGCACATCTGAGGGGCAGCTGTGGGAACCTCCACCGAGCGCTACAGAATGGACCGACTTCTTTTGAATCAATAATTTACATAGGCATGGAAGAGGAACTAGAGTTGCGGGGACAGAACGCGAGGCAACGGAGTTTTGGGTCCGCAGACGCCCTAATACCCAGCAATTCCTCGTTTCTTCACGTCCAACGGCAGGGGTTCAGGCGTCACACCATCACAGTTTCCCTGCATGTTGTTTGCACTGCGATCATCTCGGATCCTTCAATGGCGTTTCTACGTACGGGTGGATCCATGGAGTTCAATGGGGGAGCATGTTAGCCTCGTGGCTTTTGGGGAGGGGGAGGGAGAATTTGCTGGGACGGCGTCAAGGATTTAGATAGCAAACCACGACGGGCACGATTATATACGTAAGCAACAGATGCAGTAAACGCGAATCCTAGAAATTGAACGTAACGATTCGATGGCGCGTGTTACAGATGTGCAGTGAAGGGCAGCGGGAATGTGAGTGGTTGCAAGGTCGGGACGAAAGCGACAAGGGTATGGCTTAGCGTTGTTGACAAGCCCCGCCAAAACAATGTCAACTCTCACCCACAAAAGCACTTTTTGATTCGACAGGCCCTCTTCATCGTGGCAGACCGCTTCCTTGACAGTGACCTATTCTGTACGCTGCCTGCACCGATATCTCAGTTCTCCATCCACTCGGTTTCCTGTTTCTCTGGGGCGACGGTAGAGCCCGCCCGGCCCGTTGGTTTGTCGGGCAATCGACATTAAAATCGACATCGAAATCGACATTGAACCCCCAACTTTGCAACTCCGCTAACATAAACACGAACACCATGGAAGCAGACAGGCAGAGCTTCCAATTTCCCACCCCCCCACCTCCTCTTCACACACGCTTCAGCGACATGGACCGGCCGTCAACTCCCTCGCAGGAGGCCTTCCTCAGCCCGCAACAAACCCCCCAGGGCAGCCCGAGCAAACACCACCAGCCGCCGGGTGCTTTCGATCTCCCCCACGTCTTCGAGAATGCCATGAGGCTACTCCCTACCATTGGCTCTCCCTCAAAGCCCAAGCCACAGACTCCAACTTCGCCAAACAAGGCCAACGTGCAGGCGGGTGACGACATCGACTACTCCACGCAGGACCTGACCACTCTCGGGCCGAGTAGCCCTAGCCGCAAGTCAACAAACAAGGAGAACACGCCGCCGGGGATCCGGCCTGGCCTTCAGAAGGAGAGCGGCTTCATTACCCACGCTGCCCAGTCCCGCCAGGAGCCGTACCGGACTCAGCAGGCAGACCAGTCAGCACGTTACTATCATGGCCAGCAGCGTCTCTCCGCAGAAGAGCTCGAAAAAGCTAGGAAGCCGTCCGCAAAGCGTCTCGCCAACGTCACTCAGCTCTGTTAGTCATCCTCGGGCTCTTGGCATATGTTGTGCTGACTTCGCAGACTTCCTTGATTACTACTACGACCTGCTAAGCTATGTTCACGCGCGCCAAAACCGACTCACCCATTTCAAGGCCCAGAACCCTCCCCCGCCCGCCACGCCCGACACTGAGTATAATGAGGCACTCAATCAATATCTCGGCCGTGAGCGGGCCAACCTCCGCAAGCGACGCACGCGGCTGAGGCAGGGCGACTTCCAAATCCTCACACAGGTCGGACAGGGAGGCTATGGGCAGGTGTACCTAGCCCAGAAGAAGGACACCCGCGAGGTGTGCGCCCTCAAGGTGATGAGCAAGAAGCTCCTGTTCAAGCTGGACGAGGTTCGCCATGTCCTGACTGAGCGCGACATCTTGACAACGGCAAAGAGCGAGTGGCTAGTCCGGCTGCTGTACGCCTTCCAGGATGACAAGAGCATCTACCTGGCCATGGTGAGTTCAATGGGCATTGCGGAAGGGTCATCAATAACACAATTAGGAATACGTTCCCGGCGGCGATTTCCGCACCCTTCTGAACAACACCGGCGTCCTGCACAACCGTCACGCCCGCTTCTACATCGCCGAAATGTTCACCTGCGTTGACTCTCTTCACCAGCTTGGGTACATCCACCGGGATCTCAAACCAGAGAATTTCCTAATTGACAGTACTGGACACGTCAAGCTGACCGACTTCGGCCTCGCGGCGGGTATGCTTGCTCCAGCCAAGATTGAATCGATGCGCATCAAGCTTGAATCTGTGGGTGACATCAGGGCCCCCTTTGGACGCCCCATGGAGGAGCGAACAGCCGCCGAACGTCGCGATGGTTATCGTTCCCTGCGCGAGCGCGACGTCAACTACGCCAAGAGCATCGTCGGCAGCCCTGACTACATGGCCCCTGAAGTCCTCAAAGGAGAGGAGTATGACTTCACTGTCGACTACTGGAGCTTAGGCTGCATGCTCTTCGAAGCCCTTGCCGGCTACCCCCCCTTCGCCGGCGCCACGGTCGATGAAACCTGGCAGAACCTCAAACAATGGAAAAAAGTGCTCCGCAAGCCAGTCTATGAAGACCCTTCCTACTTCCTCTCAAAACGCACCTGGGACCTCATCACGCGTCTCGTCGCCGCGAAAACCTCGCGATTCAGAGGCATCTCGGAGATCCATTCGCACCAGTACTTTGCGGAGGTGGATTGGAACAAATTGCGCGAGAACAAGGCGCCGTTTGTCCCAGAATTGGACTCGGAGACTGATGCGGGGTACTTTGATGATTTTGGAAATGAGGCGGATATGGCCAAGTATAAAGAGGTCCACGAGAAACAGCAAGCGTTGGAGAGTATGGCGGATAGGGACGATAAGATGTCCAAGGGGCTTTTTGTGGGGTTTACGTTTAGGTATGTTAAGCTTCTCTCCAGAGGTTTGGAGTGGGTTGGGGTGGGGGGCGTTTTCAGAGGAGAGGACTGACTGGTGCGTACAGGCATAGGAAACCGGCTACGGATGAGAATGGGAAGCAGGCAAGTCCGAGGAAGCCGCTTCCGGTTGTCGATGAGAATTTTGGTACAATCTTCTAGGTTGAGGGCATTTGCGGTGGTGTTGAGTCCTGTGGCACTGGTTGTCATGGGGTAGGGCGGTTTGGCTGATTCGATTGAGGGCTGGTTTTCTTAGACATGGCCTACGGTGGCATGGTATAGCATGGCATGGACGATGGGTGATGGATGATGGATGATGGTCGGATGTGATTATGGCGTATACGACATGTTTTTAGTAGAAATTCTCCGAGGAATGGGTCTTGCATGCAGTACATTCTTTTAACTTGAACTTGCCGGGCAAGAAGAGTGTGGGTGTTGGCGGCGTCAGGGTAGGAAGCGATGGATCACGCGAACGGGACTGTAATTGTAGGAAATTCGGTTATTTTCTCTCTTCTTCATGCACACGACCCAAAGGCTCCGTCATTGCAAAGCAAAATCTAAGTGTGTGATGGTGCTTGGGATTAGATTGAATTCCTCGATATCATGTTGCAGCGCTCCTCTCTGCTCTGCGCACAACGAGATATTGTCCCCCAACTCCAAGCTTTCCCGCTGTTTCGTCATTCCAACATATACCCCGCACTGTGTGGATGGAGCGTCGTAATTCCTGAAAAGCCCACGATAGCAGTGTTGATGTAGGTATAGGGGCTCCTCTAACCTCTGAACGTTAGTGGTTTGAGAGGCAGGTGAAGTAGTTTCACTTTCTGGTTTCGGTGATTTGATTTGGATTGGAGTTATACTTGGCTAACCTAGGTACTATACTGTACGGATACATTCTCCCGATGATAAGATACTATCTCTTTACTCTCGTACAATATACTTCTATATAATGTGATATATTATATCTGAGAATGACACAACATGGCATAGTATATTTAGATAGAGCGCATGCCGGTGAGTGCGTCACCGAGGTTGGGATTTGCTTGGGACTGTATTTCCTAATAATCAGGAGAATAAAAGTTCTGCTATGTTTTGCAGGGCAAAGTAGGTCTGGGCCGAGCTTATGGCGCCGTCTTGTTGTTTGTTCTGAATATGTTGGGGGGTGATGTTGTGAGAGGTTTGGTCAGTTCAATGGGGCGAGGTGCTTTCGACCTGCTCTAGCCTTCGGAATACCTACTCGTAATGGATTAATGGATTCGCATTCGGACCGATTACACTCGTCCTTGGCAATATACAAGCTATCCTCAAATAACCCTAACAAACAACAATAACTTCCGAAATTTCGACTCCAGAGTTAATCGGAATTCCGGCCTAATCCCGAAACTTCTACGTTAGATGAAATATGGTTAGACTTACTGTAACTAGGCCAAGCCAACCAAGCTTACACTTTCAACCCACGCTCCTGAATCAACGACTGCCCTGTCCGTCTGTTTTGGCCGAGTGAACTTGAAAGGGTGGATGTATTAAAAGGATCTCTCTATTTCGAAAACATCACATATATCACTGGTTTAGTGGAGGAGGATATTGATATACAAGTAAGTAAGGATAGGTATTCCCAGCTACGGCAAGTAATGCTATAACAACGAGATAGAAGGAAAGAACATGCAAAAAAAAAAAGAAAATCAATATATCACACCGACCCAATTAATCCCTCGTAAAACTAAATTAATTGCCAGTGCACTACCTGATACACTATCCCCGGTTCTGGTGCACAAGGAGGGAGTTGTTGTGGAGGTGGGTCTCAACCGTTGGAGGATTCTGTGGCATGGGAAATTTACTTGTTAAATACAAATATCCCATCCCTCCTGGCATTCATGGCGAGGCCATATCTCGGCAGGCAAAGCTGCGTTTCTCCTCTTATCGACCGTTATGCACTACTTGATATATTCTTCTCGGTGCTCCTAGGCTAGGAATTCGGTATCACAATCACGTCTACGTGTTGGAAGAGTATTGTTGTGGAGGTGGGTCCTAGGGGATGCTGCTGGGGAGGGAATTGATGGCCCTGAGCCAGTAGAGAAATGCCGGGAGGCTGTTGACGGTAACAATAAACGGGAGATGATAAGTCGTTACTCCTATGTGCACGTGCTGTAGTGCGCTCGGGATGTTGGATTGCATGAGCGCCCTGTCGAGGGCCTGAAGTTGAGCTGATCGCATGTCTTAAGGAGGGAAATCGGATGCTGTTGTTACTGCCCACTCAGGATCTTGGCTTGCGTGAGGGCCTCACTGAATGCCTCGCGTTAAGCTACTGGTATGTGCCAGGTGGAGGAGAACGCTACTGCTGCACCTGTTGTTGTTGTTGTTGTTGTTGCGGTATTTGAAATTGTCGGCTCACCACATTGTGCTGCTGCTGCTGCCGCTGTTGTTGTTGTTGTTGCTGGGGCATTCGAACTTGTTGCTGATGCGGCAGGTTGCCCAACACTCTGTGGCTATTGGCGCGAGTAGCAGTGGGTGACATGCTCTGCTGACTATGAGGCCGCGATAGAGGAGATTGGTGATTACGGGCAGCTGAGCCGGTGAGACTGAGCCAGGGACCAATGGCGGCTCGCGCAACAGAATTGATTCGTGCATTCAACTGCGTTGAATGACATTAGTGCCTGACAGCAGACCGACGAAGGCTCGCAGGGAATACTTACAAGTTCCTGAGTGTCAAGAACAGACTGAGCGAAGTGATTTTGGACACTGGTGATTTCCTTCTTGAGCTGGGAACCCATCTCCTTGGATTTAGAATCGACCAGCGCTTTCACCCCTTCGACATTCATCCTCTCTAGAGCCTCAAGTCGGCCCCTGTGATTCGATAGAATCGCTTTTTGCTCTAAGTGGTTCACCGTAAACACGTTTTCTAAGACACGACCAACCTCGGTGGCAACGTCACCGCGATGTAGTTCGGTCCGAGAAGCTTCCAGTTTGTGGATACGCTCGTTAAATCGCCGATTCATGGCGGCGATTTCGTTTCTGCGGGCTTCATTGTCGACTTGAAGTGCCCGGTTGTCGTTCACAAGTGACTTGTAGTTAACTGTGAGTGTGGCATTGCCGCTAGTGAGTGACTTAATAGTTTTATCTTGTTGCTCGACCAGCTTTTTCAGCTGATCAATTGCTGGGTCCGTCACTTGGGGTGGCGTTCTTTTGTCGAGGGATTCTTGTATCTCTGTGACCTGCGATTGTAGCTTGCAGATATCTCCAAGCGCTAAGTCCGTGATAAGTTCGGGAACATTTGCTTCAAGACGCTCCGCAGTCTGCCTAAGAGAAGATAGCTCAAGTTCTAGATTGTGGATGGACTCAACGACTCCATCAGAAGCCCTGAGTCGTAGGAGAACGTCTTCAGTCAGGCTTGTCTTTGTCTCATTTTCTAGCTTCTGTATGCGCTCAACGAGTCCGTCGAAACCCCGAAGTCGTGGGAGAATATCTTCCGCGATTCGTTGGTTAGTGTCAGCCAGTTTCGACTTTGCCTCAAGGAAATCGATGGAGAGGTTGTCGTTGATTAGGTCCTGGCTGGCCTTTTGAGAAATCATAGTCGCTTCAACGCTGCGAACACCTTCTTTCAGACTGGTTAAGCCTTCGTTGGTCTTCGTGGTGGTGGCGGCTAAGCCGGTGCAGGTTTCAGTCAGCGACTCACACCGGGTAGTGACGGTGCTGATGTTGTATTCTTCTGCGAACTTGTCCCGCACAAACCTCTCAAACTCCTTGTGATTCTCTCTCGCAATATCAATTTCAATCTGGACGCTGGGAGAGATATCATCAACCGATCCCTTTAAGTACTTGTGATAAAACCCGATTTTCTTCTCTACCCGAGTAAGGCGTTCATCCAGACTGGTTATTGGAGTCTCCATTGGATCTACAGTAGCGAGTGGTTGTTGAGAGCCATTTCCGAGTTTCTTTAAAAGCAAGTCACCACCGACAAGCTTCTGGCTGCGTTGTGCTTCAATTCTCTTCTTTGCACATGACGCAGGCTGATTTCCACCCCTATTTTTGGAATATGTCGTTTTCTGATAAGAAGTGTCAGGGCTTTGAGTTGAATTGAACCGGGTTTCGCTATTTCGGAGTCGCTCCACACTGATCACCGATCGGTATTTAGCGCCTGTGTTGAAATCGGAGTCCTTTTTCATCTTCATTCCCCGTCAGCAATGTTAGACAGAAAAGAAGCTAACGGTGGATGACTTACATTGGCTTGTACCCTTAATGTTTCACCGTTAGAAACTTTCTTAACCCTTTTTGGGGATCGGTGCTTCTCTGGGGTTCTAAAGAAAGATGGCGCATCCTTTTCACTCGAGGAATCGTCGCTATCTAAATCTACTCTCCACTTTCTCCTGTCTCCAGTACCTTTGAGCGGGCCGACGAGGGGCGAATGTTCCTCTGCCAAATTCATGTGTGGCTTCGCTGCATGCTTAGCTCCCATCGTTGGTTGGTCCCTACTACTATTGAGATTCTCCTGCACTCGTCCACAGTATTTTCTTAGTACAGGACTGATGAGTGGTGTGGAATCATCGATGGTAGTCGCTGTCGCGTTTTGTTGTTCCGTTGAGTGTCTCTTGAGACTGACCTTCGTTGATTTCGCTGTCATGATTGTTAGGCGTGACAGGAAAGGCGATATCGTAAGGTAGAGAAGAAGTGTTCACAAAGGAATGCAATGGTTGAGAGAAAAAATTGTACGCAACGACGATATGTAGGAGGGCGGCAACGACCCGGCTCAACGGGAACTAAACAGATAGGTGACAGTGGGTAAAGGTAAATACAAGCTTTACCACTCATTCGAATGAGTTATTAGAACATTCGCAAAACATCAAACTATGGGTAGTGCGGCACAAACGCTACAAGTACCCATCCATCTCCGCGGATTCCGAAGGCGGGTAGAGTAAATAGGGTCAGAGGGGTGCTTTTGTCGTTGCACAAGAGGCAGGACACAATGAGAGCGATGGGGCGGAGATATGGTCTGCTGTGACCCTAGTTCTTACACAGAGCGACCAGATTTCAGGAAAGTAGGACATCGGGAAGTGAATTTCTTCTAGCGATTGGCCATCAATTTCGGCATCTAGGGCGTCGAAAAGATGAAACTAGGGCCCTCCCCAAAGGCTCCAGCCTTTAATTAGTCCTCATCAAACTCGAAGTTGTCTATTAACTTCAAATTAGTCGTCACAATTTCACTCCAGCTCTACTTTCCGGTCAAGCGACCTGTCTAGCGTCCTTCATGGCAGGTGATCGCATATGCCCAATCCTTTCCAAAGAAGCGCAAAATCGAGATCGAGATCGAGAATGCCGCTCTTGCTACCAAGAAGACGGTCTCCCGGCGCCCACCAACTCCCTTCGATAACGATCTAGACCAGGCCTTCCACCCTTGAAGGAGTACAGAATGCCATTTAACATTTCAGCACAATGATACGCAAACTCAATCCCTTCGGCGTCTCGTCGCTGTGGACCCGAGATCTTCTGCTGTGTTTCCACTGTCAACATCGAGGAGAGAGCGGCACAGGCTGCCAAAGGAAACGGCCCTTACCTTAACACTAGTATCGGTGGCTAGGCCCAGTAGAAACAGCCTGAGTCTTAACGAGATTAAACCTACTCTGAAGTCGATGAAAATGAGTGGCGAGGAGTCTTTTACAGAGTGACTGGCAAGAAAGCTGATGATGGAATAACGGAATAACTTCGCAGATGTGTGATAGGAGTTGGTTCCTTGGAAAATCCCAATTCTGAGCACTTTTTCCACTCGGAAGGCGAGACCGAGCGATTCAAAGGCCGATCTAAGGCGCCTGTGAATCGTGACGATTGGGAACACCAGCTTGCGGGGCTTTCGACGCAGTATGTATCACGAGCCGAAAACTCGAAAGCGGCCGAGAAGGTCCAGGCCCAGGAAGTCAAACACAAGCTTAGTGGACTTGCGAACAGATTTGAGGCGCGTGTTACGGGAGTGGAAGAGACCTTTGCGAAATCATAATCGGAGATCGAGATGGCATCGACTTGGGATACCTCCCAAAAAGCGATAGTTGACAAACTCGTGTCTCAATCAGTCACCCGTTTCAACAAGTTAGGGCTTATTGAATCTCACCTAGAACCCCTCAATCACGCCCGCGCGTCGATGTCACAATGCATAACCGACTTGAAAAGAGTTGAGGATAGACTCAAATTTTTGGGCGGCAAGGACGGCAAGGCTAGCCAGCCAGTTAGCGAGACACTTCCGTTGAAAGGTGCCCCTTCCAAAGGCAAGCAACTCAAAAGGAGCTTAGCGAAGGTGTCAGAGTACAGCGCTCAAATCATCCAACTTGAGGTTTGAAAGGCCGCCTTTGCGGGATTTAATCCGAATTAAACGATGACCGAGATTGCAACGCAAAGAAAATAAAAAAAAATCTAGATGATATACGGGCTCTTCGGCTAGGTACGAATCTGGCAGTCACTGGAATTCTGGAGAGACTCGCCGTGTTGAAGAAGCAAGTACCCTGACTAGTGGATGACATTAGGCCGCTGAAATATCTTCCACAGGACATCTAGACCGACAGCATCAAACTGGAGTGCCTGGATCATAAACCCGCCGGACTCCCAACCCCAGAAACCCTAGCGCGTATCGAAACTATTCAAGGCCCAGGCGGTCTCAAGAATATTACTGCAATTAAGGAGAGACACGTCTTGTGTATCAAGACTGCCCAGTAAACCGCGGAGGATTTGTACAGGCCATTCTACGATACTGAGACTGGTAAAGTTGATCTCGACTTAGACAACATTAAGAAAGACGGCTATACAAGCCATGGTAAAGTGGCTGAAATTAAGCTGCTAAATGTTCATGATGAAGAGCAGGTTAAGAAGACCACAGCTCTGGAGCGGTGGTAGGCGCCATGTCGAAAGGATCAACGCTTTGGAAACCACAAGCAACTACGACTTCACAAAACCCTAAAAGCATAACCAATGTTTTGATGGAACCTGTTCAAGAGTCGGGGTCTTGGAGACAAATTGTAATAATCACAAATAGACCATGGACGAAAGTTTCAGAGCTTTCTGCAGAAACGTTGGCGGGGATCTAAGCGCGATGGAGAAGAGCGTCTGTGAGTATATGAAAGCTGACAGACTGTCAACAAACGGCGTGATCACAGCGCTTAAGGCAAGAATGAATAAGGTCGAAGCTAATTCGGAGGCGAACTTAAAGATGCTAGGATTAGACACGACGAGAAGGGTAGGTGGGGAAGGGAAGATCTTGAGGGCGATTTGCCTCTAATGATCTCCAAGCAACGGAAAAATGTGGGAGTTCCTGTGTAGTATGAACACGTAGACGGTGGGACTTAAAATGTCTCTGAACTTCCAGATAGCGGTCATGGGTTCGGGTTTGGAGCGGTCGGATCACGATTGGGTTAATCTAGTCAATGGTAGCCCGACCCTACCCTCCCTAAACCACAACTATGAGTTCTGGTTTGAACATGGGTCCTGGCAATATACCCTCTCTTCTCAATAGTGGCAGGATGGAGCAGTTGCGAGGCTACTCCGCTTAGAAAACTTGGCTTAGATGATTTGGCATACGGTGGTGAAGGCGATTCAAGTCTAGAATGGGTGCTCTTGGAATACCGCATTGAAGTGTAATGATTGTTTTTTTTTGGCAGGATAGAATTATGCAGGAAAGGGTCCCAGCATCACCCCGACAAGAAATTCCTCATGCTCATATATGCGGGTGCTCTTACTATCATCCAGATACTGCTTACTTAGTTGTGGGGACAGATTGCATCCGATTGATATATGAGTGGATTAGGCCCTCGAGAGGGGAGAGTCATACTCCACTTTTCGGAGGGTTCGGAGATGACACACGAAAGCGCGAGTACCGATGTTTAATGTTGTTGAAGAGTGGATCTCTTTGCCATTCAAGTTTTCCTTTCCGCACAGCTTACTTACCCCGCATACGTCACACCTGCAGCTTTCTACCTAAGTATAGTAGTTTAAATGATACTCCTCCTAAATTCATATCCAAGGTAACTCACTTCTACCACTACGAAACCATGAGCGCCCATCAAAAATCAACATACGCTCAAGGCCACCACCCCTGCGTAACTGCAGCTCACGCCCTCCGATCCGCCGAAGTCGAGGGCGCCTTCGTTCTCCCCCACCTCTCTCCCAAGTCCTGCATCCTCGACGTCGGCTGCGGCCCTGGATCCATATCCGCCTCCTTCGCCAAATACGTCCCTGAAGGAACCGTTACAGGCATCGACCTCACGGAAGAAGTGCTCTCCCAAGCCCGCTCCTATCTTTCCAAACTCTCCCCCACACCCCCAAATGTCACATTCGAACTCGGCAACATCGTTGATGGACTCAAGTATCCCAGTGATACGTTCGACGTTGTATTTACAAGTCAAGTCCTCATACATATCCCGGAGCCGGTGAAGGCGATGAGAGAGATGAAGAGAGTTTGTAAGCCTGGCGGGTTTATCGCGTGCAGGGAATCAGATCTTCCATTTCATTGGCACCCGTACCTCCCGGGTCTCCAGCTCTGGGATAAGTATTTATATAATCTGACGATCGTTAAAACCGACCGTCAACATCCGATGAGCGCACCTCACGAGCTGGGGCATCGTGCAGGATGCTTATTGCCGGCGTGGGCGAGGGAGGCGGGGTGTGATCCAGAGAAGATGGTGAAGGGAGCTGCAACGACTGTGTATGCGACTATGGAGGAGCGGAGGCGGTTTAGTGAGGGGTTGTCGGGGAGGATTGAAAACGCGGGCATGGGGGGGAAGTTTAGAGGGTTGGGGGCAAGCGAGGAGGAAGTAGGAGCTATGGTTAGGGATTTGAAGGCTTGGGCAGAGGAAGTAGATGGGTGGTTTGGGATTTTGCAGGTGCAGGTGATTTGTTGGGTGTGATGGGGGCCGTGGATTATTGTTATTCCATGGATTCAGAGCATTGCGCTTGGGGTACCGTGGATGGATCAGGGCACGAGGTGACCGTTAAGCTTTGTGGAGAATGTCATGCCAAGCCTCTTGACTCTCCAGAGTGCTTGGAACGGCGGAAACCACGGTTCATGGCGCGCAAACTCATCCATCAAGTGCCACTATGGAGTAACTTTAAGTGTTACAGAAGTTGCAGTATTGCTAGCTGTTTCTAACCCTGATTTTGAGCAACTTTCACCAGTCAATCTGACATAATCTCGAAATGTCTGGCACCACTGTCTTGTGCACCTGCGCTTAGCCTTTGCTCTATGCCAAAAGTTGCCTCGTTGCAGTGGGAGTGGAAATTAAACGCTGCCCTGTACGCACAGCCCAGAAGTTCCATTCCAGTCTACTTTCGTGCTCCCTATTCTGTCGATTTTCTCCGCTTCAGCAAAGCGTCTGTCATCGACATCGACGGCGATCCCTAAAAACAACTCAAGCACTTTGAATACATCCGCTGGTAACTGCGACCGAACATCGTCCACGACTTTGCGACCATTCCACACAGTGGATTCATGCACTTCGCCTCGCCTTTCACAAGGCCGTCCGGCTAGATGGGACACAACACGGTCAGCAACTTCGGTCCTATTTATAGCTGAGAGATAGATGTCTGCGGAGGCACGAACCTGTTCAAAAGGAATACACAGGCGCTTCATGACCATGTTTGACTGCTTCCGGCCGCCCAGTCAGACCTCGTCTTCACCTTTTGTATTCTCTTTGATTCGCTCCTCACACTTTGGTTCCTCACAGAACGGAATTAAGACGACGTTTCGAGCGTCTAATGTCAGGACGACTTTAGCCCAGTCAGCTAAAATCAGCCCGTGTGATTTAAAAGACGCGTTAGCCTTGTTATAAATTTCCTGTTGTATCGTCTCAAGCATTCCAGGAACTTGAGTAGCGAGCTCGTGAATAGAAATAGCCCCCTTAGCGCCAGTTTCGCGGCGCATATAGCTCACTACTGAGGTGGCGGCATCTATAAGATTAAATTCAAGGCGCAGGGGTACTCTTTTCAAATCCCAATCTGCGAACTTGCAGCTGGGAGTATTATCACAAAGATATGGTTAGCATTAGGAAATAAAGAAAGGGAGGCAAAGACCGGAGCACCAAAATCATACTCACTATCCCTCGTGATCACTAACATGGACGGGAACGTTTACCTTCTTCAAACAAGCTCTCAAATCTGTGACTTGGGCCATCTGGCTCTCTCGCTGCTCTTAGCTCGTCTATGCAATCAGCCCAACAGGAATCAGTACCACTTAGATTTTAGATACTTAAGGAGGAAGACCGAGACCTCCGTCGCCTCCATGCAGCATGGCCATAGCACCGATAACTCAAGTTGACAAACCCCTAATGCGTTGCCGATTTATTGGCACGGTGTCTGTATCAAAATCCAATCATGGAGAATCGTATGCGCAAAGGGTCATAGATATAGAGTAACGTAGCACTAGCTCTGCCATAGAAACACTTTGTTTTTGTCTGAATCATCAACTGTAATATCGGGCATCTTGCTGAAGTTCTTGCCAAGAGCATGAGAAGTCGTGCCCTGGATCCCACGGTCATTTGTTGAAATATATGCCTCGCAAGTTGAAGTCCAGTAGCCACCAGCAAATTTATCGTTCTCCGCCTTCCTCCCGCGTACTACAGGAACCGCCAGAAATTGCTCATAGACACCTGCGTAGAGTTCTAGGATTTGAAGCGCTTCTTCTGCAGCGAGCTCTTTAGTAAGGTGTGTCCTTCTTGCCATAAAAACTCCCCTGCTTTCAGGAACGGTGTGGTTTGGTTAGCTTCCCATCAAGGAACCGAATTCCATTGGCTGAGACGGAAGGGAAGGTCCTTATACGATCGTATCCACTTGGCGTAGTACGGGACATGACCGCTTCAGCGGTCGGGCAGACGGCGACGGGCACTTCGAGATCTTTGTCTCCCGCCTTGGTCACTCAGGGCAGCTCAGGATCAAGCCCCTCGATGTGTTCCCTTTCCCCTTCTAGTAACTTGGAGGGCAAGAACACTAGGAAACTCGATTCCTCGACTCCCATGCCCTGAATCCTTTCTTGAAACCACATGTGAATAGTGCCCCAGACATGCATCGCAGGCGCTTCTATCAATCGCGTTAGATTCATAGGCTGGACACAGCGAAGAAATGTCTCACGTCGAAGAATGTAACAGTCAGAGATCTTTCCCTGGATCGAGTCAATTAAGGAAAGGTGAAAGGTGTGCAATCCAATAAACCACAGGTTTCATCATACCTCAAACCAGTACTCTAAGCTCTGCTTTGATTTCTACATTCTGATACCACTGACTGAGGTTGATTTCCTTGGAGAAAGTAACGCCGAAAATCTTCCTGAACTCATCCCTCACCACTCTAACGATAGGAACCCTAGCTTTCTCGGTTTGGTAGCCACTCTGGCCGATCGCTTTTAGGCCTTCTTCAGTGCACTTTTGGGCGGCGCCTATACTTCTTTCATGAGGCTACCGAGTCTATGATTGCATGCTGCTCGGGGAATTATTCGATGTGGAGAGACATCGTGTAGCTTAGTCATCATGCCCATGGATAGTTACATGGCACGTGCCTGGTACCTTCTCTCCAGAGTCCAGAGCAATTGGAAACGTTAATGCACCGTCAACAACACCATCATGGTCGCCTCGAGGTGCAGGAAGAATAACATGGAGGGAAGTGCGCCCTTCATCATCTCAGCATACACGCTCGACTTGAGCATAGAGGCAGGCGATTTTGGTTATATTAGCTTGGCCGACGAGACCCACTTTTCTAATTAATTACAGAAGCTGAATAATCCCCATTAATGCTAAGCGCTATTCCTCTTTCAGAAATTCACAAGCATTGAGAATAAGCCATATGTGATGGAAGAGGAGATGAGAGGGCCGCGATGGGAGAGATGTTGGGAAGCTGGGGCGGAGAGAGAGGAGGAAGAGGAGGAGGAGGAGGCGGGGAGTGTGGTTAGGGTTCGAGGGTGTAGCCATCTCATGTCGCCACAATTTCCAAGGGATCACAGCTGATAACTATCGTCCTCCCTTCGAATGAGTGTCCTCACTGCCACCTTCACGATGCCTTCAACGCGCTCCCAGTTAAATTTCGTTGGTGACGTCATGCTCGGCCGCCTCATCGACCAGTTGCTCCCAAACCATGTGCGCTGTCCTGAAGACGCTCGACATGTTGCGCACTTTGTAGCCATTAACCCTGAGCTGCGCGATTATGGGTTCAAATCGCCGTGGGGTAACACCATACCTCTCTTCCACTCGGCCAATCTCAACCTCATCAATCTCGAGACATCAGTTACGAATCATCATAGACCATGGCCCAATAAAGTCTTTAACTATCGCATGCACCCTATGAACATCCAATGTTTGAAAGAAGCTGGTATCCACTATACCTCCCTCGCGAACAACCACACGCTTGACTACTCGGAAGAAGGATTACTAGAGACCGTCCGAACACTTAAGGATGCTGGTATTGCTTTCGCTGGTGCTGGGGAAACCCGTGATGAGGCGTGCAGACCAGCTATTCTGAAGCTGCAGGGAGAAGACAATGAGACGTACTCAGTCCATGTGTATTCAGTCTCTGACCACCCCAGCGACTGGAGTACAGTTCTCAACTTTCACCTCATCGACTACTCGTCCAAAACCCGCAACCACCTCAAATCTCTTCTTACATCCTCGGCCTCGCAACCCGACCTCAAGATCTTCAGCGTCCATTGGGGACCTAATTACTCTTGGACACCCTCAAATAACATTCGCAGCCTCGCACACTTCCTCATTGACGAATGTGGCGTTGATATCATCCACGGACACTCCTCCCATCATATACAAGGCGTGGAGGTATACAAAGAAAAGCTAATTATTTACGGGTGCGGGACTTTGTAGATGATTATGCGATAAATACTAGGTATCGGAACAACATTTCCGCTATTTGGAGGGTCACTGTTGAGAAGAGTGAAGAAGAAGACAGGGGAAAATTGGTGGTGAAGAAGCTGCAGGTTTTCCCAAGCTGCATCAAACGCTTCCAAGTCAACCTGCTGGAGCAGCATGACACAGACCACCGCTGGGCTTTGGGGAAGTTCAGAGAGTTGACCGGGGCATTCGGAACAAAGGTCGAAAAAGCCGTTGGACAAGACGGCCAAATTGTGGTGGATCTAACATCTCAATGAAGTTCTGCTTGAAGCTCCCTTGTTAATATCAACATTCTTCATAGTCCATCTTGTTCCGCATCTGCCTCGACATCTTGATGCACTGGAATTTGAATTTCTCTCCTAACCGGTATTCTGGATGAGTTCGAGGAATCCTTCTGTCTGGAACAATTCCAGTCAAGGTATTTTCGCACCTAGCCTCCGGCTCGATATCGGTGGACGGTGATTGTCCAAACATAGTATAATAACTACTACGCTACACCACCCCCATCACTTACGCAGCGTCTCGGGAAGAGAGATTTATTTTGGGCGTCGTCTTCGTCCTCTAAGAACACCTAGCTAAGCACCAACGTTCTTCTAGCGGGGAATGCAGACACCTTGTCTCCTGACCAAGATCTTCATTTCCCTCATGAGGGGTTACCAAGCCCATCGGCGGCTTGAGCACATCTCTCCACCTGTAAGGACGCAAGTTCAATGGTTACTGCAACGATAGTCCTCTAATCTACGAAACGCCTCGGCATCTCCAAGCGGGGCATTGCCTTTCCTGCTAATGGAGTTAAGCCGGACATTCTGAAACGAATGAACGATCGACTCCATTACCACCTTGCTGACCTTGGCACTGGTTCTGAACGATTCACTCTACCCTCCCCCGCCTGCCCGGTGTGGTATTTCACACCCATGCAGTGCCTCAGGCTTGTCTCTACCTGCAAGCACGGAGCCGATCTTAGCTGCAGTGGGAAGTTGTAGATTCACTCGTATTCTGCCCATCGATATCCCCTCCTTCTTCGTCCACTCATTTGCCTTTCTTCACGTATTCCCCGCCCATGTGCTGTACCTCCATCTAACTCACGAGGGCAAATCATCACTCGCGCTGTCAGTAATTTCCTAAGTCTCCGTGCCTGCAGACGAAACTTGAACATCTTCCAATCCGATCTCGCATCGAATCTAACAGCCCTCGGGACAAGGCGCCAAGGCTTCATGTCCAGCCAGACTCCCCGCGAACCCGTATCTGCAGTGTCGCATCTGTGCAAGGGGCTCCGGAGTAAAAGTCTACTATGATACATGACCTCATGTACCTCTGGCCGTAAGTACAACTAACGCTAGCATCGAACAGCATTCGACGATTCTGAGCCAATGGCTTGTGAGGCCTTCCTCGGTATCTCAGTTGGCATTACCGCCAGATGTCTCGAAAACATCTCGAGGTAATATGCATGCAGAAATATCTAGGTCTTCTTTCCGGATTTGGGTTGGGGCTGCGGTCCCCAGCTTGACTCTGGCTGTTGCTTCCCAAATGTTACTTTTTATCCTCTCACACCAATTTGCAAATTCTAGTCCCAAAGATTCCTAATTTAGCGCCTGAATAGATGTGCCTCGGCCGCGGTACTTGTTGGCAAAGAGGTTTGTGTGGGCTGAGACTGGCTATAAAAAAGCCGTATCTTTTAACTTGAATTGGTTCCTACCTGTCAATAATTGAACTTTTTTTTGTTTCTCAGACAATTACAGCAGCCGGGGCCGGGCCTCCTGGGTTTCTACTAGCTAACTCTTTCCTTTTATTTGATATCGCAGCCTACTTTTCGAACTCATAGTATATCGATCTTAAGTGGACATCATGTATATCAAGTCTTTCGTCGTTGCTACTATAGTTGGCCTAGCCACTACTTCTCCCCTCGAAAAACGCCAAACCGGAACTACGTCCAAGGAATTTTCCCAAGGCGGCTGCAGAGATATTTTATTTGCGTTTGCGCGTGGATCTACTGAAGCTGGGAATATGGTACTTACCCCTCCCCCATCTCAACGTCTCACCCCTCAACTCTTCCCTTAGGGCACCATCGTTGGCCCACAAACATCCAACGGCCTAAAAGCTCAATTCGGGGCCTCCACCGTCGCAACCGAAGGCATCGACTACGCCGCATTGCTCTCTACCAATGCGCTCCCGGGCGGCACGGACGCGGCGTCCAAGAATCTGATGAAAGGAGTGTTAAATGCTATGGCTATTCAGTGTCCGGACTCGGTCATTGTCGCAGCAGGTTATAGTCAAGGGGCGGCAGTGTGTCATCGGGCTATTGAGGAGTTGAGCGGGGCGGTGAAGGATAGGATTGTGGGGGTTGTTACGTATGGGGATACGCAAAAACAACAGGTGAGTTTGGGGTTCCCTATACCTCCCATTATGAATTGCCCGGCCCACCAACACCATATAATTATTATATCACCTCCTAACCCAACCCCGTAATCGAAACTCACGTGCTGATGAGTGAGCAAATAGGACAACGGCCAAATCCCCAACTTCCCAAAAGACAAAGTCAAAATCATATGTCAACCAGGTGATCTTGTCTGTGTTGGCACACTGACTGTGCTGCCGCCGCATTTAACGTATGGTGCTAGGGCGGGCGAAGGCGTGCAGTTTTTGGCGCAGAAGATCCAGGGAGCGCAGAAGAAGATGAAAGCTAGGAAGGACGAAGAGTTGGTGGGTAGGGCTGCCGAGGGACTGGAGAAGGTGTAAGTGGGTGTTTGGGCTTTCATGGTTTGGAGGCCTCTCGCTGACCTCCTTTTTTGCACTTATCATTTCGTCTTTCTCTTTCTACGAGACCAAGTGAAGCAATTACATAGTCGTTCACTCCCTTCGCTCACCCAACTTGCATCGTGATATTTCCTCGAGCACTCAAAATGTATACAGTTGTGCTATTTCTAACCCCCGGGAACGAGGGAAGGCTACCCTGGCGCCGCTCCCGTGTTCTTGAATTGAAACACAAGCCTCTTAATAAGAATAACCACGGATGTGGGAATACGGAAGATACGAATGCATATGTGGATGAAACCACTGACAGAGATGGCATGGGGATAGTGCCATGCTGAGCGTTAGCATTAGAGGAGGGAGAAGATCAGGATGTGGAGGTTTTGAAAAGGGAATGGAATGGGGATGAACAGTTGCAGAGAGGATTAAAAACGAGTAGGTTTGAGGCAGGGAGGACGGCATTGTAAGACATATAGACTCTAGTGTTCCCGGGGCGGTCTTAATTTCTACATGTTGCTATCAATTACATATGCTACTGAGCTTCTGTTTTCACCCATGATCTCTGCTCTGGACTTTTATATATCGAGGCATTTTAACGTGCATGTACATACATCGGAATCCTTTGGGTATTTTGAGAACTATACTTGCACTGTTTGAGCATGTTTGATCTTTTCAGGAGAACTTTAAATCGGGCAAATTTCTCAGTATATGTATGGGTGGGATTGGAAGTGACGGCAAACATACGGATGCTGGAGGGGAGTGTGTGCCCAAAATGACCGTTCATGCAGGAAGTGAGTATATGCCTGTCGATTCGACAGTCCCTCTCCTATATCATGTCTTGGTGACTTTATCACCGATTCTGTCGGAGATCAAACTGGAGCAAATACCGCTGACATTTTAGCTATATCTGCTGCGTATATAGATTCGATAACGTTGCAGAATTTGAAGCAAAAGCTACCCACTTCTGAACCCTCATTCCGTCCCATCCCATAGTTAGGTCGCTTAAACCCAAATCTAATCCACAGGCGGCAGGACCCTCACCCTTCACATCTCCGCATGCGTCCTAATCCCCCATTTATCTAGCACGTTATGCCTACACCAAAAACTCCTATACCTCTTCCCCCAATAAAAGAACACCGGCGTCGTCAATATCATCGCGGCACTCACACCCCCAAAAACATAAAACACCTTCGCCGGCCCCTCCCTCGCCGTCCAATCATTCACAAAATAACTAAACCCATAAAACAACAGATTCTTAAACACCATATTCACAATAAAGACTTCAGACGACATATCGCGATATGCGTCAATGATGTAGGCAGATGCGGAGATAGCGGCGCAGACAATGCCGAACAAATCCATGCCGTGCATTGTCGCCGTTGCGTAGTAGGAGTATTTGTGTTCACACATGTAGCCGAAAGCGAAGAGGCCGACAGTTGTGAGGATCGAGGGTATCATGCCTAATAATCTATACTCTGGTTCGTAGATTCCTCCATTCTTTTTGGCACACCAGCGGATCAGGGGGTCAAGCGTGGCGCCTAGGAATACGGAGCCAAGAAGTCCGCCGAGGAAGGGGCCGAGGGAAAGATATCCAACCCCGGCGGCGGAGAGGTTGTAGGGCGGGAACATAAATATTTGCGCCATATCGTAGGACTGTGCGACGAAGAATGCGGTGAGCCCGCCCGTGACGATGACGACCCAGAGGACGGCGAGGTTGGTGCAGACCGCGAAGGGGGCGATGAAGAGTTGGAGGAGGTTGTCGTCGGAGTAGGTGCCAGAGAATAAGGCAAGCTCTTGGACGAAGGTTTTCTTAGCGCGGGACGCGGGAGGTGTTGTGGAACCGCGGGTTTCTACTTTGACGATATCGTCGTTGGAGGACTTTATATCAGATGGGTGGGCGTGGCGTTTTTCCGCAGCTGCGAGGTCGGCTAGTTTGTCGTCGGCGAGTTCGTCGATGTCGTATCTGTGGTCGCGGTTGTATGCTGTTTCCGGGACGAAGAGGATGAGGAGCACGGTTTCGACAGCGGTGAAGGCGATCAGGATGTGGAAGAGATATTTCCAGCCAAGATTAGTTGCGATGGGACCAACGATGATGGCGGAAAAGTTGGAGGCAGCGCCGAGGATGAATTGCATGATGGTCATGAAGAAACCGCGCTGATGGACGAAGAAAAGATCTCCAATCATGGAGACCACTAGACTCTCGAAGGCAGAACTAGAAGTTGATTAGTATGAATGCCCCTAGCTTAGAGATATGGGACGTACACTGAGCCGCCTTGGATGATACGCCCAGCAAGAAGACCTTCATAGCTATTCGTAGCACTTCCGATGATCGTTCCGAGCAGCCCAAAGAGCGATGAGATTACGAGTAAAGGCCTCTTACCATACTTCCTCGACAGAGCGCATACGATGGGGCCGGAGCATGCCGTGACGAGAAGCATGTACCCAGAGATTTGAGTGATATCGCCGACCTCCTTGTGGAAGGCCATAGCAATGACAACAAGAGCTGGGGAGAGAAGAGGAGCAAGGACGGAAGCGTAGAGGGTCGAGCCGAAGCCAATGATGGTGATGATGGTCCATTTCCGAGCGTTAGACCAGTTCAGTGGGTCATTAGGGTCTTCGGAGCTAGAGACGGGGTCAGTACTGGGTCAAGCAGAGAAAGAAGATTCGTACGGTTGGGGAATTAGAATGATGTCTGCATCTTTCCCAGTCCCGTGCCTTAGGCCTGCTGTAGCATCATGCGTCACCGATTGCTCTTCACTGAGGATGACAGTCGCCGGGACATGCTGCAGCTTGGAGTCTTCGAGGATGCCGAGGAAACCCATGATGGCTGACAATGGGATGAAGAGAAGTAGTATACAACTACTAGTGTTGAGGGTTTGAGAATCGACAACTGGAATTCTAAACGCGATCAGCATGGGCAAGCCCGTCTACTTAAGAATTTGCCGGCGTTAGTATAGACCCAAGGGCGTGGCGCGCGAATCCTGCGCATCAACTCGCCTGAACGGTAGGACCTTCACGTGGCGTAGCTCTCCCCTTGTGGGGTTGACAATTCATCTCGGTTTGCAGGGCCCCACAGAATATGGCAGGTGGTCTCGATTTCGACAGGCCTTTGTTGGAGAGACCCTGTCGATATTGCTCGGAGGTACTATACGATCGTGGTATTTTGTGCATATCCCATCTGCACTTCATATCGATCAAGCGGATCACATCTGACTGCATCGGGCGCAAACAGCCTGTTATTTGGAATATTATCTCACCACAGATAAACGCATTCAACACATTCAACACATTTGGAGGAGAGGAACGGACAGACTTGAGGAGAAGCAGAGGGTGAGACGAGGAGGAGTTACCCCAAAAAGCCCAGTGAATTAGCTCAGCCACAAAAGTGTGGAGGAACGAGGCTACCCCGCAAGAGAGCGGCTGGATTTGGAAGCGCCCCACAGCCGCGCGAGTCAAGGCCATGAAAGTGGGAGCTCGCTTTTCTCCATACAAAATTCAGCTGTCGGCTTTCCTCTCATACTCCAAAAGGCGAGAAATACTCCAAGGCCTCACGGGTACCCGTCATGAAGCCAATGCCGGCCTTGACGATGGTCATGGCGACTTCGATCTCCGCTTCGTCTCGTGGGGCATAGATTAGCATGTAATTGACGGGCATGATGAAGCCGACGAGCTTCTTGAGCACTCGCACGCCGTCCAGCCCGTGTCGCTGTCCCCATCCCGCCTCGATGACTTTTTTGCAGTCGTCAGGGCTGAGCGTCACGTGGATGCTGCCGTCGAGGCCGGCGTGGACGTGAGTTATTTCTCCGCGCGTTTCCTGGGCCACAGTATGCCACTTGCGCGACCGAGGGACGAAGATGCCCTTGTGCTGCAGTTCCATTACGCTCTGGCGGACCTCGACTAGGCCCCTGGCCTCTAGCTTGTAGCCCAGCTGTGAGAATCTCTCCAGCAGCTTCTGTCGAATCTCTTCACTGGGCAGTTGGCCGAGCTGTCGCTGCGGGACGGGGTGCGGGCCGATTCGCGGTCGTTTCGAGGCTCGCTGCGGCAGGGACGCGGGCAGGTACCCGGGCTGGTCAGCGAAGGGGAGCTTGGGGTTGTCGTACATTCTGGTAGAGAGGCCTTCGCGGGAGATGGCGCGCAGCAGGACGGTACTAACCAGCCATCCCGTGGCATTGTAGGGCAGCCCGCCGGGCCCGTAGGAAAGATACGTTAGATAGTCATAGAGGGTGTAGGAGAGGGCAGCGACGGCGCCAATTGCAGAGAGTGACGCAGCGCGGTGCTTGTCAAAGATTTCGTATATCCGAAGGAGGGTCGGTCGAGAGGCCATGGGGTGAAGGAAGAGTTTTCATGGCGGGGACTGGACGATATTCGACGTCGAAGAGGCGGTGTGGTGGCGCGAGGGATAGTTGCGGGATGGCGTCTGTTCAGCGTTTTGCCGCCCCCCACGTTCCACCCCTCCATCCATTCACCCTCCATCGGCCATCCATCATCAACCATCCATCAACCATCCATCAACTATCCATCATCAACCATCCATCAACTATCCATCATCAACCATCCATCAACCACCCATCAACCATCCACCAACCATCCATCAACCATCCACCAACCATCCACCAACCATCCACAACCATCTATCAACCATCTATCAACCATCTATCAACCATCTATCAACCATCTATCAACCGTCCACTGCACCTCGCATCCGATACCATACATCTCACTTCGAAGCGGATGCAGATCTTAGTTGCTTCATGGCTTCTTCGGCGCTGAGCCGAGATGCAGATTCGTTTTGAGATCACGGGATACCGCTGCTGACAAACGCGGCGGTCGCCCAACCCTCTCCGCTGTGGAAGCATTGACCACTATCCAGAGCTTCAAAGAGCGCCAGTGTCTCGTAGTAGCTTCGATTGTTGATTTCAAGTTGTATCTCCGGTGCCGGAGACAAGGGTCATCTCCACCTTGCCTCCGATGAGGTCATCTACTGGCGAGTATTTGACTTCTCCAACAGTGCTATAGACGTCCTCAACCTCAACACCGGCCCCGTTCAATTAACCCTGCTGGACGCTAAGATGCTCGCCCTCACCAGCGCAACGGGAAAACTAGGCTCTGCAGTCCTCAATGCCCTCCTCGACAACAACCTCATCGATGCCAAGGAACTAGTGGTCTGCGTGCGGAATCCTCACTCTTCGCGCTAAATCCTCTACTAACCCCTTTGAAACAGACATCTTCCGAACCGACAGCTTCGAAATTCGCCGCCCTCCGATCCAAAAATATCACCGTCCGATACAATAACTTCGACGAACCCGCCTCCCTCGAGGCCGCCTACGCAGGATGCGACAACCTCTTCCTCGTATCTTCGCCCCGCATCTCCATGGACTTCGACGATGCACCTCTGTGGGAAGGCCGCGAAGCACATCATCTTGCTGCTATTGACGCCGCGAGGAAGGTTGGCGTCAAGCATATCTACTACACGTCTCTTGCTTTTGGGAATCCCTCTAAAGCGAGCGTCATGCGGGCGCACATTCGAACGGAAGCATACTTGAAAGGGCTAGAAGATGTGCAGTGGACGATTATTAGGGAAGGTTTGTATAATGAGAGCTGGCCGCTGTATCTTGGATACTACTATGGCTTGAAGAATGAGACGAGGACGGAGGTGGTCGTTGCGGGCGACGGTCCCATTTCGTGGACAAGCATCCTCGACCTGGCATTTGGCACAGCGAGAATTCTCACTGATCCCCCTGAGCAATGGGCTGGAAGGACATTCTACCTCTCGCAAAATAAAACGTCGAATTTAAAGGACATTGCGCAAATCGTGAGTAAGGAGAAGGGCGAAGAGGTTGCGCTAAAGATTGTGGCAAGGAAGGAGTACGAGGATTTTTATGTCAACGAATTGGGCATGGAAAGACCTGCTGTTGAATGGTGGAGTAGTACGTATGATGCACTGCAGGACGGTGAGTGCGATATCAAGGATCCAACGCTCGAGGATATATTGAAGAAAGCTGGAAGGGAGCTAATCCCTGTCGAGGAGACCATCGCGAAGATGCTTCAATGATTGGTCGCCTCTCTTCGTGATTTGCATTGTTTAGTGCATACTTGCTTGCGAAACGCTTTTGCCATTCGTACCGTTATTCCACACTGACGGTATTCGAATGCCGTAATGAACCAAAACCCCCCAACGAGTGCCGGATAATGTCTGTTGTAATACTGCAGAACATAGACATTGAAGAAGGTTTCACCTCTGATTAGGAGCGTGTTTAAGCTTAGTTTGGGGTTGGTTTGCCTACCGAGCTGATGAAGGAGGCAACGATGCGACTGGTGGCTACCTCTCGTCTCTTCATATCGGACTTCCGCAGCCCCTAAACAGCCCGCTGGTTACGTCCCTCACAGAGGCTTACCTAGTAATTACATATTGGAATACAAGTCGTTTCTTATTTCTTCAACAACAGTTAGCCCGAGCAATGCCACGAGTCACCTTCTTCAATAGGTCGTTACCCATTAGTTTCCCGGATACAAGGTCAATGCCCGCCAGAAGTAAGCGCACCGTTGACCATTTTCCCATCTGGAAAATGTCATGTCGGCAAGAAACATTACCAACCAACAATGGTAGCCAGTTGATTTGACATGATTGTAGGGACGGTCCAGACACACATGATGGCCGTCTGTTCAAAATGGGGTCAGCGCACCAATTTAAATCGCCCGAGCCTATCCAGCCATGCCATTCCCCGTGCTCCCACTTCCTTTCAAAGGCAAATATTGTTCCTTTTAAGGGGGGAGAGACTGTTGGGAGAGGGACATTCAATCTAACCAATTCCACGTCCTGGACACAACGCAGACTTACAAACAATGCTACTAAAGTCAATCTTAGCAACCTGATTGACGAAACTAGCCTAGATATGTCTCACAGAGGAGATAAGTTTAAATCTTTCTAGAAAAGATAGTCTAGGGCTCTACTGGCCGAACGCTAGGATTGACTCTTAAGACGTCCGTTAGTCCTACTTAGTTCATCAAATACACAAATCGAAATTTCTGCAGATTCTTATGTTGAGCGCCTCATCACCGGCTTAAGATGCAGTCGTGTCGGGGACGTCCTCTCAAGCGCCTCGTTCGCTATATTGCCAGATCGGTGAACCGTATGTATCATGCCCCCACAGCCGCTCCATTCCGCCGATGGCTCATATTCACACTATTTCAGTCACAACAACCCACATTGCGTAGGAAATGCTTCCGTCAGCCTTATTTTAGTAGCTTCAATTCATTGTGACCTAGTTTTGGATGGATGCTACGAATGAACATGAGCTGACATGATACACGCCAACTTCCACTTATGTTCGAGATGCAAAATATCGTCCTTGAACTACCCAGAACCTCATATCTATATAGGGAATTTTAATAGTATAGTAGCTCTGAGAGGAGAAAATTAGCCTCCTATTACCTAAACTTGGCATGCTCCCAATAATAGAACCATTAAAATTTCGACAGGTTTGCGGTTTCCTCCAGTTTAGCTTTCAATGGAGGCATGCAGGGCCTTTAAAGAGAGATCTAGCTTAACCTAGAATGACATAACAGAAGTGTAACTCGCTAACGAGACGCTTCACACCCAGCTTCGAAAACGGCCAACTGGGGTTGCCTTTATCTTGTAGCTAGCATCTAAGACCAAGCAATATACCCTCACATATTCAGAATTTGTCCTTCAGGCTACACTCTTAACATGTCTTATCACCTCCCTTATGACTTCCCGCTCAAAACGGGTGACTACTCTACAGAAATACGTGCTCGGACGCACATTTATATAGGGGACGCACATTTATATAGGAGACATACCTCGCCGTCGACTAATGACCGCCGTACCTTAGGATTTTCGCGAATATATTCGTATAGTTGTCGCGAAAGCTACTTTGTCGTCCTTATAGCACTCAGAGGCAAACCACCCACATGAAACGACATATTAACAGGCTTGGATTTTGCTCTTTTCAGCTCTACTCTACCCTTTATTTCATTATAACCACTTGAACCGCGTTTAAAGGCCCTGTGGTGGAAGGCTTCCAGAAAACCATTGCACCTGAAGCTTCGTGATGACGACAGGCCTGAGCTGCAGGATATTGGTAAGCCTTAGTAGAAGCTACGGAGAAAGAGTGAGCTGATCTGAAAGCTTAAGAGGAATATTGAGAGTTAGATGGGACTCTCCTGTGCGGCCAACTATGAAGATTGAAATCATTGAGCAGCGAAGGTGTACTGATATACAAGATGCTGCGGTAGTGTGGGTGGAAGGGAACCAAGTTGGCCGAAGCAGTTGCGTATGAATGGGACACACTGTCGAGTACAGTAGGTGGAGAAATAGTCGAAGCCTCTCTAGGTAAGCTGTTGATTGAGTGTCTCTCCCGCTCACGTTGTTAGAGTGAATCTCAGAAAGGAGCTACAGGCTAGCTGCACGGATGAGATGTGCGTCACGCAATCCGTTCATCTTGCGTACCGAATTTTCAGCTCCACACGATTCTCGACTCCAGATCCCGGAGTCGTCGGTTCTGGCTCGGTTGCCACCAACTCATGTGTCGGCTCTATAACTTCAAGCTCTGCTAAAACCTGGGTCATAGTCTCAAATGATTTCCCGGTTGACTGCCGAAGCTGATCGGCGTCCAGCGCTCCCTTCTCAAACTTCGTCTGCTGGTTTTTGGATTTCTGAAATTGGCTTCGCTCCCTCGTCTTTTCAAAAACTGAGAATAGAAATAAAGTTACCCCCAATCTAAAAAGCCTGAATCTGACGGAGAACCCAACGGGTTTCAAGTCTGAATTGCCTTTCTGAGGAGTCACTGTCTCACTAGCTCAGAATCTGTAAGTTGTTGTCGAGCTTGGGTTAAAGGAAGCCGTAGGTTTCGGCGATGCGCCTAGAGGATAGATTGCGGATATTTCAGGACTGGGGACGTCAGAGTCATGAACTGTGGCTTTGATAGGCCAAAGTTTTGTGCTCATGGCCAACTATGAGGTACATTTCCTAGAGGAAAGTCTTTCCTATAGTGTATAAACCCGGACTCAAGGCTTTTTTGAGGGGACGCGATACGACGAAGTCATGTTACTCGGTGGAATTGAATGACCCAGATCGAAAGTCGAATATTGCAGTGTGAGGTTCTGGCTCATGGCCTTCCCCGGAGATTGCGACTGCAGCGTAAAAGTCACGCTAGTGTTTCGCGAAACGCGGTCCTCGTGAAGGTGAGAATCCACGAGATACAGTTCCGAGGTCTCGTCCCACTAGAGCTGGAAGACGGTTTCGAAAACTTGTCATGTTGAAATCGGAAGCCAGGTGTACGGCGTCGAGGCCTCGATTGTGGCGGATAGTGGGGTCGAGGAGGTTGCTTAGCGTTCTGGATGTTCTGATTTTGTTCCTCGTGGGTATGAACTCGACTGATGTGATTACCACCGAGAGAGATTGTTCACTGCCCCAAAGGCTACCCTAGAACGTTTTCAAGGGATCAAATCGAACAGCGTCGTAGCCACCAAGTACGAGGCTTCCTGGCATTATATTCCCCATGGATTTGTCAAATCCCATGGCCGGCCCCAGATCTAGAAGTTTCCTGCACATCCAGCTAATGTACTCACTGCCCGCGGAATAACCAAACGACGGACTCGGAACCTTCTTCCCACTCTTCTACCTCGATACCAACGGCTCGCGAGACGCGTTTCTCTAGTTTACAGCACCCATAGCTAAACCGACGACAACCTGCGTCTCCAAAACTACATGTAAAATGCCAACATCTTGCTTCTCCAATTCCACGGTTCCCAAGGGCGAGGATAAACTCCTCTTATCCGCCCCCGCAGGCATCTTCAGCACCGTCCCATTCTGAATCCCATGCAGTCTGATCGCTTTAATCGACGGTAACTCGTACTCTCCCACTTCTTCCTAGGACTGTGATGATTCCGTCTTGTCCGAAACCAAAGCATATGGAAAGGAAAATGAGGGATAGATAGTGAATATTTGAGGATTCCGTCGCGCATTGGCTAATTTTACATGTATATTGGGACCGCAGTTGAGACGCTAATCTATTTTATCTGCAAGTGAGTTGAACCCGGAAACTGGCCATCGATCGCTGGAAATGAGGATCGAATTCGTGCCCAAGTGTTTGGGGTAATAAACGTGATCGCTTGGTAGGAGTGATGATACCTAGATATACGACGGATTTGCTAAGATGGGTTTAGGGGTATAGTTTGGAGATATCGGGGACACTACTGTTGGTTTATGGAGTTTCGATACTGTCTTTAACCACCTGATATCACTCTTCGGAATGCATTCAGACTCCTATGAGCATGTTCCAACTGTTTGGTCTTCTCCTCCAACTCCCGTCTCTTGAAGACCTTGTAATGCTCCTCTAGAAACACCCGCCACCGACTCGGACTCCATTCCCTCGGAAACAGATCATCAGTCCAATCATCAGGATCCTCATCTACCACTGGATGTTCAGGACCAATAATCCCATCTCGGACCATCACCTCAACATCCCGCTCGCTCGGCGTATCAAAATACTCCGAAATATCTTCCCTCCAACCGTCAACCATGTCCGCAACCGCACATACCTTGACCACCACCCCCCGCTCCTTCAACATCTTCAAGGTCGGGGAAATCTCCCGATACTCATATACATTCGAATTCCTACACACCAGTTCAAGATTTAGTATACGTAACTGCTGCATCTCCAACAACGCCATCAGCATCCAGCGTCGCGTCGTATACCTTCTTGTTACTACACTCCACGGTTTCGAGCGCTGCTGGATTTCAAGGACTTCGTGCCTCACCCCGCCGAATGTCAAGGTGGCTTGCGTGCTTAGATGCATTCTGCGGATCACATCCCGCGGTAACACACCGCTGCCATAATGATCCGTGCGCAGGAAATGCAGGACTTGATTAGGGATTTGGGATGAGATTTCGAAGACGTTGCTGTTGTACATAATCTGCGCGGCTTCGGCCGCGATGACAGGGTCCACGATGTTGGCATGCAGGTACAGGAACGGGTCACGGCGGAGCATGGAGCGGCGGATGTCGATGTCTGGGTACGTCAACACGAACGGATAATCCAGTGTATAGAGATATCCGTAGATCTCCTCTCGTAACTCCCTAGGGAGAATAAACAGCTTTTGCGACTCGGTCCTTAGCACGGCAGATATATTCCGCCATCCGGCCTCTAGCGCATGGAGTTCATGGACGAGGCGGGCTCGGTTTGCGCGTAGTTGTCGGGTTCGAAGGTCTGGGTTCGCGCCTTTGGAGAGTTTGGTGATGCAGAGGTCTAGGTCGGAGATGAGGAGTTGGATTCGGGGGATGTTGTCGTAGTGGGAGGCGCTGAGTTCTTTAAAGTATTTGGTTTTACGCCAATTGGAGGGGGATTGAGTGTGCCAATCGGTGGGGTAGTTGTAGTGACGGTCGCGTTGGTGTTCAGATTCGATTGGGAGAAGGAGGAGGTCGGTTTCGGAATCCATCGCGCGGTGGGTTATTGGGAGAAATGGTGAGTGAATAAAGAATGAAAAAGGCGGGGCGAGGGTACGAACGGATCCTCCGAAGTGTACGAAAAAAAAAATGATGTGGGTTGAGATTCTGGACGAGATTGACTTTAAGTTGGAAGCTGGAGAGGGGAATATAACAGGATGGAAGTGAAGCGAAGTAAATAATTGCCAGCGGGATATATACTTAGGCTTTGCTTAAAAATTGTGGCTCAGCTCTATTCAGCTTCGCTTCAGGGTTAAGTGACTCAGAAATGGAGAACCTTGGAAGCGGCAGCACGTTCCAGGCGCCACTCATGCCTTTGGGTGACTCCATTATGATTCAGTATGCCCTCCGCTGTCTTTAAATTTGAGGCTACGGTTGGTGGAAGAGTGGTTCTCAGGTCCAGGCTTACCTCGAGTTCGGGAATGCTGCCTTGATGACGCTTCACATTTCGAGGTTGGCTCCTGACCCTGGATGATATGCGTGAGCCGTGCTATTTTGGTGTTGCTAGAACTATAGCAAGAATTCCTTGGAATTTATCTATCTTGTTAAGCTGTTGTTGGTGTTGAGAAACTTGGCCTCGGAAGCATGGATGAATAATGAATAATGCTGACACCTGAAAGCGCTAGACCTCGGCACTTCTGATTCCGGACTAGTCAGCACTTGTTGCACTTCGAAGCCTTCACATTATTCCCGAGTTTCGTGAAGAGACGCCTCAACTATTATCTAGAGGGAGCTGTTCTTGATGAATCGACGTATCCGTTTCGCAAACCATGCCGCATTTGGTCGTGCTCCATCGTCTCAGCTCCCAGGATTACCAAGGGCCTTTTCCCTGGTGGACAAAAAAGTAGCCAAACAGCAACCGTTTCTCTATGTTTCAACCGAGGCATTGAGGCATTACGAGACCACATAGATAGCCTTACAGTATTAACGCATCCATCGCTTCCAACAACGACGTAATCGCTAGGCGTCAGTTTGACTAAGCCTACCTTTTTAGTACATTGAAATACAACATATCGCTCAACGACATCTGTCTTAACCTTTCTCATGCTGTGAGTTGACAATGGCTAGACAGTCTCAAATTCAAATCTTCTTCGTTTCTTTGGCCGAGTCTGCGATCTCGTTTTACTTCCTCCCACGGGTCTTCCCGACCACAACTCTTGCCGGCACATTCCTTATATTCTTGTTAATTAATTGGAGTTTTTATTTCGTCTACCTCCTTATCATCTACCCCTTTTTCCTCAGTCCCTTCCGACATCTTCCTAAGCCCGGAGGCAGTTACGGGCCGATCATCGCTCATGGCCCCATTATGTTCAGCCAGCCTCCAGGCTCTGCATTCCTACGGATGATGAAGGAGGTGCCAAACGACGGTATCATCCACTACCGAAGCTTCTTCCACGAGGATCGCCTCCTCTTGACGGAACCCGCCCAAATCGGCGATGTTCTTGTGCACAAAAGCTACGATTTCGAGAAATCTCCATGGATTCGAACTTTTCTAAGGCAATTTCTCGGTGATGGGCTGCTCATGACAGAAGGAGACGAGCACAAACACCAGAGGAAGCAGATCATGCCAGCCTTCAGCTTCCGCCACATCAAGGAGCTCTATCCCGTATTCTGGTCGAAGTCAGTGGAGCTGTGCGGCGCTATCAAAGCAGAGTTGTTGGAGAAGAAGGATGGAGTCATTGAATTGAATCACTTCTCCACCCAGGTGACCATGGATATCATCGGTTTGGCGGGTCTTGGACGCGACATTGGGTCGCTTAGAAATGCTGATGACGAGCTGATCAAGAATTATGAGGAAATACTGGAGCCAACGGCAGAAAAGGGAATTTACTTTGTGTTGCATCTGATGTTCCCCCTACGATTGATTAAGATGTTGCCGTGGAAGCTGAATGAGCGTGTGAAGATTACTACCAAAAGTCTCAAGCGAATTTGCCGGGAGTTTGTGCAGGAAAAGAAAGCTAGAATGAAGATGCAAAGCGAAGAACAGATTGACATCCTGTCCATTCTTCTCAGATCCAACGCCTTCTCCGATGATGGCTTGGTTGATCAGCTATTGACTTTCCTCGCAGCAGGGTACGTTTCAGCCTGTCGATGATGAAGGTGGTGCTAACATGATAGGCATGAAACAACATCCTCGGCCTTTACCTGGGCTTCTCATCTTTTGGCCCTTAACCCAGATGTGCAGAAGCGGCTCCGTGCTGAGATCCACGAAAACATCGCATTACCCAGAGACATATCCAGCGAAAAGATCGATATTGCGGGATTGCTGGAGTCGCTCCCTTATCTCAACGCTGTCTGCAACGAAACCCTCCGCCTTTACCCTACCATCCCCGTCTCATCTCGTGTGGCAACCCGCGACACCTCTATCTGCGGACAGTATGTCCCTGCCGGTACCTTGTCTTTTATTGTACCATGGGCAATCAACCGCAACCCCCGCCTATGGGGCGAGGACGCTGAGAAATTCAGACCAGAGAGGTGGATTGATCCAGGGACGGGTCGAGCGAATTATATCGGGAGCGCGGACAGTAATTATTCGTTCCTGACCTTCTTACATGGACCGCGAAGCTGCATCGGTGAGAAGTTCGCGAGGGCGGAGCTGAGAGCTTTGGTTGCTGTGTTTTGTGGTAGTTTTGAAATGCAGATGGCAGACCCTAACAAAATGGTCAAGCCAGGTGGTACGATTACGAGCAAGCCGATTGGAGGAATGTGGCTGAGGCTACATCCCGTTGCATGGTGAGCCTCTGGTGTTGAGGGCAGAAGGAATTCCTAAGTCCTTCGAAGCCTGAGCACTGTCTAGGATCCTACCTTGTCGCAAATTGTTTATGGATTTATGGATATGTATACAGTTGCTGCGATATCTATGCCTTAAATGAAATAGCAGACTTGCGTGGAGCCTGCGGCAAGGAATTGGACGGAGGCAAATGTGGTACGAAGTATCGTGCAACCTCCATTTCATGTTTTTCTATGAACATCGTCATCTCCCTTCGTTATTCCCATCCACTTCCGGCTCTATCCCCCGCACCAATATGACATCTCGCAAAATACGCCGCTATCTGGAAACATGACGCACAGGCTGCGATTATCGCCACTGTGATGGTCACGCTGCTGCTCAGATCGACGTAAGCAATTGATACTGTCACAAACGAAGCACAAGCCTCTAAAAGGGACATTGCCATGACGAAATCGTGGCGTCTGGACTTCCTCATCGTGTTGTATCATTTTTTAGGATCTTGATCATATTGCAGAAGTCTGAAACATAATGGTCTCGTCACTCCAGTTGACCAAGTTTCTAGAAGAGAGACAAGCGCTCTTAACTCCCCTCTTCGAAGCTGGGGATGTAGATAAAATCCTCGAATTCTTCGACCCAGAGCTATCATTTTCAGACCACGGTATGTAGCCACCCCACCTCCTCTCCTCCACCTCCTCTCTTCCACCTCCCCTCTTCCACTTCCCCTCTATATCCCATTCCCATTGCCTTAATTTAAACTGGTCACTGACACCCACCAACCCTAGCCTGGAGCGCAACCAACCTTGGCCATTCCGAATTCTCAACCTTTCTGCATTCCACCTACTCGACCTCCTCGCTCCTCCACATGGAAACACACGGCGTCTACGGGACCTCGAAGGACTTCAGCGTGTGGGAGTGAATATTGAGAATGATGGCTGGGACCGATGATCCTATTCGTGGGCTGATGAAGGGAGAGGAGATTGTGATGAGGGGGTGTAGCTTGTATTGGTGGAGGTTGAGGGATGGAGGTGACGAGGGGAGGGTGCGGGATTGGAGGATTGTGAGGGAAGCGGATTACGCTTGTGACGTTGGTAGTGGTGGGGAGGGGAATTAGAGTAGGATGAGTGTAGGGATTGGGAAAGGGGATGGAAGCTAGATTGGAGTTAAAGGATGCAGGCTAGATTGGAAGAAGGTGGAGGTGATTAAGGAGACAAGGGATATAGTGAAGGAGAAGAATTGCGCGTTTGTCGCAAGTGAACGATAAATACCAAAGGGAGAATACAGTTTCATCGACTGCGTTGGATGGATGTCGATCATTTTGGAGCGATAGCAAATGAAAACTTGATCAGTGGGCAGACATCTGCTACATCGCTGGAACTCCCACCATCATCGCCACCTACTGTTTACAACAACCTAGGTCTGGTGTTGCCCAGGACTTGGCCTTGACCTTCGACGATCGCGGGTCAACCCTGGGGCTCTTGTACACGTCACGATGTCGGCACTGTTGCTGGAAGAGCAACGATATCGGCGGCACGGGAAAGACGTTCGCTACAAACTTTAGTCTATGGCAGAAACAAACCCTACATTAACAGACTCCAATTGCTCCATCAATAACGATAGCATGACAGTTGTTGTCTACTGCGCGGGAGGATAGGATGATGGCCTGACTTGTAACGTGATTGGTGGCTGCCCCGGCGTGGAACATGGAACGGCGCGTTCCAGCCCCTCTCTGCCAGCAACACCACATACCTTGCAGGACTGAATGGCAGCTGTCATCCCCGTTCCATCCTGCCACACCCGTTCCGCCCAACACCATATCTTACAAAACACATGAGCAGACTGCACTAAAGGGTATCGCTTGTCTAGCGTCTGCCCACCGTGTACGGTCCTATCCTCGTCTCGACGACTCAGTTCGGCCTGCCAAAGAACGGGTTTTCAAAAATGGGGCCGTTGCGACCTTCCGACGAGCAATCGAAGAGTGCGAAGATCGACGAACTGCCCGCGCCCGACATGTTGACAGGACCAATGAATGGGATTTGCATGTTCGACCGCAGAGTAGCTGGCACCGCCGCCCCGAATGTGGCCTGATTGCGAAGGTTGGGATACATGTTCTCGCCAGCCCATGGATCGGACAAGTCCAAGGAGAGCCGGGCCGCGACAGCTTCAAGCATGCTAGAGGCCATTTGAGACGCGCGCTCTGCGAGTGGATCCTGCATCACTCGCAGCCATCGGACGAGCTTCTTAGCGTAGGACAGTAGACCGGGGTTATCTGACGAAGCTGGCGTGCTGTATGAAAGACCGAGGAGAAAAACTGATAACGCTTGCATAATGTTGTGGACGATACACCACCACGGCCCGTTCTCGTAGAGGAAGAGTGGGTTTGGCTGGTCCGGAAGCAAATCGACCGTCGCTCTGGCTGCGTCAATACATGTGCTAGCCATGCGTCGAGTGAAGCTGTCGGGAACATTGGGGTCTTTCATGCCATGTCCAAGGCCCCCGAGCGATGGACGTGTGAGGAGGATTCTGGCACTAAAAAAGTGCCATCCTAAGAGCATTCGTTCTCGATTGAAATTCTGTGACTGGCTGTCTGAATCTGGCCACTTCGTCTGGAAATTGAACTCGGGCGGGAGAGAGAGAATCCACTCATCAATCCTCTGGCCGAGCTCGATGGTCGATTGCTGGATCTCTTCTGGGGTTCGGATCATGGTCCCTGCGGAATACAAGGTTGAGATCACATCCTGGGTGATGATTCCCATCTGAACCAAGGCCTTGAAGTATGACCCTGTATTGGCCAACATGACCCCGAATCCTAATGGCGTTTTCGATTCGTCCAGGGACGTACTCGTTGGCGTGTTTGGAATCGTGGGACTCGGTGTTGTCTGCTGGAGATTCCTTGGCCGGTCTATGGCCTCGATATCGTCCATGTGCTGATCTTCGGGATGAGCAAGGGGTAAAGGAACGGAGCAGTTCGAGTCGACAATGATGCTAGGGCGACCGGTGATGGCACTTAGGAGGCGCTCGAGTGAGAATAGGCTCCACCATATTCGCACCAACGTCTCCTTCTTCATTGGTGAGGCGGAGGGGTCCTCGTTACGAACATGTAGGCCGAGGGCGTATGCGAAGCGGAGAGCCAAACCAATCATCATCCAGGCGCTGTCTGAGGTTAGCACGACGTCATGAATTAGATTTACTGACAAACACAGAGCGATACCTCGGGATGAGGAATAACTGACCGGCTGATTTGCCCTACCGAGAGGTAATAGAAGGAGAGCAAGCCCAAAACCTGGATCTTCGGCACGTCTGGATGACTGCTGAGGGTGACCCCGCTGAGTCCATAAGCCCGTGCACGGGACTGATATATGAGGTGGTCGCGCTCGTCGGTCTGCCAGCTGGATTTGACAAGATGTGAGTATTTGGCACCAATGGCAAATACCAAGTTTAATATAGCCTGCCACTTTAGGCCAAGACGGGAGGCGCTACCCGTCCTCACCGCGCTGAAATATTCCCGAAACTGGTTCTCGAACGCCTTCCTTGGAAGAATGGGGAACGAATTGTGCACCGTTGCCATGTAACAGCTGAGGAGATGCTCGGCGGTGTCTGGTGGTGGCAGCTCAGACGCGTCCACGAAGAAGTCTGGGTCGATGCTGTTGCTGTCAAGGTAGAAGTTGAACGAGCTGACTTGCTCAGTGCTTCCATGGCTATATGAGGAACGTCTCTTCGACCTCATGCTTGGACTAAGCGGCGACGTGGCAGGCCTGATCAGGTCGTCGTCAGTTCGTTCGAGCTGGAGCTTGATGCTTCGGAACCACTGGACTTCAGACGCTTTCCCGACGAATCCAGTCGCCCTGGCCTGCTCATCGCGAGTAAGGTCCTCCTCGAGGAGATCGTGGGATTCGGCGTCGAGGGCATCGAGAGACTCGCCTGAGGCAGGCCCCATTGGCGCCTTGGCATCATCAGTGTCGACATCGGGGTTGGAAGGCGCTGAAGTGTTGCGAAGTTCGGAAATATCCTCCTCGATCTAGACGAGGATTTAGCGCGGTGAATATTACCATATAAAGCTAGGTCTATCATGCATGGGTCGTCCTAGACGTAGCATGCAGTTCGACAGACATCACATAGATTTTAGTCTACAGCATTGGTACAGCCAAGGACTTACTGCATCAAGCAAATCGCCGATCCTGCCGTCCTCGTCGCCGGCTCGGTTCTTGACCTCTTTCAACATACCCGCCATCTGGACGCAGCGGTCCGTAACGCTGGACAATGTTAGCCGATAAGCCAAGGGAGAAGATGACTATGCACGAGCAATGCAGAGGTGAGGGGACACGGACATCTTCAATCTGTCCCGTCGTGGAAGAATGTAGATACATTCTCGGTCAGAAACCTCACAGTGCTTGCAGCGTGGGGTGTCGCCAGAGCACCTGATCTTGTGGCTCCGGCAGGCAGTACAGGCTCTTGGCACTCTCCGCCGGTCTCTGGACACAGCGGCTGTCTGACTGGGTCGTTGGAGACGAGGAATGGCAACCTTTCGCGTGCCGGGCTGGCCAGGAACATTGGGCGAGGTTTGAGATGACATTGTCAGGCACACATATGGGCCAAGTGGGATGCCAAGTAAGGAAGAAGGGATCCGAGACTATAAGAAGCCTGGGACCCTGTGGCGGGGGGTGGAGAGACGAGAAATCCTGCTTGAATATGTGCGAACCGTGGGATTTTCTGGAGGCCTTGGAGGTCGACGGGTGCTGTGAGATTCTTATCGCCACTGAGAGTCGAGGACTAGCAGTGAACTTGGATTTGCCAATAATAGAGGGCCTTGAGAATGGGGGGGCCAGATGGCAGCAAGTACTCCAGCTGTGCGGAGCTTGCACCTGGCACGTGTAGACTAGCTTTTTGTAGGCGTCTCGGAGCGCCGGGGTGGAGGAGTGAAGTGTCGGAGGGCTCCTATTGGCGGGCGGGCCCAGCTCCGGGAGACGAACCAGAGCGGTGGAGCGACCAGGCTTCTAATAGCTGTCCCCACCATTTCAAATGCCCATCAACTCTAGGAGCAAATCCACGGCGGGAGCATCGAGGAAGTGGCAAAGTATCTTGGAGACGGCTATTAGTTGCCGCAGCCGAGATAACGCAGTGCGATCTATGGAAAGGAACACACCACCACGGTTAGTCTCTCTGCCAGGTGGGGGGCGAGGCACGTCATTCCAGCAGACTCGAATGTGCAGGATGCTGATCATGCGCCTTGTTGCTGTGGTGGAGGACAGGTTGCTTCGAAGATAAACCTAGGAATGCTTCGGCGCTGAGATGGTGACCCGTCTAGATCGCTCACCACCCTGCGAGGGGCGGGGTTCGGGAGGTACAGTGAGTGGACGGTATAACGGGGTTTCCTGACTGAGGAGTAGATTGCGATGCACTCGATGCACATCCCCGCCCTTGACCGACTGGCAACTCCTGTGCCTCCTGCGCGTCCTCGATCTACCTTTTCCACACTCGACCTCACCGAGGGCAAGCTCTCGGAGACAATCCAGATACCCCTTACGACGACCCGCTCATAGAACTCACGATCCGTCGAGATGCGTATCGTGCTGCCGGCAATTCTGCTGCGTACGGCACAAAGTCGACTCCATGTCCACAAGAGACGACTTTGGACCAGACGGTCTTGGACGAGATGACTTTGGACGAGACGACTTTGGACGCGGCGAACTGGTTCCAAACCGGGATAGTGGTTGTGATACCCCGGAGACCAAGCAGTTGCCACTCTCCTTCTACGGCCTTCCAACGGCAACCACGTCAACTGGACAGGTGCCCAGATTGAACACGATAGATTCCTACCATTCGGCCCTCGAATAACCTCTGTCGATGGCGCGCCAAAGAGCCACTCGACCCCCTTATACAGTACAAGTGTCCCTCTCCCTGTCCCCCTGAGTACGCAAACCCTCCTATTGGGGAGTTCGAGCGGTTTGGGGTTTTATATGAGCCGTCCGGAACAGTAGGTACGACGACTTATATGGCAGGGTGGCATTTGGGAGGAGACAGGAAAGACCACGATCAGTTTGGAAGCCGGTTAGGGCGATATAGTACAGAACCCGTGGCTTCGTGAGGCCCGATTTGCCTGGAACACCTGTTTGTGGAAGCACCGTAAGCTGGAGGATATTGAAGCCTTCAACAGTCATCTGGTACAATCAGTCCATTATTTCCATGGGGCGAAGATGGAAATGGAATTCTGAAAGACTTGGCCATTTTTTCAGCCCTATTAGTCACAATCTTAGTGGGAGTGTGGCGTGTCCCCGCTTAAATATCATCCTTCGACTTTGGAGGCGAACCTCGTCTTCGGAAAGTTCTGACGACCGCGGTCTGGTGACTGATTTTATTTTTGCCATAGGCTTCTGGAACGGTCGAGCCTTCCCCTGGGGCAAAGGTTACGAGAGCGGAAAGCCTGGGATATTAGCGCGTTTTCACCTTCACGATGGTGGAGTCGAAGCGTTTCATAGTCAGCGCGAGCATTCAGAGGAAAATCATGAGGCAAGATAAGCTGCGGCTAGATAGCGAGTACTCTGGAAAGGTTGTCATTGATGAGTTGTTCAGGTCGACCCTGGATTGATCGGTTGATCAGTCAGATATTTCCATCATTCCAAAGTCCTTCCCCTCAAAATCCTCTTTGCATGCCATTGCTCATATTCATTATGTAGTCACACCATACTGGAGTACGTTGGTAGGGAGTATTTACTCCTCCCGATGTCCTGGAGGAACACAAATACCAATACAGAGCAGAGGAAAATAAGCCCTCATTCTTGGAATTCAAACTATTACAAACCTGATTCTATCACAAACCGACCCACTATTTAATCATCTCCACCTCGGTCCTCTTCGCTGCAACCGCTGTCTCCGTATCTTTTTCACTCGGCACCAACGCGTCAACTCCATGCGCCCCATCCAAAATATACAGCAGCCTGCTCCTCATAATATTTGCCTGAGAATGCCACGGCAGTGGTCCAATGCCTAGCACCTGGTCCCAAGTCCGTTGCGCTATCAAAGACCCTCTCCGTGTTCTGGAGGGATAGATCATCAAGACCTAACGACCACTCGTACTCGGGACCACCAATGATCGCATCGATACCAAATGCCTTTTGATAGTTTGGAGTCATAGAATTAGCAATTGATATGTTTGCTGGTATGTAGCCGAAGACAGAATTGTTAGATGCGGCATGGCTAGTCGGATATGGGAATTATGTGTAGTGGATGTATCCGAGGGGAGTACCTCCGCTTCCACCAAGAGAGCCCCGATTCGAGGGATCCCAGTCAGAGCAGCTTGTGCCTCCTACAGCGTTCCCGGCCTTCGCAATGACAGAGAACTGTGACGGACGAGTTGGCCGCCGCAATTGCGCCCATCAGTTGAATTAGCGGGTAGCTTGGAACAGCTAGGTTCTACTGGGTAACTAGGGTGATGGCTTCCATGAGATAGGCGGGTAATCGGGAAGCCTGCTCTGTCGAATTGGGAGCGTAGCATAGCTAGAAGTCTCCTTTTATGCTTGCAAAAGTCTTGCGATGCTATCATGTTGCGGAGTTCGTCAAATGCAGCCTTGGTCTTGTTCGCTGATGACCAGGATATATCTTTGATCATACGGTCGGTCTAGGAAGGATGATTAGCGGATGTCCGAAAGAAGTTTTGGGATTGGTACTTACGACATCGCTAAAATACAGTTGAAAATCTTGACGTGGGACGAGTATCGAGTTTGTTTACCGGAGCTGAGGCAATAACTCCATAAAAGGTATCGGGATATGCAACACGGTGTAAAAGAGCGAGAGACCCACCATAGGAGCCTGCAAATACGTTTAGCCTATCGCCTCCGTGATCCATTGAAGAAAAGCAAATCCATACCTCCAAAACCGATGACCTTGCTCTCTCGAGCACCGGGACACTCACTTGATCCATTCAAGAAATTTTGCTGCGTCCAGTTGCACGTTCCGAAGGGTTAACGCTTGCAGATCTTTCAACGGCGAGTCATCGTTATTGAGGAAATTCAAGCCAAAAGGACTGCCGAGTCCAAAATACCGCAACGATCAACGCACCAGTTTCGTTCCCAAGTTGGTACATAGAGTACGCTTCAAGGCAGGGAAACTGCCTGCTCTCGGCTCCCTGCAGAAAGAGAATCGCTCCGCCCGGTTTGAAGAATTTGTTGATCATCTGGTATTGCTGGAGAACAGAGTTGGCAACAATTAAGTCAATCAAGTTAGGGTGAATTGCTTAATTAATTAACAGATCTAGCACGTTTTAATTAACTTAATTAACTTAATAGCACAAATAAGGCTTAACTTAATTAACTTAATTAACTTAATTAATAGATTACGTAGTAAATTAACTGCCTTATATCTTATAGATAGTCTCCAGGTCTTCAGGAGAGATAGCGTCACTACGTGGACTTTTTGCTAACTTTATAGGCTTTAAGCTAAGGCGCTTCTAAACCTATCACTGTAATAAGTTTAAGCGCTAGATAATTAAGTCACCTGTACTAAAGGAGTCCCTGTTTGCGCGCAATTAGGCGGGCGTTGTTACCTTGTAAGGCAGCTCTCATAAAATCTAACTGGCTCCCAGCTGGCCCTGTACGTGCCTTCTTCAGCAGAGGCTCTAGAGTACTGACAGGAGAGGCGGCGTCTTTAAACTCTGCCTACAAGTGTTAAAAGCTAAGGTGGCAGTTGTCTAGCCAGCCTTTGTATACGTGGTAGAGGCAGGTAAGTTGGTGGGCGGTAGAAGTTAAGGAATTTCAGATATATAGCGCTAAGCCTAGTTAGGCAACTATCACAACTCTAAAGTCCCTTAAAGCTAAGCTGCCTTATACTATATTTACTACTCCCGCACACTAAAGGATCCTGTATCCCCTAGTAAACCTAAGATCCTAGGGATTTAAGTCTGTTAATTAAGTTAATTAAGCAGGCACAATTTGCTTAATTAACTTAGTAAATTTTGCCTAGCTAATTAACTTAATTAACAGCTATTAATTAAGTCAATCAAGTCAAGTTATCAAGTCGACTTGATTGTTGCCAACTCTACTGGAGAATGTCCCCGAAGTGGTGTTGGGAGCGCCGCTGCAATTGTCTTTGTCTCCTGGGTGGTTTACGAGTTGCTTGAAGTACTTTGTGCCCCTGAGACATTGGACGTTGCTGGTGGGAGTGTTAATACCGCATAGGGCGGTGCAGGCTCCGTTGCGAGAATGCGTGGAGCGCAGGGAGGGGATTCTGAGAGGGGATGCGGGGGCGGCGGTGAAGGAGACAATGCTACAGGTAAGAGAAACCCAAGGCGCAATGTTGAAAAAAATTGTAGCGGGAGAAAAGCAATAGGAAAATACTGGTTGAAATGGAGAACCTCAAGATGTGATTGTTCCACTGGAAGTCGTATGCGAAATGCAGTGTGCTGTCGCCAGCACCCTTCAATGCTTTATAGTTCCTGGCGTCTTAGGAGAATTTGAAAACTGTATCATAGCTGAAAAGATGAAGTCCGTGGAAGTTGCTTCTCCAGCGGTGCGATGTTGTGAGCTGGTGTGGCTGGTGGCTTAAGTCAGCGTTTGGGTCTGAAGAACAATTCCCGTTTGTCGATCGGAAACGTGCGCGTATCCTGTTTCGATACAGACGATGCGAAATGGAATGAGTTGGGATGACCTACCATTTACTAGAATCTAAGCCGGCAGGGTGATGAGAACTTTCCTTGGATTCAGGAGGGGTATTTATCTGTTCTATGCACTTATGAGCTAGGCGGTGCGAAATGAGGTGCTAATTATGAACATTGGATCTTGAGAGGGGAGAGGACGTTATTGGAAAACTCCGGGTCGAGGATTTTGTGGGGAGTCAGGATGCATGGTGTTCTTAAGTCGAGTACTAGGCCCAGACTTTGTCCCTGATGATAGTGAGCAGCGCAATCAGGCACACAAACACATTGTAGAAGCCTGCGGTGGCTAGCAATTGACTAGTTTGGAGTAAAGACTACTTCTACAAGCGTGTGCAAATGTCAGACTTTCATCCTGGAAATCCCAGGTGAGATCCGTCGGCTATCGATAAGCATTATAATCATCGATCCGATTGGTATTCGATATCGTAGGGTGATGAAAGATCAAACAGCATGTCAATTGAGGAGCTTGTAATAGTTCTACTCAACCGACCTTCGTTACATCGCTTGAAGCCGTTCAATTTAGCCAGTGTCTTCAAATTATAGGCATGGAACCGCTCACCACAAGGATAAGAAGCTACCTTGGTGTGATGTCGCATTTAACTGTTCGTGTTTTCAGGCGAGTAATTCAACGCAGCACAACGGCAATGCTACGCGATGGGTTATGGTTGCAATTGTCCAGCCAACATCCAGGTATAACATCGATCCTGACCTCGGCCACGAAGCCTATTTCTTAATATACTGCATATAGATGAACGGTTCGTGGGATACGAGTTTGCGATCTAACCCGGTTTGTGTCCTATCATATACTTAGACCAATGATCGTCTTTCTCTCCAAAGCAACAATTAATATACCGACGAGGTTTCTAAAATGATACGGCACCGTACCACCGTGACCTACAACCCTAACTGGAAAGATATTTGGATATACGAAATGACCTCTTTGTACATATACATACGGCCACGCCAAATCCACCAGCGACTCAACCTACCAGTTGTCACATCGACCGGACCGTCAGATTTCACGATGCGGGATATTCCACGCTCTCTTGCACCAATTATCGGGCTTTTTATAGCAGCGCCACTATCGGCCGCAGTCAGCAATGCAGTATGCACTCCCCTTGCCCAAGGGTGGGAAATGATTGATGATGCCCCTACTATCAACGACGCTATTGCTAGCTGCGGAAATGGAGGGACTATTATCCTTCCACAAGGGCAGATATACTCAATCCGATCTCCAATCAATTTCACACCCTGCAAATACTGCGATCTCCAGATCGAAGGTCAAATTCTCGTCTCTCGAGACGATTGGGCCTATTGGGCTGGCCAGGACTCCATATTCACTGTTGCTGGCGTTAAAGGCGTCATGATTCGTAGCCTTACGGGAAAAGGAGTGATTGACGGAAACGCGATCGATTTCTATCACCGCCCTGTATCAAACGATGGTTGGAATAGAGCACCTCCTTTACTGCACGTTACGAACGGGTCTTCTTATGTTGTCGTCGATAATCTCCTCATCAAAAACCCCCCGATGCGTTTTTTTAGAGCAGAGGGAAACAGTACCAAAATCACCTATTCTCGACTAAATCTCTCCGTTGTGGAGCAGTACGGTATTAACCCCTGGTCCGAATCAATGACGTTTGGATTCGAATTGGGGGATGTTTCAGAAGTCACTATCGATTCTGTTGCTATGGATTTCCGGGCTCGAAGCCAAACACCAAACACGATTGGAGTTTGCGTGGCATTTGACAGGGGGACAAATGGTATCACCGTCAAGAATGTAACCTGCAAAGGTGCCTGGGGAGGAGTTTTGGTCATGGTGGGCACTATGGCAGCCTCGGTAGGCGTCGAGGCTAGACTAGATCCTAGGCTGAGTGTTGGACGTGGAGTCAAAAATGTCCAAGTTTCTAACTTGACTTTCGATGGTGGCTCTGGGACCGGCTTTATCAACGCATTGTCACCACAGGAACCGATTTCGAATGTTACTTGGGATGGAGTAACAATTCTTGGGGGCAACGCGGTGGCAATTGAGAGATGCTATCTTAGATGTCATTGCATCACGAGCCATTATTATCAATGCCAACAGTACGATTCATACGAACGATTCGAGAATATCCGATTCAAGAATTTTGGGGGAATTTTAGGGGACAAGCCAGGAGCGGGATGGGGTTGCGCGGCTAACCAAACACTATGTGATATCCAATTCAGCGAGTGGACGAACACTACGATGTAACTGACCTGCGGTTCCTGATGGGCATACTGGACTGAAACCTAAGGCATATGTTGATGCTGCGTTCAACACCCTCAGTTAGGGATAGCGTTTACATTGCTACAAATTTCTAAGATATACTAATCTTTTGACGAGCGTATACTTCTAGACCTCGGTCGTTGGTGGGTTTGTTGTGATCGCGATGGCCGTTACTAGGGGCAAGTCTTAGAAACTGCAGCAACGAGGTCTTAGACAACTATTATAAAAACCATCCCTGCTCTCGCCATAGAAAGGCCAGAAACAAAACTATTCTGTCTGCACTGCCTTGTCCAAGCAAGAATTTAAATTTTAAAATAAAATAAAAATCCATTAATGATGAATGGACTTCCTTGTACGGTCAGGCGCGGGGTGAGCGGCCTTGCTGTTACGATATCTACTTACTAGGTAGGCTGTGTGATGACAGCTCGTACTGGTTCGGTACACGGGCCTGGATGAGGATTGTGTGGGCGTAAGGAAGGATAAGCTGCGACGCGGGTGTACAGTCTGGGTGCAAGTTATGCGGGTATTGGAAGTGTCAGCTAATTGTGGTTTGCCTCTGGCTGCTGTATAAGGAGCAGTGGAGACAATCTTAGAGAGATAATAATTAGAGTATATATGTATAAGATATATAATAGTATAGTGTCTTTAGAAACTAGTAATACTACTTAGTCTATATAAAGAAAAGACTAAATGTTAATTATAACGTTCTAATAATAGTTGGGATTAAGACTATATACATTAATAGTTACATGCAGTGCATGCATTTTCTGCTAAGTCTGTTATCCTTGCTCTAGGGACATCTAGTGTGCCACGTAACCTCCTCTTATGCTGCTAGAAAGAAGTTTTACTACTAATTATTATCTAATCTAGTAGCTGCCTAACACTTACTTATAGTCTACTTAGAGACTATAACACACAGCCTTTTCTATTTAGCAGCGTCCTTACTGCCTTGTCTACACTGCTGTAAGTGTTAAGAAAGTATTATAACTTATAAGTGTCTACTATTTTCTTATTCCAGCTACTGCTCTAACTATGCCTTATTGTTATCTTTAGTTCTGTTATAACTATACTGTTTGTTATCTTAATTCTCTTTATTATAAAAAGATGTAACGTTATAGTTATATTTTTTGTTAAATAGGCTCTTTTAGCTAGCTGCTTATAGTATAAGCGCTTAAGTAGCAAAAGTAAGAGTAGTGTACAGTGTGCACAGTGTACAGGGTAGGTAGAGTAAGGGTAATATGTTTCTAGTTTTATTGCTCTTGTCTTTTCCTCTGTACAGAGGAAAAGGGGAATATCTAGATGTTTGCGCACAGAGGTTTACAGATAAGCATTATATAACATAGATATATAATCCTGCTTATGCGCAATAGCTAGTATTTAGACTATAACACTACTGCTGTGTATAAATACTAGTAACTTTCTATTTTTATCTAAAAAGTTACTTTCTATATAAGTTACCTTCTTTCTTTTTATATAAGTCTATTTAGTTACGTTCTACCTATACTTTACCCCATTTATTAGGACTTGCCCTAGTAATGCTGTGTATTAGAATAGGCTAGTTAGACTATATAAATAGCTTTATAAATAATTTAGTAGTATATAAGCTATTTTATATAGAATTTTATAATAAAGTAGTGTAAACTCTTTATGTAAAAAAGTGTATAAAAAGGTATATATAATAAAGTTTTTTTTTCTGCTTTTTAAGCTTTACTGTATAATTTTTTAGCTCTTTTCTTTTTTTATATAGTGCTAACAGTAACAGATCCTTCTACACACATATATATGTCTCTCTAGCTCTTCTCCTCTACCTCTAGCGCTGTTAGCGCGGGCGTCTTTAACAACACCGCAGGTTAAATTAGCTAAACTCTAGAACATATTAACAAAGAAAGCAAGCATTATAGCTAAAAAGACTTTAAGACTAGCCTTTTTAAAGCTTTTTAGAGAATTACTTAAAGACCTTTACCACTTTTTTACTAGATGCTACCTCTACATGTAGTACAACAGAGGGGCATTTTAAACTAATACAGAAATAATATCCTAGATAGAATTACACCTAGAAGGACCCCTAGCAATCTAGTTCTAGCCTTATGCAGATAATTAGATAGACTTTAGAGTAAATAGCACTACATTAAACTCTAAGACTAAGGAAATATTTAGCAGCATAGAAGCATTTAAAAAAGCCCTAATAGCTATTTATAAAACTATAAATAAACAGAAAATTGCTACTAACAAATTAAACACTTTAAAATAAGAAAAAAAACAGCCTAATACTATACAGCATGTTTTAGAGAGCAGCTAGCTATCTATAGATAGACAGATTAAAAGGCACTCTGCTAAATATTCTACAACAGCTTAAAAGATATAATAAAGGATGAGTTTATACATAATAAAAAGCTAACTACTCTTAAAAACTTTATTATAACAGTAACACTCTATAATAACAGGCATAGAGAATATAAAAGAGAAAAATAGCGTAAAAAAGCTCTCTAGAAACCTAAGTTTATTCTTAAGAAAAAAAAAGCTTTTTATTATAATAAAAAACTAATAGACCTTAGTTATATAAAATATATATAAAGTCCTCTCTTAAAGAAAAGCTAAGCCCTTAGACGTAATAGGCTGCCCTTAACTAAAAAGTAATAAAAGTGGCTAGAGAATAAGGCCTGCCTAAACTATAAAAGAGTAGAACATTTCTACTAAAATTACCTAAACTTTTAGAAGGCAAAGAATAAAAATACTACTATAACAGTAAAAGCTATTACTGCAGAATATAGCCTTATAGATAAGGAAATATTAGAAAGATTAGACAACAGACTTTACTAAAAATGTAAAAAAAACTACTCTTTAAAGGCCTACTTTAAAGTGTATTAGGACATAGCTATTAACAACTTTAGCAGCTTAAATTAAGTGTTGTAGGACATTATAATCTTTAAAGAATATAAAGAAGAGACTTAAATCTAAAGATATAATATAAATATTAAGAAAAAAAGAGTAATTCCCTCTTAATAATAAAATGCTAGAAACTTTAGTGTAGAAGCTCTCTAAACAGTTCTAGAACTGCTTATGCTAGAAGTGTAGGCAACAACATAATTACTCTAGAGAATGCGTAATGCTACTTTATAATATAAGCATTAGTAATAACTATGTATTGTTTAACATAATATAAAGAATAGCTAAAGTAAAATATAATATTATGAATAAAAAATTAATAGTAGTTCTTTATAAAGATTTATAACTAAAAATTTAAAAAACTAGGTAAACCTACTAGGTTTAAGGTTCTAGAATTAGTAATTAACAGAAAGGCTCTTGTTCTATAATAGAATTATAGACACTGTCTTCTCTACAGCAGCGCCTCCTATAGTACAGACAGCTACTAATAGAAGGAACACCCTATATAAATAGTATAAACTTAAGAATATCCTAGATAGACCTAGGAACACCTACTAGACACCTTATATAGACTAGACAACTGCCTATACCCCTAGTATTAGTGCACACAACAGTATTGCACAAAGCACTAGGACAATAAACATTAAGCAAGATAGTAGCCTACTTAAGAAAGACATCTAGACGGCAACCTATAGAAAGGCACAGCCTTAGTATGCAAAATAATAGATTGCTACATGTGCTAGACCTTGCCTGTCTAGGAAGAGTTAAAAGTGTGGCCTAACTGTAATTATTAAAACAGCTGCAGATTCTATTACTTTTAATAAAAGGCTGCATATAAGAAAGACTATATACCTACCTACTATCTAGTAGAAGACTATGAATGTAAGGTACTTAACTACTGCACAAAGAAACATAGGCTTTATAAGAAAAAAAGGGCTAAGAAACTTAGTAACTTCTAAGAAGATATTAACCTTTACTTTATAAATTAACATACTTTACAGGCAAGTTGCTTACACACCTAAGTTGCTTACTTTTACTAAGACCCTACTACACTACTCTTTTTACACTAATGTATTCCTAATAACACTACTTAGACGTGTTAAAGAAATGTTAAATGCAGCTTACACTTTAAGCTTTTAAACAGAATGTAACACTTTTTAAGTAACACACTGCAGCTATCTATAAAGTCTTTTAAAAGATAATAAGTAACTAACACACTAGATAACCTTTTTAAGCTAATTATATAGCTAACTTATAAAAGCTAGATAATAATAAAAAGTAGGTAATTATTTACAGTACTAGGACAAAGTCTCCCGACACGCAGGGGCCACCCCCACCAAAACGCGGAAACGCGAAACTTCCACCAACCACCCCACCACCTACAACTTCATCATGCGAAGGTCTTTTAGTACAGATACTAGCAGAAATTGCAGGTCTAATAAAGAGCTTTTAAATAAGGCGCAGTCTGCAATTATTAGACAATAGAAAGCTAGGATATTGCTGTTAAAACTTACAGAGGTGTTTTGCGTTGCCTGCTCTATAATATACAACACTATTAAGAGATAGCAACAACACAGCACTATTAAGTTGTTACCCTGTACTAGCAGGCCCCTAGTACTTTTAAGGCAGGAGAAGAAGATAATTATTTAAATAGCTAGAAAAAACTTTAAGCAAACATATAAAAACCTCTAAGAAGAAGCTAGTCTGCTAGA